TGTAATCTTACATTTACTTACTTAAAGTTAACTTCATATACATGCTCAGTGCTCAGTGCTCACCCTATACGCTCCTCATAACATGGTAAACTGTAAAGCAGTAAACACCAAAGATCTAATGTCGGCACATTGTAACGCTTCGCTCATTCGAAGGATTGTCATTTTAGCAATGAACAGGTGTTCTTAAATACTGCACCATCACGTACACCAATTTGTCTGTAATATGTGATGATATCATGGCCGTCTGGCCGATGAAAGTTGAAACAACATTTTTCTGAAAATGCGTCTCTATTATCGACATGTCACTGCAAGAAGATCTGGCTTTGAGATTTTTAAATAGTGCGATATTCGTCTTCTACATGCTTCAGTCTCCAAAGGTATGCCATCTACTACTAACCTCGTTCCGATAACAATTTAACATCAATGTTCCAGCATTACGATTACTACTGGTCACTGGAGATAAGATTTTAATAATATGTTGCAGATCAGATCAATTATACTTTTAAAACACGATGAGCAAAGATTAAAATACGTGACTGCAATTATATACCTGAGACTGTTATAAATGTGATACCTAGAATTGATTCACTCTTAATTTACCATTATCACGTACCATGTACCACGTTCAGTTACCAGGTGGTTTTAGGTAATAGGTATGAAGAATTGGCTAGCTGCTTCAGAGAGATAAGATGTCAGATCGAAGCGACAACTTTGTACTCGTAAAGGCAAATATTTTGATTATCGCTTTTTCGATATGGTTTTTGTCAGAGGTAATATTTTGTGAAAATTAGCCACTGGTAATTCTAATACCTACCTCAACTAAAAAATTTAATTTAATCTCGATAGCAATAATATTATTAACGCACCATGTTTTGCTGTTTGCAAGTATGCTTTTGTAGTATTTATTTTTAAATTTCATCCAGTCTTTTTGATCGATAAACCCAAATTTCAAATTACATCTTTTGAACCACTAAACTTTAAATCTTTTGAGCCAAAGGGCTAATATATCATTGTTTAACAACAGGTAAATGTTAAACCAGGTCCCAGCCACTTGGATTTAGCTTGGCCACTTTAATGCTTTAATGACGATAATGAGTTTCCTTACATGTGAATAATTACAAATAATTACTAAGTATCAGTAAGTTAAACAGCGGGTACAATCTATCTAGGATATGCTGTCTGGGCGAGTAAGATGGGTGCAGAGCTAAAGAGAGGGTTACAGAGGGCTAGAGAGACAGCTAGAGTAGTTAATGCTAACACATTCTGCAGCCTCACTAACATAGTGTGAGCATGAGTAAGATGCAATGATCCGGCGACCAACAGCAGACACACAAATTAGTCCTCTTCGGCCCACGGTCGGTTGGTCGTCTCAAGACTTTAAGACTACTACCCTGGGTGTTAAGATGTGGCCTAGTGACAAGCGCCCTTCTGATAAAGCACATTTACTGCTTTATTTTAACATTTCAACTCTCCTAGAACCTCTAAGTCTCCTATGGGAGTGGTAAATAATATCCACGTTGTCTGTCTGTGATCTTTAACTCTTTAACACTCCAATGATCCAAACAACCAAACCATGCAGACCCATCGTTAGAACACCTGTGATATTTTGCTCTAATCACATTTTATCTGGTTAGCTATGTTCTCAGGAAGTGTTTTGACAGGAAGTAACTAAGTAAGAACTCGTTATTTAGTGATATTTAGGGCAATCTGATCTGGTTACCACGTGTCATGATATGTTACAGTTTAGTTGTGCTATTTAGCCGCATTAGTGGTTGCCATGCTAACTATGTTAAGATGCGGATTGCGGGGCAGAGTTTAAATAAGCTAGGAATAGCACAATCATTATCTACAGTCTGCTACAATTTGTGGTCATACTCTGAATACTAATAACGATTAATAACGATGCATAAGTAAGTTAGTAAGATTGTAGCTGAGTCATATGCAACCAAGTTTGCGGTTTTAGATCTGCAAAACGCGACCACTGTGTGGTTGATCGATAGGAAGCTCGTTCTTAAATTGCATAGTTTTTCTTTTGTATTGTGTGGTCTCTTCTAATACAATTTGAACTATTCCTGAGGCTTCCTTAAATAACACATTTAATTTAATTGTACCAGTGCTGTATCTATTGAGTAGCCTGAAAGTTGGAGTGAACAGCTGCGCAGAACCGAAATAGGTGCGACCGTGCGCATTGCTAGTCTGTAATTAACCCTGCAGTACACTGTATATGAACAAAAACACCAAATCATGAGTAGTATTTGGCATTGCGGGTGTTTAAAAAAGAGAGAGCTAATTTTAACACGACAATTTCACAAAAATACATAGCATAGGGTCTCTGCTAACGAGTTATGCAGAATTAAAAGATTTAAAAGATCACCTGTGGTATCCAAACACCACGTGACACACCACATGACTCATCATGTGACACACCACGTGACACACCACATGACTCATCGTGTGACCATCATTAACGAGAGGTCCCCAGTAGATGTTTTGAAAACATTGCAACACTCACGTAGAAGGGGAACCAGGTGGACCATCCTAGGACGCGGCGGTTTTTCCGTACAATAAATTGCAAATATTGTCAATTTTGACGTTTTGTCTGTGCTTTTATGAGTTTATGAGTTTATTGGTTGATAATAAGTGGTCAGTGGGGGAGGTGGTGTATACTCATGTTTCATTTACAGTCACGTGACCAATTGTTAGTTTGTAACGCATGAAAAGGCAGGGACAGTAAATTTGTGATTAGCTAAAGCTTAACGTCTCAGAAACTCGGAAGATTCATTCTAATGTTTCCAATTTCCAAAGTTTATTGTACGGTAATAACATTTTTACAAAAACAGTTCACTATTACAGTTATATGATTTATTCACGGAACCATACCGTAACTAAATAATTGTTGGTTTGCTTCATTCTAACTTAAAGTATCTATTTCTGCAGCTGACTTGGCCGCTTATATTTATCTAACGTCTTGCTCAAGATCTTTGCCTGATTAACATATCCAGCCGTGACCGGGAATGTTCAGACGTATAGAGCATTTCATTTAATTAATTCCAGGTTTTAAAATTCAGTCTTTACGTTATCTCATATAAATTGATGGATAATTCGTTTGTTTGATCGACCGCGAGTTTATTAAATAAATGATAGTGATACTCACTAAGTCTTATACAGTTTAATAACTTAGCATACCATTTTAACCATGATAGCCTAATAAAGGATATCTTCCTTGCTACCCTACAGCATAGCCGCGAAAAGCTGCCCTCTAGGCCTCTCAGTCTCAAGGTTTGAGTTTTTGTAATACTATTGCAATTATTTTGAACTTTAAACGGCCGAGTTACATGAACCCTGATATAGGATAGCCGGCCAGAGCGGTCTACAAGAGGGTCTAAGATACGTGAGACTAACGCAAATGTAGGAGTGATACCAGGTGCATCGCAAGTCTACTACAGGTCTACTGAACCACTCATACAGTAAATAGTGGACACATTTGGGAGGTGGGAATAGTGTTCTGTGTTTATTCATTGTTTACTTTTGTTTACCCAAACAATCCTAATTAATTTAATGATAATCAATTCCTCCATTGTGTCGGATAGGGGTTAGCAGGTGTGTAGTTAGATTTTCAGTCTAGACTCTAGACCTTGTTGGATCAGTTCCAGTTTTGTTCTGTTAATGGACTTATCGCCTTTATTTTCCAAACTCCGACACGAAGCAACTAACTGTTCTTTTTTACGTGGTTACGTTGAATAAAATGAACCTTTTACAATTTACAAACTTGTATAACTAATACAGAAGAATCAAGATCACGTTATAACTCGAATACCTCAAATATCTTTAATCTTTATGGGGTGTATAAAGGTATCTTGTCGGTGCTGCAGACCAAGTTTTATACAGTTATGCCTTATGTAACCTAGCGTCCCGCCCACCACATTACCATTTAGTGCTGGTAATTACCACCGACGGTAAGATGGAGGAATAATTCCAAAAGGTGGGAGTTAGCAGCCCAGGGCAGACGCGTCCATTAAGACAGGAGGGGGCTGCAGGTGGTGGCGGATGGGGTGAGCAGATTTGACACAAGTTATCCGCGATATTGGAGGAGTTTTTGAAGCTTTGTACGTGACGTAAAGAGTATTGCATCTGTCGTTAGTGCTGTTCATTAGTATTCTAGAATAGGTTTATGTTCCAGACGTGTGCTTTATGTGGTGGGACACAATTGTTGCTAATATTGGAGAGTTTTGTAGCTCTTTACGTCACGTTTTGAGAGTCTCGTACGTCACATTTGTGCTGTTCATTATTGTAAATATAGGTACATGTTCGTACATGTTCTGAACATGTGTTTCCTTAAAAAGTTTACTTTTAGGTAACCTTCTAGGTCTATTTTGAGATACAGAAACCACGTATTGCTCTCTCATACGTCATGAGTCATGAGTTTTGTACACGTAGCTGGTATTATGCAGCTCTGTAACATTATCAGGTAAAAGAAGAGTGGTTTTGTGTGTTTGTTAGCCAATAGAACGTGTTTTCTTTCCAGGCAGGTAAATATGAAGAGGTAGGGATGTACGCCGCTCAAATTTACATAATTACGCTGTAATCTTGGTAAAACGTAAAGTTGGGCGGTATTCCATTTGCTGACCAAAATTAGTTGCCTTTGAGGTTATTTTAAGCTCAAAAGTCAACATATAAGCATGCACGGTTGATAGTTAAGTCCAGAATTAGTTGCCCTGTCGTCAGAAAGTTGTTAAATGTGGACAATACCTTCTACTTGCTTACAATTTTTTATTCTGATACTTTTGTATTTTACACGACTAAATGAAAAAATTGCATTTTGATTATGTGTTCTATCCCTTTTTCACTTAAATCAAATGTTTTCCCATTGACATTAACAGTTTTCCTAATCATTGTATCAAAATTAATTGATCATGATGTTATCTTATAGGAACCATGGTCACATCGGGTCACTGCAACAGCACATATGCGTCCCAGAACTCTTACTATTGGGAGGAACATATAATTTACAATGAGACTATGCGGATGCTGCTCGTTGTGGTAAATCTGGGCGTTTCAACTGGAATCATAATGAGCTTCTCAATGATCATGATGGTCATCTACCGTCAGGTAAATACATTCTATGACTAAGATGAGCTTTAAGATAATGTAAACTCATTTCTGTGTATTTAGTTATAAATTTTTAAATAGCTAGAGGTATTTTTGCTTCAAGTACTGTTTACAGTAACCTGTTGACTATCAGTTATATACAATTAGCAATGAGTACAAATATGCATAATTTCTGTACAGTTCGTAGTTAGTTCTAACCGTCGTAATAACAACAAACTAGAACCATGTTTACCATAAAGTAAGTTAGACATCATATGTCCGCAAGTAGAAACATCATTCAAAAGTTTTTCTTGACCAACTTATGGTTTTCAGAGAGAGAAACGGAAGCCAAGTAACGTGTTCATATTGAGTATGTGTGTAACGGACTTCATGGCGACTACCATCATTGCACCTCATTTTGTGGCAGCAGCAGCGTTAGGTTAGACAGTCAGCATTTGATTTAGAATAATTTAATTTATTCTTTGCATGATGATTGACAGGAAGAGAATATGTTTTATTTAAAAATATAATAAATTATTAAACATCGTAATAAAAGAGTAGTGTCTTTATAGTTCTCCTTGAAATCCTATGAATCGATTTCTCATTCTGAAATTCCTCAGGTAAATGGCCCAGCAACTATCTCCACTGTAAAGTGCTGGCATTCCTCAATACATTCCTGCCTGGAATGAGCATCATGAATCTAATTCTCATCGCTCTTGACAGGATGGTGGCTATTTTCAAACCCACCAAGTAAGTTGTTTCATTTAATTTACTATAATATCTTTTTATGTATATATTTTATATATATATATAGAATGGTGGAGTAATTAAAGTATATATACTTTAATTACTCCACCACCGGTACTTTTATGGAGAACCATATGCCCAGTGCCCACTTACAAAATTAGTACCCAACGCAGATGGCTGGGGTTCTAAAAATTGATAAGCTTCCAAGATACTATAGATAAGTACTCTAACTCGGTAATAGAGTGGCATGTGGATGTTAACATGAACATTGAACACGCGTCATTCATCCACCGTAACTCATAGCTGTACCATTATTAGTCATGGCTACCACTCATTTGTCTTAAAACTCGCTAAAAACCTTTAGTAAAGTTCTCATCGTGCAGCATTAGTCACCTGACAAGATCATTATTCAGCACCAAACAGTACCAGCCATACTTTGGGGGTTTTAAACCCCGCCACCATACGACAACTTCCAATAGTGTTTAACTGAGCCAATGATCGCAGCTGTGCTATGCGGAGGTCATCACAGAGTGATGTGCTACAGAGTAGAGTTACCAAAACATATTTCACCGCATGTAATACAACTCCCTCTCTCCCTCTCTCTCTCTCTTTCTCTCTCTCTCTCTCTCTCTCTCTCTCTCTCTCTCTCTCTCTCTCTCTCTCTCTCTCTCTCTCTCTCTCTCTCTCCCTCTCTCTCACTGCCTCCGACTATTGACAGGACTAAGATAGCTGTTTGTTTGATCATCACACGGTTATAATACAGCACAATTGGCGCCAGATAAATGATATGTGTTGCACACAGCGTTAAATTGGCTAGATTAAAGGCTTGGATGCTTGTGTAATTGCTAAGGGACTAAGGGAATTTTGCCGCTTTGAATATTTTAGCACCAAGATGCCCAGCAGTAAGCAAAGATTTTTTGGCCAATATCTTAAACAATAATCTCAGAATGTGTGTTTTCTGTCTGTCTGTCTGTGTGTGTGCGTGTGTAATTTCCGAGCGGCTTATTCAAGAAAACGGTAAGAGTTGCGGGACTGGTTTTTTCAGTATAGTGCCGAGAAAACTCTGACGAAGCCAAATGGTAAAAGTTTTTTAAATCGGTCGGTGGTAAGACTAAGTGGTTTAATTGATGGTTTTGTACCACAAATGTTACATAATAAAAATGGCTTGAGCAGCTTAATCAAGAAAACGGTAAGAGTTACGGGGCTCGCTCTCTCTACCACTACTGCATATTATGTAGCGTTGGTACATATATCATAATTACTAAATTAGGTACACTGTCATGAATACTATAAACTTATTAGGGGAGGGATCGCTCATAGCGGTCTGTTTGGACTGTAGAGAGAGTTCATACTTTCATTTTTTTTTCAAAATTCAAATAAACTTTACATCAATGTATTACAGTTATATTCAATAGAAAAGACCACAATTATATCTCCTGTGAGGCAAAAAAATGGAAAAAGAGAGCTAGAAAAATATTCATGAGACTCAACACTACCAGACTGCAGCTGGAGCGAGAAACATTATGTAAACATCAAAGTAAAATTTATTTCGGCTGAACCAAAACACGGTGAACACGACAATGTAATGCATGTTTTCAAATATGCGGATGTGGTGCGGAGTTAATAAGGGTTAATTTCTATTGATTATTGTTTAAGATACTATTGTTTAAGATACTATTGGATACGTGAGGGCACTCCGAATAGAATTGCTCACCTAATGCGGGTTTTGACTCAGCGGGTAAATACTCTTAGGTACCCTTTTTAACTGCGGCAGTGAAATCCCGTCCGAAGGCCGGGTTACACTAGTAAATACTTAAATACAATGCCGATGATCACACAAATGACAACATACTTTACGGTATTCTAAAATTGTACTCAATTCTGACTGGCATTTAAATCCGACTCAAGGTAGCTAGGTATAGTAAGCGCACCGGATTTCGACAGGCAATGAATTGCGAAAGCGCGAACAGAATTTCGACTGATCTTATATGTAGATCTCCGATATTTTGGAGTTTATTCCATTCATTGATCATTCTGCAGAGTTCACAATGTTTGACTTATAGAATTTGACTCAGCGTAAATTTATTATAATTATATAGAACTAGAAGGGGCACTTGTGAAATGAAAATTGCCACCCGTAATTTTTTCGGCTCAAGACATTCTGGGCCAATAATGTAACACTACTATATACTACAGGTTCAGCATGGTACGAGCTGTTTTACAAACTTTCTAATTTGCACTATAGCATTAATAAAATTTACGAATATCGTATCATTCCGAGTCTTCGCCCACCTTGTGCAACTAATAAAAATCAACAGGAATATTACAATAATTGCTCACGAACAAGTACAATGTACATACCTTTATTATTCATCAATCCGGATTTCAGTGGAATATGGCCATATTCCGCAAAAATTGACACGTCCCTCTCTTCAGATACAGAGTCTGGTTGTGTAACAGGAACGCGCGGATTATCTGTGCATGTTTCTGGCTCTACTCCCTTTCCATCGCCTCCCTCTCCTTCTGGGACTGTTTCTCTCAGCCTCTCTTTGACGGAGCTGTCATGACTTGTCTTCTTACAGGTATGAGATTCCTGAAAAAAGTGTGAGGTTAATTTCTCAGCTGGAACTCACAAGACTTACTCTGAGTACTTACGCAACTCTTAGTACTTACGCAACTAAACTTACGAATCAAGGAATAATGAGATGTTTTAGTTTCTCATCCCCCAAATGAATAAAACGATGCTAAAGTAATACAAATATTAATTAACAAACCCCCATCTACAGGTCGTAAGTTTCTCATCCTCCAGCTCTCCTGCGAAGTAATCCCCGGCCTTGCAGCTACTGTAACCTGCTACACCTTCATTGTGATCAAACTGATGCAGCGCTCTGCCAGTATCTACTCCTCCGGTAACAAGGCCTCCAGAGTTAACTACGAGATTAGAATGGCTAAAATCGGTGGTCTCGTCAGTGGGTTCTTCATCATGACCTATCTCCCGTACTACACGATAATGTTCCAATACAGAGAACACATGGAGCCACTCATAAAACTTATGGCAGGAATCCTTGTGGTGACCAGCTACAACTTCGACGCCTTCATGTACGGTTACTGCAACAAGAACTATAGACGTGAGATCAAGAAGATAGTTCACAGCAAGGTTCCGTGGCTGGTGAAGGTGACTCCAGCGGACCACATAAACACAGATACTCACACAAACAATGATACCAATACAATGTACACTAACGCTGCCGCTAACACCACTACAAGTCTCACTAGCACAAGTAACTTGTCCCCCAAACAGAGGCATTCCCTAGCTCCCTCGCCCATCAGGGAGGAGAGTGAGACCTCTGTTTCCGTCTCTAAGGATTACTCTGTGTCGAAGTTATCTCTGGCCACCACGTGATAGTTTACATCACATCTTGATCTTAGATGTTTTTTTTTCAATAAATCTCCTGAGACGGTATAGTTTTTCGATCGTAATATTTAATATCCGCACCAGTTGCAGTTAATATACTGTCCCAATCAACACCTGATCCAGCTTTCCCTCCGTTATATAGATCCTATATTTAGGAATATGCAAAGACTAACAACTTAGAGTTTTTTTCCCTTCAATTTGAAAGAAATATAGTATAGTTTTGAGTAGCACGTGGTTGCCAGGTGTTTACCCTACAGGATCGCAGAATAGGGACGGTATATACCAGACTTGATACTTGTAACAACCAGGACTTATTAAAGAAATGGAGTAGGTACTATAGCGCCAGGAAAATGGGGTTGAGATGATATACTACCTAGGTGCTAGGTTAGAGTCACGAAAATTTGGTGTGATAAGATAATTCTAGAGATTAATATCAATATTGTTTGTTACATTATTTTGACAAGCTATGCTGTGATGATATTATTCTGATGTTTCGACTTGCGATAATTATTTTTCGACGGTTTGTGTTTGTATAACGACTTTGTTAATATGCCAATATAGGGTAATTGATAGTGAACTGTTTATAGATTTTAGAAAATTCATGGATTGTAATGAGCATGCTTTTAGTTTTTAAAATCAGTTGTTTTATTGGTAAACATATGAACTTAATTATTAATTTGATCATTAACGGCTAAGTGAATGTAAGATTCGAACAGCGTGAAATCATCAGCACTAATCACATTTTAACAGCTTCATTGAAACTGACTGACAAGAACAGAACATTGATTCATTCCAGGATATTAGGAATTTGGATTTAGATTGAATGAATCATGAACATAAATCTTACAGACATTGTCCCAATTTAAAAATTAAGTTACTATCCGTTAACAGTATTTTCAGCTTCAAGAACTTCTGCTATTAACCTTTTCTTTGATTTCTATAACTAAATTAAGATAAAACTCACATGCTGCACTGCACGTGTTACTAACTGCACTGCCACTCTTAAAGAAAAGACCTAACGTGGAGTATTCTCCCTTCAACCCCAGACATATCCCACACACCTGACGATAATATTCACGCGACTAAGAGCCAGCCAGACCTTATCATTAGCGGACACCCTTGACTCAAAGTTTTGTCCGGAGTTAAAAGCAGTCTGGCAAGAGCTAGTTATTAGTACCGTCGATTAGTACCGCTACGTAGCGACAAACGAAAAAGTTACAAAATTAGCAATTACTAAGCGGCTCGGTAGTGGCCTCAGCTGTCCTGGAACTAACTAACTGAGGTCTGAACAATAGCATGGAAGTGGTTATAAGTCTGTCACCCTTCGATAATTTTCTCGCTTAAACTTCAGTTTCTAGTTCAGGACCTGGCTGGACAGGTGCGATTAAGAACAGTGGTGTAATTACAAATTATAAGTTTTTAATAGCCGACAAGGCCATTATGTTGCCACTTTACGTTCAGTTTTAGCATAACCTCCGTTTTGTTTGTCGGAATTTTCGCTTGAGGGAGTTTCAAGTTTGAAGAAATGAACTTGTTTGCAGTCCTTCTCTTCGCCTGCTTCGGTCAGACAGTTCGTAGTTATCAGTGCGTAGCAGGAATCAAGTCTTATTTCGGTAAAATTGTAATAAAGGAGTTTTATAACTAGTTATTGAAATTTTGCATCGAATGCGTAACTACCCCAGCTAGCTTTAGCCTTAATTGAGAATGAGATAAAGACTTAATGTATTCGGATATCGATTTAATAAAATTAAAATATTCCACGTTGCACTGCCACTGGCACTATGCAATTTATAGCAAGTTATGACAATTACGTGTGACGTGGTCCTACAATTTTTCAGAAAAGTTAGATGTTTCTGGAGGAGTTTTTACTGAGGAAGATGTAGAACTCGACTGTGGAAAGAACAAACTTATCAAAATATGGACTGAGCCGGTAAAGCCAACCAGACGCCATGGCACGGAGTTTCACGGAATCGGTCGTGATACGAACGAAGCCTCCCTAAAGATCATGACTGTCAGAAGATTATGGTTCAGATGTGAAAATAGCAGTAAGTTTAACATTTAATAGAATTAGAAGACATTGAGTTTTTTAGTAGTTTAGTTGAACCTGGTTGAACCCAACAATATCTTTGTTGGACGACCACCCAGTTGCAGGGCTATCTTGAGCAGCAGAGAAATTCAAACTCAGTCGTACGACATTTTCACTGAAAGTTAAAGCATAAAGGCAATATTGAACATAGCTCGGGCAGGACACCACTAATAAATATTGAAACTTGTGTAATGAAATTTGAAAACAATCTCTGATCATTCATCCTTAACACTTAAAGTTAATAATCCAAACAAAATCGGGCCTATCCTTTACTTTTAGAATAAACAAATTTACCACTCGAAGAGAGACGGGAAGAAAGCGCGAAGTTTCTGTACGGACAGAAAACTCTTCCTGAAGTCAAGAAAGTGTGTCCAAAAAAGATGAAGGCACTGATTACTGCTCTCGATCCAATGTCATACGAATACGATCGTTATGATGACACGCCGGATTTTAACCAAGACGCGTGTATTGGGAAAACAAAATGTGTCATTAAGAAAGGAACGAGAATCGCAACAGCGACATACAAGATAGAAACAGATTGCAGGGCTGAAAATCGTAAGTTTGAGACTCTGAGTCTGACACTGATTTTTGGCGGACACTTTCAAAAATGTAAAGCAATTTCAGTTTCAACTTCAAGAGGCGATGTAATAACATGAAAATAACATTAACTGACGTTAAATCATGGTCAATTTAAGACGTCAATATTTTTGATTGAGGAGCGTGATGGCACTCCGAAATATCCTAACCACTTTTTGTTTTCGGGTTAGTTCTTCACCGTTAAGATAAACTACTCCCCCAGATGCACTGCACTGTTGCAACTCGGAGGAATCAAAGGACAGTGAAATGTTCAAGGCAAAAAGAGCCTGCAACTTAATACTTGAGTGTGAATGTTGCCAAAGACAAACAGATGATAAAGTTAACATACGGTCTTGTGGAAGCATGGGCAAAAAGTGGGCCAACGCTGGTTTCGCTAGTTTAGCTGGTTAGTTTAGTTAAATTACTTAATCAGGAAACCATTTGGTTCTGACTCTGGGTCAGCTTATATTTTACATTAAACTTCTGAGCTGGTTCTATAATTCACATTAGGAATAACCCAGACCATCTCTTTCATCTAGTTAAACTTAAAAACTACGAGTACGCATACACTCAGAGGTGATCCCAAATTATGAGTTAAACGAGTGATACTATTACTAATAACTAACTATAAATTTCAATTAAAAGCTCACAGAGGATTTAAATTATTGGCTGCCAAGTGCCAACAAGTTCACTTCAGCTCTTCTATCGCTCTATTGGTCTGGTTACTATGTTACTGATTACATTTTGCAGGGATAAACCACAACATGGGAATTAAGTATGATGAGAGCGATGATGATGACGCAACTGACGGTGACCCTGATTTCGGTAAGGATACTGTAAGTGTAAAAGTATGGCTTCAAAGTTAAATAGTTGATGTACAGTGGGGTGCTATATCTTTTCGTCATTCCTGAATGCGCGCATTTTTTCCCGATCCATGACTCAAAGTCAAAGTGCCGAAGGCACAAAAGAGTCAAGGACAAGGGTTGGCTTGATACATGTTTTGTATCCCAATATCGGCGCTTCGCGCGCGAAAAGTGGCATGCAACGTATGTCAAGGGTTAGCGAACGAGGTTTTTTTTTGTATATGGTAGCTTTGCGACCGTGCGTGCGTGCGAGCGTACGTGCCTTCGCCTTCAGTTATCGCCCACGTTTCTGCCTGCGCAAAGTTATTTTGCGCGATAACCTGATTTAAACAATTGTTGGCGCGCAGTGCTGAACTGTTCAAGTAAATTGTTAATTTCACCATGTATGCATCCCGCTAGGGACTAATTGATAGCATATTATTATTATTTTGAGTTAGTAATACTAATAGTATTACTACTTTGCACAGATCTGTGTCAGGTTGCATAAACAATAAACATATGGTTACATAGAAATATGCACGATTTTCAAATTCAATATGGAATTATATTATGTATTAACTGGGCGGCGCTCTTTCTGTCACTCCGCCATATCTGCATGCTTATAGTTATAAACAGTAAAGACTGGGGTCCCCAGTTGGTATGGAATATGATAAAATACGCCATCACGGATCGGGAAATTGAGCGGCCATCCACAAGAGAAAAGCGGCCGCATTTCTTGTAGTTGTTGATTTTAGCATTTAGCGCGCAAGTTTGCGTGCACGTCACGTGATATTGTATTTGTTAGCAGTGAGTTTAATTACGAGTCAGAGAATTTGTCTAGTACAAGGCCCAGACCCTACTTTGGCGTATCTAATTCTATAGTAAATATTGCAATTGTTGGAATGTTACAAATCTGACACCATTTAAAATTGAGGAACAGGGTATCTTAATTTTGTATCTTTGTTCCCCCTGTTTTATTCAACCGGGGAAATATTGCAATTATCCAATCGTATAGTTTACTCTGCACCCTTCTTAGACGAGGACGGCTGCCACGTGCGAAAAGCATATCTTAAAGTTGGCGATGGTAACCCTAAACCAATTTGCATTCCTGGAAACATGGCAAGGATTCTTAGTCTCGTCGATCTCTTTTCTGATCAGCGTAAGTACTTCTTTTTGTGACATTTTCCTGAATAAATAGGCAACTACTATTATATTATACAGTGCCACTAGAGTATATTATTATTGCTACTTCATTGGTAACTTAGTGACTAGAATTATACTTATTAGGTACTCAAAATATTTTGGTTCTAGAATGAAATACTGAGCTTCTAGTTTTACTATTAGGATATTATATAGATTACTATACTATATAGATTATAGATGAACCATCAAGATGTGACAGAGTTGCGGGGATCACATCAATATCGTATTTAACACAAGTGTATATTTATTCTACAGATGGTGGTAAGTGCGTAGTTAGAAGCATCAAAAATGACGATGCATGCACGGGAGAGGTAGACCCAGCTGAACAGTACTATTTTGGGTAAGGTTTAAAATTAGAAACTGAACAATTTTAACTTGCAACTTTTTAGTCATCCTCAGACTCCCTCAGTGACAGGCACACTTACTTTCCCATCAAATCTGTGATATACAAATCTTATAACTACACTATAAACTAATTGGCGATTTCTAGCCCTAAATAAACATAGCACACACAAATGTATACAATGAAGAGGCTATCATTTCTAGTGATTTCAGAGGGGCTTCAAAATGTATAATAATTACCGTTTGGTTTCATTGGATACATTAAGTCGGCAACATTCAATGTACCATGTATAGATATATGTATTAAAAGAACTAATTAATTATCATATCATTGTACAGTGTTAAAATACATTGATTGAATCTACTCACCTTGCAGAGTAAACGTCCTTCTGCCGCCGGAATCTGGTGTTGCTTCTAACCTTAAAAATGCTTTGACAGCGAGATTGGAAGAGGAAAACATTGAAACACCTTTCCTTCTCAAGGTAAATTTCCATATGAAATCTTTCTTTTTTTCCGAGAAAGTAACCGATGAAGTTGGGGCTTCACATTTTGTAATTTAATGTTGGCCTTTGCGGTCAGCAAACATGGTAGAAATGTCCTAATTTCAGTGTACACAGTTGCTAAAATAATTGATGCCGATGGATACAATGTACAATATTTTCGCTGTTTCTTTGAAGATCGATTCTTTTATAAAATTGCTGAATACTGATTTGTTTGCAGGATAACATCAAAGAACGGACAAATCTGAACGATGTCGACATGATCAAGTTCACGCTGGCATTCAGTCTGTAGTTGTGGAGTCAGCGTTGGCTAATGGCTGGGAGAGATTTTGAAGGAACACTGCATTGTAAAACTGTGTGGGGAGAACAACATATCCATATTAGTAGAATTATAATGAATCAATTGAATTAATATTATTATTTCATTTTTTACAAAACTTTTTTTCTTGAATTGATTCAGATAATTTGAGAAGCTGCTGCCCGAAAACTAATATCTATGGGAACAATGGTGAAATGTTTTCAGTGTTCGGTCAGGGAAAAAAGAATCAAGATAAACTTTTTGGTTAAATAAATAAATAGTAAAAATTCACAAAAATCACACTCTTAAACAGCCCCAATCAAACACACGTACACATAATCTTAGCCAGTCGAATAATCCACTTTTCATTGATTTCAGGCTTTAAGAGGATTGTACTTATTACGACAGTCTTCCGGATTTCGACGATTATCAAAAATAATTAACATTCAAATCGGGCTGCAAAGGGCAAATTTAGGTTATGTCTCCAGTTTTTCTGGTAACATGATCTCGTTTCGTTCAAAAGATTAAACCATAAAAAACATGTTGCACTGCATGCAAAATTTCACAACCTCGAGAATCTAAAGTCCATATAAAAAGTAAACTCGAGGAGCAAAAGAATCTGAAAATAGTGCTGACCTAACCTATAATGTAGGTTTCTACTTCCTGTCACAAAACCTACTACCTCAGAATAAAAGTCAGTCAAATAAGAATCTAGATCCATGCAGCATGTAACTGAGAAATCTCTTCTTCTTTATATTGAACAGCTTTCTTTATCAAACAAAATTCCTCATTCTAAACAAACCAAAGGCTAATGCACCAAGTCGGAATTTAGCACGTAGTCTTTGTAAAAGAGTTTAGCACGTAGTCTTTGTAAAAGAGTTTAGGTACTAAAAGAGTTTAAATCAGTCTGTGGTATCATAAATCAATCATAAATCTCAATTTGATGATCAGCTAAAATGAAATTCCGAATTCGACTCTGCTCTTGCCTCTTTCGGTCTTTCACATAGAGTTCGAACTAAATTGCGGGTGGGTCTTTCTGTTTATTCTTTCATTTCTTCTGATAAGATTGTTCAAGTATGATAAATCGAATCTTACTCATTCATCACACGTATGCCTTCCTTTAAGTTCTACCGTGGCCTAACAGCACGCTGCAATTTAACAACAGATCCTTTAGGACGACCATCCTGCCCTCTCTTCTGGGCACTGGAAGGCTGCTGAATAACAATAGTGTTTCTTTTCGGTCCACCATTATACGGTTTGATAGGCAGAATAACCCTGGAAGGGTGCTTCACAAGCCCTTGTGGAATGGTGCTATGAGGGATGGTTAACGGAGGTTTAGAAGAATTCTGGATTATGATAGACTTCTTGACGACTGGGGACTTCGTGAAAACGACAGGTTTTCTCCCGCTAGCAGGTTTGTTGATGATCACATGACGAGGTGCAAGAGGAGCTCCTGTTTTTGGTGCTGGTGCAGCATATGCTCCTGGACCCGTTCTGACCTTTCCAATAACTCCCGGGGTTCGCTTGACAGACCTGGCCGCTGTTTTACCCTTACCTCGGCCCCTAGTTAAACAAGTCACGTGACTGCTAGGAGCAGGTTGGGTAAGAGTCAGGGAAAGGGAAACGTCTTCAGTGGGTGCTTCTTTCTCGGCGGAGCTTTTCAGGGTTCCACGAAAACGATATGTCAGAGCTAGAACTGCTTGCTGAAAGGATGTTTGTAAGGATCATGCGTTTTAATTAAGTCGATGTAATATCAGTAGTTTTCTGTGCTGTTAATTTATAATTTGAGAACATTAGGAATGACATCTCCCGAGTTAATATCGCCATAAGCTATGTATTCAAGTACAATTTTAGAGAAACACAAACAAACAAGTACAAATTATCGACACTAGGCCGCGAAAATCGAGGGAAACAAAAGTCAATCTGACAAGGATTATGACGCGCGCAAATGCGCGCGACGATTATGCTATAGTGAAGGATAACAACTGCGCTATCTCTCCTGGCTAGGCATTGAATTTTGTGGCCAAATTTTAAGTTTCTGAGGCACAACGTGGGCGAAGCGGGCTGCTTTCTTAAAAGTCTATCGGAACCCAACACTGAGTTGATAAACTAGCTCTGAAGTTGACACACTCTAAGGTCCACAATAATATTCCTATCAGATAAATTACACATTCGGCAATAACCAATCACGCGTTAATTTGAAAATTGAAAATAACTTACAATCATTAAAAACTGACTGTACACAACACTTTGTACATTATATATACACGAGCAGAGATGTTAATAACATTTGTCTCACCTTCACAAGGCCAAGTTTTATCCTTGATAAGAGTCCAAGTGTAACATCCTCGTCAAGCAGGTAATCTCCATACAGTATATCCACCTGGGTGGGGACATATCTTTGTTATAAATGTTGTTAAAACCTCCCCACATGTGTAAAGGATAACAGAAAAGTGACTTCCTGAAATACAAAGAATGTCTTCTCATAGTTTGTTTTCCCCAATTGAACTGTTCAAGCAAATAGAAATTCTACAGCTAAACTTAAAACTAATATAAATAATTAATACTTACATCAGGGGCGTTTTGTATAGCTAGGACTCGAGTCCTCTCCCAAGCTTTCTGTGACTTTGCATCGTCAAACTGCGGCTGAGATAGTATAACTTGTTAACTTAAACTTAAATAGATCGTATAACTTGTTTTACAAAATTCCCAAAGAATGAAACCCTACATGTACAAATGAGAGTTAATTCTGAGATCATAATGATCTTCTCAATATTTAGAGACATATTTATATACTATTTCAATTTCCAAAATGCAGCTGTAGCTATTTCAATATGGCTAAAACTCTGGGGGAAGTAGTTAGTCCACAGGAGATCAACAAAAGCTATTAACAAAAAGAACCATTAAAGTAACATTTTCTCACCACGTCAAATCCAAGAGAGAGACGTTGTCTGATAAACTCCTTCAAGTGTAGAACAGTGAGATCAGAGGGAAATCGTATCATGTGACCGGGATATCTCTGCGGAGATATACATCTTGTGTTAGAGATATGTATCTTGAGTTAGAGAGGGAGTCCGAGGTCAATTTTGAGATCTTTTGGTATGTTGTAGAGCTCGGTCTAAATTTGCAAATACCTTTGTCCTCACCAAAAAAAATTTCCGGTCCGGTGTGTCAAATTTTGAATTTAACATGTAATTCTATTGTTTGGGATATGTATCTCGAGAAAATGCCTGTCTACCAAATAAGGAAACATTTTAAAGGCCCTAAAATAATATGACGATGATAACCTTGATTCGCATGGTGGAGGCAGCTGTGTTCCGTTCATGTTGTAACATCACATAAACAGGCAGACCAGCTTGGCGGTACAGAGCTCGTTTCTTGGGAGTTAGGAATGTAGATTCTATCGGTTCAACTGTATCGGCTGGAGGAGAAATGCATGTAAGCGGATTACAAAGTTTCAATTTAAAATGAAGAAAATGAATAGATTGCTGTCAGCATGCAGTATACAGTTTATTCTATTTATTCATTTAATGATAGCGGAAAATTAAGATAACCAACCTTCCTCACGTTCACCCCTAGAAGCGTAGAACTGTTTGCGTGAAGCACGTTCTGTTTCCGCGAACCCTGGCACAACCTTGTTTATCAGATCTTGAAGCTGGTTATCTGACCTGCACAGTGCAAGTTATTGGTTATTTTAATCTGGTCAGCGCTAAAAGGGTGACTCTTGAGTCATCCTGCAGGTGCATCTGTACTGTATTTGAATATATTTCAATTATTTACGAAACAAATATATTTATTATTATCGTGGGACGTAGTGCAAAACCGTCATAATAATAAACAGTACAAAACTGCGTTACTATACATTGTAATTTGTACAGTATAATATAATGAGCTACAAAACATATGTAAGTTTATTAGTTTATCTTGGTATGGGAGTGTTGAGTGTAAAGACATCTCAATGTTACATTCAGAAAATAGGTTATCAGTGCTTAAGGGGGCAGCGGCATGGGGGGGGGGGGGTCTTTATGAAATTTCTCTCGAAATTGATTTTATAGTTGTTTCTGATAGAGGGGAGTGATATCTATCTGCTGCTTTTGGTCCCATGGAAAAATATTGTTCCTAGCCGAATTTATTGCCGGTCAAAGGTCAGCGTTAATGTGTAATTGTATTGCGCGAGCGATTTTCAATCGCGCGCCCTGGAAATCGAGTCTAAAATTCTATCTTCTCCTACATTTTTTGAGCAATCACCTTGAAACTTTCAGGATATGTTCTAAGGACCATTTAGAATATTCCATTCGATCAGAATTTTAAGATAGGCCTTAAAAAATTTTTTATTCGATTTTGAAAATCTTGGACCTGGAAAAATCGTCAAAAAACTAGATCAAAGTAGATACTTTAGCTCCTCTTTCCCATATTAATCTGCCTCTCTCTAATCACTAATGACTAATCTCTTGACTCTTTTAAGCTTGAAGTGTTTCTTAATGTGATTCCCGCCCAACCATGAAGGAGTGGCGACCTAGAATTAGGGCAGCCATCCCATGGAAAATGCATGCACAAGGCATGTGTAACGGCCTTATTCAATTAGTTCGAAATTACTACATATGAACTTTAAAAAGTAATACTTGTGTTTGATGTCGTTTAATTTTTTTTGTGAACATTTTTATAAAATTTTTTATAAAATTTTTTTTTTGCTTTATAAAGCAATTTTCGACAAAAAATTATAGGTCAACATTTCAAAAAGGGGGCGGCGACCGCCTCCATCGCCACCCCCTGGGCACGCCCCTGAGGTGTATCTATCAAGCTTCTCAAAGCTTTTGGATCACTTGGGGCACGCTATCGAAAACCTTGACAACGATTATGAGTTGTTCATAACAGGTGATTTCAACCTACCTCAGGTTGACTGGGGATCGCTTCAGATCCACAGCGGTGGGACATCAGAATCAAATTTATCGGCCCAACGCTTGTTAAACTTTATGTCAACCTACCTTCTCAGTCAAATGGTCAACGTGCCTACCAGAGGAAACAACATTTTGGACCTGGTTTTCTGTAACAATGACCGACTGATATCGGATGTTAAAACTGAAGCAACCGATATATCTGATCACGATATGGTCAGCGTCCTACTCTCCTTCAACCCTGGTGTGATGGAGGAGGCCCATGCTACATATCTTGATGAAATGAACTTTCGAGCATTAGATTTCAATCAATCTGATTTTCCCCAACTGAATAAGGTTTTTGAAGCTATTGATTGGGATGAACTGAGAGATGCTGGTACGTTCGAGGAATTTCCTGCCAAGTTCACGGATAAAGTACTAAACACGTGCATATCGAACATTCCCAAGAAACGACCTCCATAAGGCAAGCCTAAGCTCTACAACTCTCTCAGAAGACGGAAGTCTAAGCTTAAAACTCGTCTCTCCGCAGCAAGGTGCGCCGGTGACAATGCCCGAATCAAGAAACTTGAAGACGAGATCGGGCTGGTGTGCTATGAGATAAAGGAGGCCATAGTCAACCATCTCGACCAAGGTGAGAGGAGAGCGGTGGAGCGGATCAAAAGTAACCCCAAATATTTCTTCTCCTATGCCAAATCATTCTCCAAAGTGAAACACAACATCTCTACCCTCCTGAACGACAATAAGGAACTAGTCACTGAACGGAAAGAACTCGCCAACATCCTTCAACAACAGTTCTGCTCCGTTTTCAGCGACCCTACCTGTCCCGACACAGCAGTCCCTACATTTGCGGTACCACCCCTTATCAGTAGAGACAATGACATTGTGTTAACACCTGATAGTATCATGGAAGCTATATCTGAAATTAAGCTAGACTCTGCCCCTGGACCCGATGGAATACCAGCTATTCTTCTCAAAAGGTGTGCTACCAGCCTTAGTGTCCCGATTTATCTTATGTGGTCAGAGTCCATGTCATCTGGTATAGTGCCAAGCTTCTACAAGACGGGTTATGTTTCGCCACTATTCAAGAAAGGCAGTAGATGTGAAGCTGGAAACTACAGACCTGTCACTTTGACCTCCCACATTGTAAAAGTGTATGAAAGAGTGGTAAGGAAACATATGGTGGAGTATTTGGAAGCCAACAGTCTCTTGACCGATAAGCAGCATGGTTTCAGAGCGAATAGGAGCTGCTTGACTCAAATGCTCGGCCATTTTGACGACATCTACGAAGGGTTTACTCGTGGTGAAGATACAGATTCTATATATCTGGATTACGCTAAGGCGTTCGATAAAGTCGACTTAAATCTTCTCATTCACAAGCTGAGAAAATATGGGTTTCATGGCAAGCTCATAGAGTGGATAAAGTCCTTTCTCTTTGATCGCGAACAAGTCGTGGTGCTTAATGGAGTTCACTCGGTTATCGCAAAGGTTTTAAGTGGTGTTCCCCAGGGAAGCGTTTTGGGGCCGCTTCTCTTTATCTTGTTCATCAATGATCTAGAACAAGTAGTGGACTCATCTAGGGTGAGTTTTTTCGCCGATGATACTAGAGTCTCCAAACAGATTGGCTGTTTTGAAGACTGTCAGTTGTTACAAGAAGATATCTATAAGATTCTTGACTGGTCACGTAGCAACAACATGAAGCTTCACGAGCAGAAGTTCGAGCTGTTAAATCACCTCCATAACAGTAAGAGCTCATTCCCCGAACTACCCTTCTTTGCCGAAACACTGCGTTACAAAGTATCCAGTCAGGACATACTTTATCCTGTCGAAAACGTCCGAGATCTTGGAGTTATGGTTTCAAGTGATCTTAGCTGGTCGACACACATCGGCAACATGGTACCCAAAGCAAGGAGCACACTATCTTGGGTATTCAGTGTGTTCAAAACTCGCGACAAGACCGTAATGATTACTCTCTACAAGTCACTAGTAAGAAGCTTACTAGAGTATTGCTGCCCACTCTGGAGCCCTACCAAGGTGACTGAAATACAGCTGATAGAGGGGGTGCAAAGAACTTTCACCAGTCGTATTGGCGGTCTTCAACATCTCAACTATTGGGAAAGACTCGTACAGCTTAAATGATGTCTCTACAGCGCAGACGGGAGAGGTATATCATCCTGATGATGTGGAAGATTCTCCATAATGTGGTACCAAACTGCTGTGATATCAAATTCAAGGTGACCCCAAGACACGGGGATGTAGCTGTCATACCCTCATTGTCAAAGTCAAGTTCCTTACGCAACCAGTCACTGTACGACAGGTCTTTTGCAGTTCAAGGACCGAAGCTGTGGAACAAAGTGCCTCACACAGTAAAGGCTGATTCATCCTTTGACATGTTTAAGTGTAGTTTGTCGAACTTTCTTGCTTTGATACCGGACAACCCTCCGGTCGCCGGCTACAGCTGCAGTTGGTCAAACTCACTGGTCGACTACTTGCCATCCAGGTGCAGTGGTCAGATATCTGATGACCCTTCCGGCTCCACGGATGAACTCAACGAAGTAACGAAGTAAGTATCTGTAGGTATGCGAGAAGTCCCCCCCCCCCCCCCCCCCCCCCCCCCCCCCCCCCCCCCCCCCCCCCCCCCCGCCCCCCCCCCCCCCCCCCCCCCCCCCCCCCCCCCCCCCCCCCCCCCCCCCCCCCCCCCCCCCCCCCCCCCCCCCCCCCCCCCCCCCCGGCCCCCCGTTTACTTACTTGAGTGTTTTAGTAGGCTCAGTAGGATTAACAGAAATTCCACATTGGGGACATGAAGAATTCTTTATAAATTCCTTCACTATACAGCCTTTACAAACTGAAACAAAGTCTACAATTAAAAGCAGGCCTGGGAACAGAGTTAGAATTTAAATATCATATAAAAAAACATACAGGGTGGGCCAAAAGTCAGTACCCATACGTTGGCCTTAATAGCTCCGCCGTGTTTTATATTTGAGAGCTGTTGCTTTGCAGATGGCATACTGTACTTACTGGTTCGAGGATTCCGTCGTCAAAATTTGAAAATTCGAATATTTTAGACCACGCCCATTCAATATTAAAACACCTATATTTTTTTCTCTAAACATGCTGAACGCCTGATTTTTTCAGAGACGGTAGATTATCAAATGTTGCATATGATCTGAAAACATGAGGAAAAAAGGATTAGAAATGACGAAGTTATCAAGCATTTTCTGTATCTCGTTAAAAATATTGACTGGGTGATTATGTGACACCGTGACACGACACCTTAATTCGGCACCCTTAACAATTCCCATAATGTTTAACGGGGTAGTTAACGGGGGAACCTTAGGTAAACCAATCACCTGATCACACGTAATGAATACCTAAACTCGTTATGCTTCATATCTCGGTCATCTGAGAAGCTACAGTTCTAATTCTTTCAGGACAAACGTAATTCGAATGGCCAAACACAATTCAATAACATTTAGCTTGATCCGACTATCCAAACTATCAAATAAATGTGAAAATGAACCTCCATTTGAAAAAAATGAACGCGAATATTTTTAGAGTTGACAAATTCCTCGAACCAGTGGTGGTACTAAGTCATACCAGAAAGAAGTATTTAAATTGGGCACTCAGTGACTGAGCTATAAAGGCCAACGTATGGGTACTGACTTTTGGCCCACATAAGAAAACATTTTTGTCGTAAAACTAAGATGTCAGACCAAATTTTAGAGTTCTACAGAACTGATCATTATATAAAATTATTATAAATTATAAATTATTATAAATTTGACCAAAACCCATAATCATGGGTAGAGTGGACCGCTGCCAGTGTCTCTCTTTCCCAAACAAAAGGAAATGATATTAATTTGATTGACCGTTCTCAAATGCAAAATGATACCGAGAATGAAATCGGTCGCTCGCTTTTCCCATTCATTCACGGCTTACGAATTGTAATAAGTTTCGATTGATTACATCAATCAGATGCTGTAAAAATCTCTTTGGGTTGCGTTCGGGTCGATACCTAGTATTTCGGGGTAAGGGTGGTAGTTATTACTTATTGAATTAGCTGAAGTTTATTGAAACTTTATTGCCGAGTACAGCTGCCTTCGGGTAGTTCTTTTTAATGTATTACAATTGTAAATGAATGGGAAAAGCGAGCGACCGATTTCATTCTCGGTATCATTTTGCATTTGAGAACGGTCAATCAAATTAATATCATTTCCTTTTGTTTGGGAAAGAGAGACACTGGCAGCGGTCCACTCTACCCATGATTATGGGTTTTGGTCAAATATCATCTATTTTTGATTATAATGTCAGGGTACTTTAATTTTATATAGTTGAAATACAAAATATAAACTGATATCTTCATCAATAAGGAAGAAGTTTCAACGATTTCGAAATTTTTCCTTTAAAAACTTTTTCTTGTGTTTAGGTAAGCATATCAGTCGATCACTGACTGAATATGCCACTTTATACTCATTCAAGTTGGCATTAAATTCATATATAATGACATTAAACTGTCGTGGCAAAGCAGAATTTGTTGGAAATCACGAATGAGCAAAATTCTCACCTTTCGCAAGTGCAAACTTTGAGCGGTCGTTGCGTGCGCATCCAATACTGAATCGCCGTAAATTTGTTCATGTTGGTGTTTTATATATAGTTTGATAAGCTTGCAAAGTTTCAATGTATTTCAAAAAGAACTGTAATCACAACGGCACTCTATAGTTGACAGAAAATGACGAAAACAGCAATTTTCAGTGATTTTAGCAATTTTCTATCAATTTGGGCGTGTCCCCACGTGTGCAACTTTTCGATTTTCAACTTTAAAACTAGCCTAATGCACAATTTATACCTATAGGAAGCAGAACTGAGCTCCACAACCCAAGGCATGGCCCAACACCAGAGAATACTAAATCGCAAAATTGACGTTTTTATAAAATAATTCTTCAAAAAAGCACAAACTTCAATGACGAATATTTTTATGAAGGAGCAAGGTAGAATAACTTTCCGGTAGATTTTGAGAATGCTTAAACAATTATCTAACTTCAATATGTCCTCAAATCTTGAATAAAATTAATTCTTAATGGTGTAAAATCGATTTTAAAAGTGATTACTTTGTCAAAAATCAAGTTTTTAAAACGGTTAACTTGATGACGTCATCAAGGGGTGTTCATGACGTCAAATAATTTTTTTATACAATGTAAACTAAAGTGTAAATAATTATTCGCAAGACCTGTGGTCGGAAATGGCTATATCTTTTATACTTTTGAATCTATGGACACTTAAATACAGGCTATAATTTACTGGCAAAGCGTCTATCCCTGAATATATATGTATGTATATCTGTATGTATATGTCCCGACAATCTGTTGTAAAACAGGGGTTCTAGAAAACCCATTTCCCGATGCTCCTGAAACTTGAAACTTTTTTTACAGTCGATTTGGTCAACGTCTAGACGCCCTGCAAAATTTCAGATCTCTAACACAATTTTAACATGGTTTTTAAAGCACCTGAATATGGTGATTTTGGGTTTTTTACCGAATTTCGTATAACATGCTGGCGCGTATTTTGCGCAAATTTCTCAAAAACCTTCACATAACTATTTCTTATTCCTGTCATATTTAAAATTAAATTAGAATGTTTTGAACTTAAATATACCTGCTGAACTACTTTCGATGAGTCTTAATGCTTGAAAAACAATAAAGGGGTATACTAGTAAAGGGGGTAAATAGTAAAGGGGTTAAATAGTAAAGGGGGTAAATAGTAAAGGGGGTAAATAGTAAAGGGGGTAAATAGTAAAGGGGGTAAATAGTAAAGGGGGTAAATAGTAAAGGGGGTAAATAGTAAAGGGGGTAAATAGTAAAGAGGGTAAATAGTATTGTGAATATAAGAGGCACGGTCATGCTTGCCAGCATTGTGATTATAAATTATTATAAATTAAAACCAAATGCTTACAAGTGTGCATGCATTCGGAGATTGCGGTGGCGTTAACCATGTATCCTTTACACAGAGAACACGTGATATAATCGTTGAGGTCTCGGAGTTTTACCATTATGTAACTGAATTGTAGGTTAGGTTTGCTGTTGTTGTTTGTGTAACATTGGGTGTTACAAGTTACATAAATATAGAAATTGTCACAATGTGGTCGTTATGTAAATATATGTAAGTATCATTCATAATGATTACATACTAAGATTATTTGAAAAGAGGTATTATTGTATATAATTGTAATAGTTTTCTGGATTTGCAATAATTAGAATTTCAACTGACACCGATAATAATCATACACTATGAATAGTATTAGTAAGGGCCCATCAGTTACAGATTTAGTGTAAACAATTAATCGACTGATCCAAAAAAATTGGAGTTTACAACAGATAATAACTTAATAATGATATATAATACATTTACACTGTCAATGTTTAGAAAACCAAATACAGATCTTGCAACATCAGCAGGAACAAACAGTACGGAAACAGTGGCGGAAAAGCTACACACTTGAACGTAAAATCACAATTTGTGTCACAAACTGCAAATCATTTCCAAGGTAGTTTGCAAATCGTTTAACTAAATACAGTGCATTTAAATAATATGTTGCACACCTTGATATTTAAAGTAATTAATATAAGAAATTCTACTCAGATCCACTACAAAACACCCCATCAAACTATATATCACAAGAATCATACTGTTCAGATAAAGAAAACACTTCCCGAAAGACGGCTTAGGGGTCGTTCACATATTAAGTAATCAGCCGAGTGGGGAAGGGGGGGGGGGTTTCCAAATGATTACGCTAGTGTAATTTTGACACAAAAAGTGATTACACTAGCGTAATCATTTGGAAAAAAGTGATTACGTAATAATATGTGAACGACCCTTTAAATAACAGCTATCGTTATACTACGTATAACTTAAAGCTGTGTAATTTAATTAGCTCCAAAATTCTAATCATGCCAAAACGTGGCATCACAAGAATTTCACATGATAAATATAAGAATAAAATTAACATTAAGTTTGCATTGATACCTTGAAAAATAGATTTAACTTCATTTACAGTCAGGTAACTGACTAGTGGTACCATAGGACCGTTACAAGTTCATTTTGTCAATAATGCATTGACATAAATTTAAATTGTTTATTTTCATCGGAGTATCACTGCTGTCTGGTTATTAAACAGACGTAATTATTATCAGAAGAACAAATTTGAATAAGAAGTAACAAAAAACTTACATTTGTCTAATTTACCCATGTCTTTTTTATTTTCCTTATTTCATTATCGACACGGACAAAACAGACAAAAACTCCACTATTTGGGTATAATGATGGCTCTTCTCAGTCCTTAAGATAAGATGCAAAATTGCTTGATGATTTGATATTTTTAAAACAAAATCTGAAGGAAAAGAATGGTAATTTCACGGTTTTATGGGTCACAATATCTTTGAATCGGTAGAAATTATGTAGAAGTCATGTTCAGATGTGAGACGTGAGTGTAGATCTCTGCTTTGAGGAGTGAGTAGAGTTTGTCTGAAAACGATCAAACAAGCACTGTTGCAGTGCAACGATCCAGCAAGAGCAATGTGCAATTACTTTCAAACAGGTTGTCAAAAGAGAACTATTGACTGTGTTCGTCCTTGTAAACTGTTTCTTCCACGATCCAATCATCTGCAGGTATTGGAGCTTCAATCAGTTCAGCCATCTCCTCCAACGACCAAATCGGGTTTTCAGGATCATCAAGAGTCTGCATATCTTTAGCGCTATTGACATCTTGGTGTCCGTCTGACGGTGGCATCAGATCAAACTTGCTTTCCATCTCCCCCTGGTGAAACTTCATCTGATGAAACTTGATGGCATCGTATGATAGGAAGAGAGCAGAGCAGAAGCTGCACACATACGAGTGTGTTCTCTCATAGTGCTTGTCAAGAAGATAACGAGTGTTGAAGACTTTGTTGCAGAACGAACACTGGTAAACCGTTTTGTCTCCATGATCATCATCCGGGATTTTGGTGGTACTTGAAGTTGGTTGGACGTCAGTCAACGTGTTGCCATCGGAAACAATAAGGCTTGCCGTGAAATCTGGACCAGATTCTGAGCTCATCCTTCGAGCAATTTCTTTGCTGATGTCAACTGATTCAGGATTAGCGGTGCTGGTCAGTGTCTGCAGAAGATTTCCGATGTCGTTGTCAGTTTGGTTGTGTAAAAGAAGATGCCGATCAAATGTCATTCTATGTTTCACTGCCTTGTGACAGACCGGACAAACGTTGACCTCCTTCCATTTATGTTTTGTAGTCATGTGCCTGATGAGTTCAGTTTTTGTGGAACATTTAAACGTACATCTGCTGCAAAAGAAAACCCCCAAGTTATTTTTTGGCAAGTGGAACATCTTTAGGTGACTTTTGTACGCTGATTGACATTTCAAGACTTTGTTACAGATTTTACACTTGTACCTGACACCTTCGTGGATGGATAAAACATGGTTTCTCAAATTTTTGATGGTTGAAAATACCTTGGAACAATAGTAGCACTTGAATGCACCGTCACACTCATGCTTGACTCTCACATGGTTGTAGAGAGACCACGGGTACCCAAACAACTTTGAACACTTCAGACACTGATACTTTTTTACATTTAGATGTTGAACATTGATGTGTTCCTCCATGGTGTGTTTCCTGGCAAATTGTTTTCCACAATATTTGCACCGGTTACTTCCCATGTTGTTGTGAATGAACTTGATGTGTTGCGTAAGATTGTCGTGTCTCGTAAATGTAGATGGACAATAAGGACATTGAACAGTAGTGGAAACATGAACACTTTCTTTGTGACGACGCAAGTTAAAGTTTCTGGAGTATTTAAGACCACATATGTCACACACAAAACGACTGGACACGTTGTTTTTCCGGCCCATTTTCTTTTTCTGGTGAGTTATTTCAGCAATTTGAATATTAGTTTTATTGCCATGAGAATCAAATACAGTCTCTGTTGTTGAAGAGATAACCATACTGGAATTTGCCGAGGCACCATTGCCCCCATCGTCGTTAGAGACAGAATTTCCAGTATTTGGTACAATGACCCATACAACATGATCCTCTGTAGTATTTTGTTCTTCTGCGTTGTCTTGTAGTGACTCCATCCCTACCCATGTTGAAACATCTTCCTCCATCATACTAATAACCTATAAATATAAAACTGTTTATAAATTTAATTATATTAAGGACTCAAATATTATGATCAATTATCTACTGTTTTTATTAACAATCGTTTGACAAACCAACAAAATTTTGACTTCAGTTTGCAACGCAAAGTGGTGTGCCGTGTGTGTGGGTAATTTCTGATTGGGACAATACAAACAGTGTTAAAACAACAATTTTCACTGAACTATTATATTGAGAAGTAAAATAAGAAGCAAAAAGAGACAATAAAACTAAATTTGTCAATAAATAAATGTAAAATTACAATATAATATATATAATGTAAAAGAAATGTGTATTTATCTTAAATACTAAATAAAAACATGGGATGATAAAAGCATCTCTGAACTTGACTAAGTTAATAAAGAACAGTACATTACTGGAAATGGAGATTCAACTTGATAAATCGAAGGACGTTTTTAAAATTCATAAGCTCAACAAAATGAGTATTTCTGTCTCTTACACCAAGCACACCATCACTCACTGTACTGTCGGATAAAATAATTGAAAATGGGATACCTTTTAGATCATTTTCTTCACAAATTTGGTCAATAGGTGAGCAGTCACTAAATTCAAATCTGATGTTTTCTCGTTGAAAAATAGTAAGCAACTCATCAAGTATTTTATGAACATCAGTTTGAATTAAAGGGTCAACAATAATACTTGCTTGAATAGGAGCAAACTTGTGATGAAGTTTGAGATACTCATACCCATCTACTGAAGCAACTGAGTCCTCCAGAAATGTATTCATACAAGCCATTGTTGATCTCATGTTACAGATAAGATCCATTTTAAATTTGTCAATACTAACTGACTCAATCCATGTCCGTTCAATGGAAAATGCAGTGTCATTGCTTTCGTGTGGCAGAGGGTCATATAGAATGTCATAACATTTGGGCTGAATTTTCTGACTCAAGTTTAAAGGTCTATTTATAAACATTTTCCACCATGACTTGCTTGTTTGATGAATTTCGTGAATTTTAACATCTGCATCATTACTAGCTTTAAGGAACGAGACATACACTGTATCCATTCCATTTTTTCCAATGTTGGATTTCTCTAGCTTTTGAGCAAAAATTCCAATGCTATTTGAAGGTTCTCTGAATAACCGTAAGGTCAGCTGATTGCCTGAGTTCAAAATATCAGTAAACACTCTTAGATTACAGAAAGGGAAGTTCCCTGTGACAGGAGTCTGTGAAACAAGCTTTGTGTTTGTACCAAACAAATGGGATTCATATAATTGACTTTCAATGTTTTTCTGTAGGCAAGCAAGAAAAGAAGGGGAAAGTCCAGACAAAACTCGAGACATATCAGTTCATTTCCTGAAATACTACTTGTCAGACATTCTCATTAATAACTTGTTGACATTATAATTAAGATTAATATTGTGATGAGCGTTAGCTGACGTTTCATATGAACGTTCCAAGATAACAGAGTGTATAATCTTAAGATTGATGGTAGTCATGTACACATGAAAACGAGGCGACCGCTTGTGACTCGACTAGTTATATACAATATGATTTCTGATATGATTTATTAACATTATTATATTGATCTGCTAATTTATACTTGTTGGTAGCCATGAAGAGCCAAACTAGTCATGACTACCATCAATCCAAAGATGAATATTGTAGAATACAAACTTGAAGCACTGTTTTTGCAATTTCTGTTATCACATTTCTCAGCAAATGTATGTTCGCAACCGTTATGAAAGTAGACTATAGACAGAATGAGCTAGATATGTGCTGCCCATTCATCAGTCACCCAATACATCACATTTGTAACAAAAGACTGGTTCATGCTCCTTAGTATAAATCATCAACATACGTATTTTGTTACTATGGACGAAATGGGTGTGTCCACTCACCAAAAATCAAAAGACATCAGGCATTGTCGACATTTCGGCTGCATGCCTTGATCATCTAAGACAAATGTTGAAATTACATTTTACATAGCTGATTCAGTGGCGGGGCATAAAGAAGGGCCCTTAAATCGTCGTTTAAATGTGGGACAATTTTGAAAAACTGAACGCTTTGCTCTGGACACACACTTTTTTAGAGATTTGCCGGTGTATCCTCGAAAATCACCTAATTTATACAATTTTAGGGAGGGGCACTAAAAGGGGAGGGGGTGCCAACAGGGGGGCCCTTTTTTGGCGGTGGGTGCCAACAGGCAACGTTACACCACTGAGCTGATTGTTTTTATACATACGGCATACCTAAAACTCCTCAAGAATGACCGACTCAAGAGCGAAATTTAAAAAATATTATGTGTGTGCTAGAACCGTTGGAACCAAATATGGGGTGATGTATAATAATTCATAATTCATTAGATTTGTATTGTATTCCTATGTTACTTATAAAGCGTATGTTATTGCCCACGTTAAGGGGCCTGTTAATAATTAATTAAATTATTAGCTATTTTATATTTAATAATAATAATTACTTATAGAATATAATTCGATAAATACATTTGTGTAAGGAAAATATTCAAGCAATATACACATATAACTTTAGCAATGCTTACTGTCTGACTATTTACTTTGCTTTATTTTAAGATACAAATTAAAGTAAAATCGTAAAACATACCCGGAGAAAAGATTAAAGTGCATACAATTAGAGTACATACAATTCTTTGCATATAGGATGGCAATCAGTCTGTTCCCGAAAGACTTCAATGTGCAGTTAGAGTTATAAATCATGTAGCGCTCGATTTACAGTTCGTAGTAGAAACGTGATCTAACAATATACATATATCAGCGATGGTTATTGCCCAGCTATAATGTTGGACATCCCCCGCCCCAAATAAAACACCAATACAATAATTGCAATAAAATAGTAGAAATTTGAATGTGAATGGTGAATGAAAGACCAGCTATTATATACTGTACTGTATACATGATACAGAAAATAAATAAATAAAAAGTACACAACATGAATTTTCATTGAGTGTTGAGCCCATGGCCATCGTAAACATTTTATGATACAAAATTTCAACTATAGTCAACAGTTTATTGATTTCGAATTAGCAGTAATCAGTATTTAAATATTTTCAGTACGGTCGGTCTGCCGCATGATGTCAATCCATCAAGATCGTAGATTCACGATGTCAATCCTTCGCAACTCGGCGAGGCCCAGTGGTGTATTTTTCCGATTTACAGAAGTGATTGCGAGAAGAATTATTTGTGGTTGCGAGAAAAAATATTTGATGTGCGGCACGGCCTAGTAGTGCATCGCGCTGCACCGAGATCGTTGCTCTACTGAGCAAAAATAATAATTCGCACGGCGCGTCGAAGCGGCGCACAGGAAAACTATAGTAATAGTGCAAAAACTGCTGCTAACTGCTGCTCACTTTGACCATTGTTAATGGTCTGGCCCGGCGCGCGCTACTTCGTAGCACTTGCCATCGGGCAACATTTCGAGAAGAAAGCAGCGCGCGCTACTTCGAAGAAATGTTTGACATACGTTGCATGCCACTTTTCGCGCGCGAAATCAAAAAATTTAGACGGGTAACATCCGTCAACTGCTCACTGCTGTTCACTGCTGTTCACTGCTGCTCACTGTGCATGCTGCTATGTGCTATGGGCGCGCGCGTGCAGCAGCAGTGAGCAGCAGTGAGCATCAGTTAGCCTGAGGTCTCCAAGTAACTGTGGGCAAGCTTTTTCAAAAGTGAAAAAATGTGGAATGATTGAATTGGGTGGGCGTGCACTTTTGCAAGTGCAAGGGTTCATGCACAGACCTATTGGTCTACATGTATTTAACGGGTGATACTCGTAAAATATCTGTTCCAACTCGGCGCGCGTCCTGGTAGGTTGTAAACCTACAAACGTGTATAGGCTTTTACTAATTTGCTCGCCCAACCATGTCTACATTCTACAACAAAAACTTTTGCGCGTCTCCTAAATGCGATCGATTTAGTGAGCGCGGACTTTTTGGCGAAAAAAGACGTTTGCGTACGAACTACGCGTACTTTTTTCTAAAAAACGCTGCCTATATATTTACAACCCAGGAAACCCTACCGGCTGGGGTATATCTCCAAAAGTAAAATAAATAGAACCTTCCGGTTTTCAACAAAATGTCCGTCTCGTAAATTTAAAGTTGGCTCCCCAGGAGCACAATTTGGGACAACTTAGATTTTGAATTAAACCAAAAAGTTTGATTTTGGGCTAAATAAAATATCACAGCTTTTAAACTTTGCGAAGTAATGTCGTTGTCATGACTACTAGGCTCAATGCAGCGTGCGAAAGGTAAACTTGATGTGACGCGCGACGCCAAACGTGCTGTTGAAAATCTATCACCTCTAGCAAGCCCAGCAGGCGGTAAGGTTTTCTGGGAATTAAACAGCATTGGCGAATTAAATGGTCGAGACGCAATTTGACGGATGTTATTTTGCCGCTTTAGCTTCTCGAAATTTACCTGAGGACCCCAGGCTATTATGTTCCGCCGAATAAAGATTCGGCGGAATGACAGGCTGAGCGCCGCCCAGTAACTCAAAATATTATATATATATATATATATTTATATATACATTGGCCCAATGCAAGTTCTACGTAGTATAAGTAACGCGCGCCGGGAGCTAGTCCATTAACAATGGACAAGTCGTGATCCCCACGATCGTTTCACTAAGTTTCACCCCTTTATCGTTCTTAGGATACAGGGCCGGGGAGCCGCGCACTCGTGCGCAGCGGGTCATATAACGTATGACAAGTCATTCCGCAAGCGTTTTTGCCAAATTTTCGACGCACACTACGCATAAAAGCATTTAGTTGTTATTATATAATATATATATATCATATACATAATTATATTATGTATTATATCATTATGCATTATATATCATTATATTATCAATGGGCACCTGCGCATTCGTCATTAATTTCAAATAACCATAACTCATTGAGATTACATCTGTTCTAGCTCATATTTTAATTCCAAATAGAAAACACTATGATCTTATTGCTGTCAAAATATGAATATAATTTGTATCACGTCGTGACCCCCACGGTCGTTTCACTAGGTGACGATACAGGGGGAGCCGCGCACTCGTGCGTGGCGGGTCATACAACGTATGACAAAATATAATTACTTTATTTGCCTAAGAGTTATAGACTGTCAAAGTTTAAAACGCGCATTGGTACAGCACTTCACTAATAAGGTTATATTTATATTTCTTAACATTGAACATATTTTTGATCCTTACACATCATACTATTCTGTCCAATTAATGAATAGGTCCCCAAACTCATAACAGAAAACATGTCTTTTTGCCCGTAAGAGCCTCTACCAGTATAGTTAGTAAGGAGCAGGACCTATTCTAGGGGACAAGACTTAGACTCTGCTAGTGGTAGTGCCAGTGCTAGGGGACAAGACACTGCTAGTGGCTACCACTAGTAGTGACACTACTAGTGGTAGTGCTAGGGGACGAGACACTGCTAGTGGTAGTGCTAGGGGGCGAGACACTGCTAGTGGTAGTGCTAGGGGACATGACACTGCTAGTGGTAGTGCTAGGGGACAAGACACTGCTAGTGGTAGCGCTAGGGGACGAGACACTGCTAGTGGTAGTGCTAGGGGACGAGACACTGCTAGTGGTAGTGCTAGGGGACAAGACACTGCTAGTGGTAGTGCTAGGAGACAAGACACTGCTAGTGGTAGAGGCAGTGCTAGGGGACGAGACACTGCTAGTGGTAGTGCTAGGAGACAAGACACTGCTAGTGGTAGTGCTAGGGGACAAGACACTGCTAGTGGTAGTGCTAGGGGACAAGACACTGCTAGTGGTAGTGCTAGGGGACAAGACACTGCTAGTGGTAGTGCTAGGGGACAAGACACTGCTAGTGGTAGTGCTAGGGGACAAGACACTGCTAGTGGTAGTGCTAGGGGACGAGACACTGCTAGTGGTAGTGCTAGGGGACAAGACACTGCTAGTGGTAGTGCTAGGGGACAAGACACTGCTAGTGGTAGTGCTAGGGGACAAGACACTGCTAGTGGTAGTGCTAGGGGGCAAGACACTGCTAGTGGTAGTGCTAGGGGACAAGACACTGCTAGTGGTAGTGCTAGGGGACAAGACACTGCTAGTGGTAGTGCTAGGGGACAAGACACTGCTAGTGGTAGTGCTAGGGGACAAGACACTGCTAGTGGTAGTGCTAGGGGACAAGACACTGCTAGTGGTAGTGCTAGGGGACAAGACACTGCTAGTGGTAGTGCTAGGGGACAAGACACTGCTAGTGGTAGTGGGGTCCGGGACTCTAGGGCGTAAGACTCTACGGCGTGACACTTTAGGGCGGCGCCCTAACCCTAACCATCACCCTAACCCTAACCCTTATCCTAACCCTAACCCTAACCCTAACCCTAACCCAACCCCAAACCCTAACCCTAACCCTAACCCTAACCCTAAGACCCTAGAGTCTTACGCCCTAGAGTCCGGACCCCGTGGTAGTGCTAGGGGGCAAGACACTGCTAGTGGTAGTGCTAGGGGACAAGACACTGCTAGTGGTAGTGCTAGGGGACAAGACACTGCTAGTGGTAGTGCTAGGGGACAAGACACTGCTGGTTGTAGTGCTAGGGGACAAGACACTGCTAGTGGTAGTGCTAGGGGACAAGACACTGCTAGTGGTAGTGCTAGGGGACAAGACACTGCTAGTGGTAGTGCTAGGGGACAAGACACTGCTAGTGGTAGTGGGGTCCGGGACTCTAGGGCGTAAGACTCTACGGCGTGACACTTTAGGGCGGCGCCCTAACCCTAACCATCACCCTAACCCTAACCCTTATCCTAACCCTAACCCTAACCCTAACCCTAACCCTAACCCAACCCCAAACCCTAACCCTAACCCTAACCCTAAGACCCTAGAGTCTTACGCCCTAGAGTCCGGACCCCGTGGTAGTGCTAGGGGGCAAGACACTGCTAGTGGTAGTGCTAGGGGACAAGACACTGCTAGTGGTAGTGCTAGGGGGCAAGACACTGCTAGTGGTAGTGCTAGGGGACAAGACACTGCTAGTGGTAGTGCTAGGGGACAAGACACTGCTAGTGGTAGTGGCAGTGCTAGGGGACAATGCTCGTCTAGACTTAGAGTTAGGAGGTGAAGCTTTGCTTGGGGACTCTGCTACATGCTAGCAGCTGGAGACAAATTGGTTTTGATTTATTCATCTTTAATTCACAAATTCTTCCTAAATGATCACCAGATTCATTTATTAGTTCCTTAAGACATGCGTTTAAAAAACACAGACCTGAAATGTGATGAAATTGCCGTTTTGTATGATCTAATGAAAACATAATTTTTTTGAGTAGTGAAAATCCATTTAAAAATACACGGTTAACTTTCACACTCTGTAAACTAACAGTATCAAATAACGCTCTGAAATGTTGGGATTGGTTATGGTAAAGGAAAACTCTTCAACATTAAATTCGAAAATATTACTCAAACTCATATGGATTCAAAACAAGTTTAACCTTAGGAAAAAATGAAATGTAGTACCTTAATCATTAATATAACTATCATTCAGTAAATTTTATTCAATTTTTTTTTCCTAAATCTTGCACCCAGAAAAATCTATTATCATCTGCACAACTTGGTTAAAGATTTCATAAAATGATAAACCTTCGATTGTCATTCACAAATTGCAAATGAACTCGAAGCAGCATTTGATATATAGAGCTATCAAACATAAAACCAAAACAGACCTCAATATCATGGTCATATTTCGATAAAAAAGGAAAATCAAATACTTCATAAATAATGATGACAATTCGTTATTCAAAATCGAAGCTGAATGCATAAAATTGAATTTTTAATAGAAAGTACACTTTAAGTTCATTACTCAAATTCTATTCAACTATTTGCTGGTAAATAAAAACGCAAATTGCCTCATCTATAAAAATCTTTCTCTCTCCATCTTTCTTGTTGGTATTTACTTAAAGTTAGATATTCTGCTTTTTTGCAGAAATGACCTTGATAAACACAGGATATTATTCAGCACAAGTATAATATATTCGCAGAAAAATGATGATCTGAACGCTGGACTTGATATCATAAAAACAAAGGATGTAATATCTGTTTCATTGACACGCCTTCCAGTAATAGTTACCACAGTTCATTTTAGAACATAAATATTCTTAACAGTCATTCACAATTCTACAAAGAAACGAATAGTCATTTGCTGTTATGCTTCGAAATTGAAAGTCGTTTAGTGTACCAAATAGAAACTGAAAGTTTTTTTTCCTCAATGGAAACTGAAAGTGAAAGTTATTTGCTGTTCATGATTATCGTAAACTCTTCAAGGTTGATACGTCCGTCCTCATCTAAGTCTCCTTCTTTTATCATATCTTCAACGTCTTTCTGATAAAGGAAAATGGATTTTAGATTCGAGACAATAGTAGCTTAAAATCGCATGAACGGTAAAAGTGAACAGAACGGAGAAGTAAAATCCATTGATTTAAATTAACAATCAAGTTATCAAGCCTTATGAGGCGGGAATTGAATGGAACCCAGCCGACAACTACTAATCCCAGAACTGTAATGGAAATTATCTACAATTGGATTAAACTATGAATTGTGTTATCGTTGACAACTAAGATAACGTAGATAATTAGCTAATTGGCTAATCGCCAAGATAATTATCTAATAACCTCAGTGAGCTGCTCTCCGAGTCCTCTCATAATCTGAAGGAGTTCTAACTTCTCGATGTAACCGTTATTGTCTTTATCCAAAGCTTGGAATGCTATTCTGATGTTATCATCCGCCAAATCATTTAAGACCTGAATGTTGTCAAACTTTCAGTTTCATAGTTATACATTATTCTGTCAGAAATCGGGAAATAAAAATTCAGAAAATTAAAAATAAACATGTCGAATAGCAATAGAGCAATAGTATTAGAAAAACGTATATTTAAATATCATAGCCATGAATAGCGACCTTATAAAAAACACATCACGTAATACTAATTACCACTGCATTGCGAGCCATCATTTTGAGAAACTCATGGAAATCGAGATTACCGTTCTTGTCGTCGTCGTAATCCTGGAAACAGAGATACCCACGTGATTACAATGGTGAAATAAGAAAAGTGAATTTTACGTTGATAAATCTAGAAGAAAAAACGCATGTACTGGCACAATGAGGATACGAAATCCCGGAATCACGAAAAGTGAGAAGGAATTCTAGAAAAATAACAAAAGTAATATTCATACCGTCATGAACTTATCAATAGCGTCTTTGGATGCGGGAGTACCGAACATGTTGACTATCTTAGTTATCTGACATGACGTAATGTACCCTCTACCTGGAAATAACAAATACTAAATATAGAATTAAAATACTCTATTAATATTGAATTAAAATACTCCATTTATGTTTAAGATAAACGATCTTACCAATAGATCTGGATACCCATATTTTGTTCTGACTCGTGACTGTGATTAGCTTATCAGATTTCAGCATTGGCCATTCAAAATCCAGAATTACTGTCACGTGTCAAAACAGAATAGTTTGCCTCCCCTCAAGTATCCAAATCTATTGACTTGACTATTAGCTAAGATTTATGATATACAACGTAAACAAGTAAATCATTAAACGTAGATTTAAGCACTTGACAACTATACCCACCTTCTTTATCGAAGAGACTGAATGCTTCTTTGAATTCCAAAACCTGTCCTTCTGTGTAATGCTCCATATTCAGTCCATGATGCTATGGTAACACTGTTAGTCACTATAACTACATTCCTATTTAACATCATTTTGTGAGTCAATTCCATTTCACTTGAGAAATGAGAGGTTGTACTTGTATTGATATATTTCCGGATTGAAAACTTAAAGAATAATAGCACTATATGCTACTCGACACACCGTAAATAGGTGTCAAATGTGACTCCAAAGTGTGCATCAGAGAAAGATGACCCCGAATTAGACCCAGAGAAAGGTGCTCAGAGAAATGTAACCCAGAGAAAGATGACCTTGAAAATACAATGAGCTCTAATTTCTCCTCCCGACACGACGTAAACGGAGTACCCGGACAAACAAAGAACTCCCAAATTATCCGGACTACTGGACTCACTGGAGGTGGTCTGATCCCCATGATTATTCAGCAGCTACTAAAGACCAGGTGTGTGGTATTGTTTAAGGGGGGCGCCCTGCTTTTTGGAGGTAATTGTACCAGCTTGGCTTGTGGGCGAAAAGCCAGCACATCAAAACCGTCTCTGTAATATGGTAAGTTGTCTGTGTCGGAAGGGGACTAGAGTTTGTGTTCAAAGGACAAAGAATGGTACACGGAGTATGGTAATGGGGATGGGGTGGGTGATTATGGGGATGGGGTGGGTGGTAAAATAGGGATACCTGGCGTGGCATGGACAACCATGTCTCCAGCTATCTAGGTATGATACGTATCATTGTAATTTGGATCAAACTTACATTATAGGTGTATATTGTATCTGAGCTGTTTAGTTATTAGCATAGTTCAGTGATTCGAGGCAATTATACAATAATTCAATTATTCAATTATTCCACCCATTGTTCTTCAGTCATTAAATATTATAGATAAAGAAAGTGTGCCAATGTCGCGAGATTACAGAATAATTCATTATGCCAGCTGAGGAGTTTGCTATCACAGGAGACCGTCTATCATAATTACAAACCATAAAACATGTTGGTACTCGGTACCGAAAGGGAAAAACGTCACGAAAAAGTAAGCACAAAGTTACAACTTGTACGTGCGTGGAAATAAGTCGGATTCTATAATATGTAAGATATTCTCTCTAAAGTTTTCTGGTCTAGCCGAGTGTTCCGTGGAATCTGAATTCTAAATAATATGTTCTGGGTATAAGAAAGGGCAGGGGAATGTGCGACCCGAATGTTCTGAACTATTTAGGGGGTCAGGTACGACAAAATCCATGAAAAGTCATTTAGCGAGAGAGAGAAATTGTAAAATCTTAGAATGAGACAAATTGTAAAGTCTTCGTTTATTTGACTGCCATCTGAGAAAAATCCAGAAGAATCTTAAACTTGTAATGTCCGACATAACAACTTTAAGAAGCATTGTAAATAGTTAAGTAGTTACATGTAAGTTTTCAGCTTGGTCAGAAATTCGCAACAAAAATATCGACTTCTATTCGTTACTGAGGGGCAGTAATTCGTGAAAATTAGGCAGCCCAAGGTTATCTCGAACTATTTGAGTCAGGCTGGTCATGGTCACAGGAAATAAATACCTCTAACATTCTAACTAGCGTCTGGAGGCACGAAAATAGACTAATAGGCAGTTCGAATAGACGAATACAATCTCTCTAGCTGTTGAGCACAGGCGAAAACTGTTAAGTGACATTTTGTTCTAGTGAATCAAAGAATGTCTAAAATTTCGAGGAATCTAGAATAAATACGTAATCCCATCCGTCTTTAACTTGAAACTTTATAAATACAGACGTTTTACCCCTGCTTCGTTCAACAATGTTTTACAAGTTGTAATACAAATAGGGTTATGGTGTGGATAAGTGGAAATGTTGTGGTAAGGGTAGGGACTTGAGGATAGACTTTGGGATAGGTGCAAAGACATATTTAAAAACATCATTAAGTAAGTAATAGGGGATGAAATGTGGTGGGACGAAATGTCACAGGATATAATGTCTTACACCCATTACGAAACTTATTGTTGAGTACATCCGAGGTATCACTTTGTGGCTTATAATATTGATATCATGTGTAACGAACTAGAGAGAGGTGAGGCCCAGGTAAGAGGATGATAACACAGACCGGCGGATGCAGACAGGCGACAGCAGACAGGATGTAGATGCAGATGTAGATGCAGATGTAGATGCAGATGTAGATGCAGATGTAGATGTAAACAGCTATATAATGTCTTTAAGCTCTCGGCTGAGTAATTAACCAACCTCAAATGAGAGAAGAGCCTGCTCTAGGAAAATGTTACCTAGCTGTAGCTCAGTAGTAGCTGTGATCGCTTAGAATGCGTCAGCGTGACTAATTACCTTAAGAGAGGTTATTAGAAAGAAGTTAGTAAAAGCTAAATCACATGATGATTCAGAATAGGACGTGGAACCTTCCTAAATAAAAACACAACACAACAGGAGAGAGCTAAGAAATTGTGACAATTTTATCATGACAATGAGTTTAATAATATAAGGCCTCTCACCACACTCTCATAACATGTGACCTAACAGAAGTTATTAGGGTAGTCAGTAGACAATACAACTTGTAACCTTACGTCAGAATGGGTGGTTACTGATAGAGAGCCGGAACGAATTGTTACAATCTATTATAATTTTATACTCCCCGCGTTAACTATAAGTATATTCATTATTCAATGTAAATGGCTGGTATGGTAGATAATACATATATAGTATAGTAGTAGTAGTAGTAGTATATATTATCTATATTATATCTATATATCTATATTATAGTGTACAACTCTATTACATCCCCTTGTGCTATGGAGTATGGACAGATAACAAACAGGCTCACACTTTTATAAGAGGTCTGTGGGACATAGTACTATTTGTCCCATGATATGCTGCTCTTCGATCACAATGCAATGGTCCGAGTGAAAATGAAAAATGAGGCCGTTTATGTTGGCTGCTATGTAAATCATGACAGCTACGATTGTGTGAACGCAAATGACAATAGTACGGAGTTTATCCCATTCAATATTTTATAATTTATAGTAAAAACCTTTAAAATTACAGCCGTCCGGAACCTTAACAATAAACAATTATTACCCTTCATTATATTTTTAAAACCGTCAAAATAGTTGCAGATTAAAAGGCACAAGGACCAAGGTGATCTTGAAGTCCTCCACAAGCAATTTGTTCAATTATTCACAAACTCCACAAGATGATTAAATTCTGAAGCCAAGTTTCGAACAGAAAAAAAAACTTAACTTATAGATAAAATGGTGAAACTCGCAATCAAAAGAACTGAAACAAGTAACTGATTAAAGCTGAAGCCATCTAGAGATTTCATTGCACTACCATGGGGTGAAACTTCAAAGATAAAACGGCGGGAGCCGGAAAGGTAGCTCAGAGAATCTGTACACTGGCAATCTTTACAAATGACAGCCGATAGTAAATGTACCCAGATAGAGACTTCAAAGTATCAGTGCCATACTTCAAACCGGCGACCAATAATTTACTTAGCAAATGTAAACGGAGTATTCGAACAGTTACAAGTGGGTTGTCACCATGATAGGCACGACATTCAGGGAGATGACAATAAAACAAGCCGGCTAGAATATATTGGAACAAGGAGAAAGCTGACAGAATTGAGCCAGTCCTCTGAATGGAGTTATATGAGATAGCCGTATAGCTGTTTAACAGCTCTCAACAGCAATAACGGCTATAAAAACCGTACAAGTACTGAAATAATGACAATTCTTATAACAGCCAACGTACAGAACTTGGAGAGGAACAAAAGCTACAATAAGATCCTACGAGAAAAGAAGCTCAACATTTTTCTAGAATCCACAGGGAAAAGAGCAGCACAAACTGTGAAATATATTTCTCCAGACGGAAAACAACAAACCGTGAAGATAAGTTAGATCAACGAAACACCGAACCATGACAAAATACATTAGAAACCCCGACTATAATATTGTAGTACATGTATCAAGCGGGGAGCCACTGTTAGAGTTATCTTACACCAGACAACGTAGCCACAACTCTCGTATTATGAGTAAATTACAGAGCAAATATGCAATGAAATGCAGTAATTATAATTGCTGAATGAGCTCTGATGTAGGGATTCTGTACTGTGTATGTCACACGATGTCTAGCTAAACAGGAGGTGAGGAGCCGGCCGTTAAAAGCTTGTAATTGCAATACAAATTTAAGCTCGAGATTGCAATAGAAATACACTAAAAGCTCGAGACTTGCAGGCCAGCTTTTCACGGTTATGCTATAAACTGGACGTAAGGAGTTCCAGAAACAAAGCATGTTCCAGAGCAGTGTGATTAGTGTGTCAAGTTCAGTTCAGAGTGGGATTTCACTACTCATGTCAGGTGCGAGCTTGTTTGTGAACGGGGTGATAGAAGTAAGAGGAACAAAGTGTGTCGGGAATGTCAGAGCGGTATTTCCATTACGTTAGCAGAGTAGATTACTCATGTAACTGTCAGGTCGAAATGGAAACGTCTAGAAGATTTATCAAGTTGAAATAACATTTGTAACTCTTTACAAATGTGGCTTCCAAACCGCGTCAGTGTCATTGGTCAGATTCGTTAAATGACAATTTGTGTCATGCGAGGGATCTCTTTAAGAGTTTAAGTGTAACAAAAGATAAGCCCGAATAACGATACAAAATTACAAAATAGAAGTCTTAACAAAATACAATCAATTACTTTAATTGGGTATAAAATCTCGAAGAAAAAGATAAAAAGCATCCCGTCCAATATTAAATATATGTGGGCTCACAACAACATAATATCATAATTCATAATCTGATTATTTAGAATTTTACCCGTTACTAAGTAATACCGACAGGTAATGGTGTCGATAATATTCCGATAAGTTTATATATACCAGCTGTATCGCATTACCAATACAAATTGATACAAATGTTTATGTAACGCAAACGTAACTTAATCTATGATATCAATTAAATTTATAACTAAACCCTTGCCTGAAAGTCCATGGACAGATTCACATGTGACGTCGTACACAAACATACCTCTGATCAGTTGTTGCTACCTCATTTCTCGTTATATCTCAATCTCTTATCTTGGTCACAGAATTTCGATGTGTTTCAGAGAAACTTTCCTTGTGTTTGAGATCTCAGAAAGTCTGTACGTTCCTGCAGACCCCGCAGCCCAAAGCAAACTCCTCTCCGGTAGCAGGGTGATCATCTAGTCCTAACGGACAGGTCCCCTCAAGTTGGGTAGATTTAGGTCCCACTGGACACTGAGGTAAAGACTCCTTGCTAAGACTCCGCAACCGGACAAAGTCATCGTGACACGGGGTGCAAAAGTGGGTAGTTCCGAAACAAAAGTACACGGCCACTGAGCAGCAATACCTAGTGGGGATGTGGAATGTAAGCAGCAATGCCTAGTGCAGTGGGGATGTGAAATGTAAGCAGCAGTACCTAGTGGGGTTGTGAAATGTAAGCAGCAGTACCTAGTGGGGTTGTGAAATGTAAGCAGCAATGCCTAGTGGGGTTGTGAAATGTAAGCAGCAATGCCTAGTGCAGTGGGGATGTGAAATGTGAGAAGCAATACCTGGATGGGACTGGGGATGTGAAATATGAACCACAATTTTCTATTGTCTTACATGTTAATAATCCCTTGTTATCTAGTCTCTTTTTGTGTAGCTAAAACAATAGCTACCAGGCAGTAACGGAGCACAATATAACCAAGCTAACCAGAGTCACAATACAGCCAATGTGGCTGAATGTGGGTATTGTTTCTCAAAGAATGGCACTTATACAGAGACAAATATGTTTTACCAAAGCTAACATATTATATATATAGGCTATAATAATAGCTTAGAAATATCGGAAACTGGAGAAGTTATTTAGAATATATATTCGCATTTTATCCACACTATATTTACATTACACGTACAACGTGATATCGTTATCAGTGCAGTGTGTACAACACCAACTACACCGATCAATTGCCAATCTGCGAAACATTTAATTATTATTATCACTTCGAGATGGCCAGGCCTACTCTCATGCTGTCTATATGTGATGATTAACTCTGAAAAACTAGGGACAACTGGGGAATGATCCCAGAACCTCGAGATTTCGCGTCTCTTGCTCTACCAATTGAGCTACTGACCCTGATTCTCAGAGCGAAATCACCACTCATATGGGATCTTCTGGGATCATTCCCCAGTTGTCCCTAGTTTTTCAGAGTTAATCATCACATATAGACAGCATGAGAGTAGGCCTGGCCATCTCGAAGTGATAAGAAACTGGAGAAGGTTCAAGATAAATATTGTCTGATTTATTGTACCAGTTCCAGAAGCGTGTTACTTACCGACACTTGTACTCGAGGTAGTCAGTACCATGCTTAGGACACACTTCTTGTGAGAGATTACTGCAGCCACCACAGACCAGGTCTTCTGGGTCAAAGTCCTGATAACAAAGAGGACTTGTCAACAAATATCAAACGAGTCTAAAAAGTGTAAATAAGGTGGCCTTAAACTAGGAAATGTCTGAAGGAACTGATTCGAAAGCTAACAGATGGTAAAATATTAAAGGAACATGTTCGATCTAGAAAATTTAATTTTGATCATTACCAGACACAGTCTTATCAAATTTCAGGAATACAGTAAACCTCTAAATTGAATTAAAAATCAAACAGTGGTCCGACGTTAAAGGACTGTTCTGACTTTAAAATTGAATGATCATTGTTTCAAGCGTTCACTAAAGTGTTTTAAAGCGTGGACGGCATACTCTTTTTGGAATTTTTCCAGAAAAGATGTGGGCTAATCCTACAGAAAAGATGATTTGAAACACGTATCATGTTCACTCACGATCCTTTGCCCTTGTCCACTGGCCAGTAGCAAGTGATCGCAAGCTGATCATAGATATAAAATTGAAAATTACACAACACTGCGACTAAGGGCGGACATGGGTCCGAAAACTTTAGATTGGTGATGTCGTTACATAACGGCACTCCTACTTTGAATGTTGTTAACTAATATATTTTAGTAAGCCCGAGAACTTACGTCGCCTGCATCAGCCTGGCACTGAGCCTCTCCCCCAAAGTACGCTTTCTTACACTTGAAGCACTGATAGTACGCGTACTTGTTCATTGCGTTCTCTATCGCTTCCTCCTCCGTATCACTAGAAATGTTTTGTGAACTTTTTGTGATTAGTATGCATATTCGAAGAAATAAACGAGGAGAAACACTATAAATTATGTATTGTCAAATAACCTAGGCTTTAAGAAAGCTGGCATAAGCTGCTGTAATAGAACAAGAAAAGGTAATGGGCACAACAATTTTGAGTGGCAGAACCTCTGAAAGTATCAACTTGTAAAATATTTGACTCACAAGGAAAGTCCGTCGTATTTAAGTCTCATGACACTCTTCTTCTTGACATCCTCCATAAGGACATGTAGATCTTGCAACATTTCATCCAGGAACTCGTGCACTAACAGACCCTGAAACAGCAAGAAAGATAAGCTCCTTGTGAATAGCTGACACCATCTCATATTTAAATATGAGATGGTGAGGCTCTAAGCTTGCCGCAAGAGAGCTGACAGTAGAGGTCATGTGATGTTACTTTCACAAATTAAACGTGTTGTGATTATTAAATAATAGAAACAAGACAACAAAAACAGTACCTTGCAAATGGGACAGTGCAGGAAACCAAATGCTATCCGGGGTCCAATCCATCTGAGATAACATGAATTAGAAACCGTACCAAGTATTGGGCTGTAAGTACAGATTGCATTTGTGACGTAAGACTCATCTAGAAAGAGTCAACGTTACTACATAGTACATAGTATCTTATTCTTCTGGAAGACTAGGAGTTACAGGCCACATGAGGGCTCTGAATATGGGGGCTCTATAAGATTGCGAAACTAATCAAATGAAACGGAGAGCATAAGTCCTTGCAAGTATCCCTGAAACTCGAGATATACGGCTATTGCTACATGGCGGGAGGTTATGGTGGACACAGTGAGGCTGTGATTCTCTAGACCTCACTCAATACCTTATAAAGCTACCAAAATATCATCAGTCACACTTTAAACATGTCCGAAAATACGGAGACAATCAGCTAATTCAGAAGTCAGATTAATAAGGTACTAGTACCTGTTGGTAACCACCGTGGATATACACTGACTGTGAAGAATGTGTCCACAAGATAGTTGTAAACAGGGGGCACATCCCAAACTTTCTGAAATAAATCGTTTGTCTCGTAAAATAAATTTAGATTATTTTATCAGTCAAACTTTAGATTATTTTATAAGTAAAATATATTGAATGCGTAGAGTATAAGTACGACGTATTTCAACAGCTTATATCGTGGGCATCAGTGATGTTAGTATCGATTTATAAGTTTGAGGTCGACGATATATTAACTGAAATCTCTTGAGATTATTTTGACTTCAAACCGGCACATAGAAGAGTGAAATTCAAACAAAATCCAACGGAACATATTTTGATACGCTGTCACTGAAGCGAGAATCATTGGATAATGACCGAGCTGTAAAACAGATGAGTCAAAGGACTCTGAGCCAAAATTTGCGATTACAGAAGCAAGTTTTGTACCGAATCTATGATGATTTAATTCAAAATAACATTAAAACTGTCCAGCGCGCAACTAAACCCCAGTTAGAAGGCACGTAACGCGACACATATACTGTAATAGAATCGGTCACGAGGGCGGAAGTTTCCTAAAAGGGTGGACACAAGGGCGGGAATTTCCTAAAACGATCACATGACTCACTTTATCATGGAAATATACACCGGGTTGAATGCGTACCTGTGAAGCAAATGACGCACATATCGTCGGCATCTTGTTTTAATGTGCCACTACAGTTCTTTAAACATGGCAGACACGTTGTTTCACCTGTGTTACCTGCAGACAAATTAGTTAGACAACGTGCACGTGGTATTCAAAAATTCAAGAAATTTTTAGATTTCTCGGACTTTGGAATGTCTACTTAAAAGGAAGTAGCCTTAGTAAGGATTTAACATATAACACTTTAGTTTTTTCTAAGCTAAATTTGGTAAAAAAGGCTAGAGTGTTGATTGTTAAACCTTAGTGCAAAAACCTTAAAAACTTAAAAACTTTTAAAAATTAATAAACAAAATATACAATACACTAATACATCTAAAATTATAATGGTCTACAAATGGAGTATTAATAAGGATTTAACATAGAACACTTTATTTTTTTCTTTAAAGCTAAATTTGGTCAAAAAGGCTAGAGTGTTGATTGTTAAACTTTAGCGCAAAAACCTTAAAAACTTTTAACAAACAAAATATATACGATAACTAAATATAACTACAAATATAACGTTCTACAAACTTACAAATGGAACTAAGTAAAGCTCACCTCCACAAGGATGTCCACATTCCAAGGTTTGTTTGCAGGACACTTTAAACTTAGAGTTACATTCCTCGTTCTTACATACGCTTCCACCCTCTGGACTCGGCTCACCTGCTTCATTACAGAACCTGGAGAGGGTTTATTAGAAAATAAACATTAACATTGGGAGCTGGAGGGGATAATAAACATTAACATCGGGAGCTGGAGGGGATAATAAACATTAACATTGGGAGCTGGAGGGGATAATAAACATTAACATTGGGAGCTGGAGGGGATAATAAACATTAACATTGGGAGCTGGAGGGGATAATAAACATTAACATTGGGAGCTGGAGGGGATAATAAACATTAACATTGGGAGCTGGAGGGGATAATAAACATTAACATTGGGAGCTGGAGGGGATAATAAACATTAACATTGAGAGCTGGAGGGGATAATAAACATTAACATTGGGAGCTGGAGGGGATAATAAACATTAACATTGGGAGCTGGATGGGATAATAAACATTAACATTGGGAGCTGGAGGGGATAATAAACATTAACATTGGGAGCTGGAGGGGATAATAAACATTAACATTGGGAGCTGGAGGGGATAATAAACATTAACATTGGGAGCTGGAGGGGACAATAGACATTTTCTCGGATGAATAACGAAAGTGTCGAGAATATTTCACCATTTCGACATTATCAACGAAAATTTTCGAAAGACACACATAAATTAGCATATTATACAGCTGCAAAAATGTTTGAAAATATTTGACAGATTTATTCTAATGTTTGACTTTCCATATGCAACAGGTAGCCCATTTTGTGAGATATCTTATTGATGGTTGGCTACTTTAGTGCCCCCTTTAAAGTAAATAACACCATTATCTTGCAAGTAAGTCATTTTGAGCTCAATGGAGTAGGCAGGATGCATGCAGATGAAAATAATGTGACATAAAGCAATAAGGCGTCATGTGATTATCACGTGACTACAAATATAAGTGCTCAGATCACTTATCTTATAGTCAGATCTGTAATGTCGGTACCGGTATTTTTCTTCAAAAAACGCCATTAACTATCGATGGAGCGATTCAAAGATCGGCCTGTACTACATCTGCAATATAACATCATTTCAATTGCGCGCACATACGTGACCAGTTGAAAATCGTGGTGGCACCAATCTCGGAACTCGTTGTAAATTGTTGTAAAACAAATTTCATGAGACTAAATTTGTCGGCGACTAATTTTGAAAGGAGACCAAAATTTCAGTAGAGCATAAATGACAATATTATTGAGCTCACAGTGTTTATAATTAATATAATGACATCACTGTTCCGTTGTGAAACTACGAAGCACAAAACTGTACCAACGTCCTATTGCACTTGAAGGGTTAGAGCTCCTCTTGGACATTACATTTTTATTCGATCCATCCCAACATGTTCTGTTGAAACGGCTGAAGGCCAAGGATCATATCGCCATAAACTACGTCGTACCGACAGAAATGGTAAAGTCGAAAAAGGGTGAAAAAGAAACCGAACAGCTTACTGTAGAACTTAGTGATACAGAGTCACAGACTCTGGATCTGATGTTATTGAAATTCCTGAGTAATGCATTGCAGCTTAATCTGTAATGCTCAGACGGGTGCTCATTGCCTAATTGATAGATAGCATTTTATTTTACAAATTATTTGTTTTATTTCTTTATTGCAACAAATCATTTAATCAACATGCCTAACGTTAAACTATAAAGTATGACAATATATGCGAAATCGGGAAAAAAATAGCTAAATAATGGAAAAATCAAAAATGGAATGGAAAATAGTCTCGAAAAGTCGAAAAAATATGTGACTAAAATTGTTGTAGACTAAAAATTTGCGAAATTTGTGACTAAAATTATGGTAACCAAAATTATGGTGACCAAATTTATTGTGAACCAAATTTATTGGCCCTAAGGTACCTTGAAAACGTAAAATGTAGAGAAAATTACGTATTTATTTTTACGCATTTTATGTAAATACGTACCGAAAATATTCATATTGATTATGTCTCAGGCCGTTCAAAGGGATTGTCTTGTAGAAAATGACAAAAAGCGTTTTTTGTTCCACAAATAAAAACCATCAAATATTTGTAAGTGGCGATAAAGACTCCTCCAAAAAGATCGCGCAATGGCGTGATTGTTGACTGCAACTAATACTGTTGGACTGGACTATTAGCGAAAGGTAAAGTTTTATAATAAGTGTTAATAGATTTCGGCTTAACTCAATTATTCACGTCATATCTGATATGCTACCAGTATAAGTACCAATAAAAAATATTTGTTTCTATCCAATTATAAAATTCTGCAACTTCATACAATTTTTATATGAAGTTGTAGGATTTTATAATTGAACAGTTGAATAGAAACAAATACTTTTTATTGGTAAATCCCTTATACTCAGATCCTAGCGAAGGAGAGGCTTTTGGTTTAGATTAAGAGTTCATATTCTCAATAATAGGACAAGATTAAAAAATACTGATGAAATTGTAAGCATTTGAAAGCATTCGAGCTACAATCCAAAGCGTAACTGACAATTAGCAGCAATCTACACAAAAAATTAATAGTTGAATTATTAAATACTTAATTACAAGCGTTCTATAATAAAAAAATGACGACAACTTGCAGGTGCCTGACAAGCAAAACGTGATGCAACCAGGACAAACTAAATAACTCAATATCTGGCACTGCAAAACAACTCATACCGTCCCCGTACCTGCAAATAAAGGCGTCCGACTGGGTACTGTAGGTGTTCTTAAACTCTATAACCGCACGGCGGGTCTGGGTGTCAACCGCGGCGGTCATCCAGTACAGCTTGACACGGCACATGTTCTCATGTTTACTAATAACAACACTCGCCTCCGCTGCTTTGAATACCTGCCAGGGTAAAGTTTGGCATGTCGGGAATGTTAAAACTAAAAAGGAATGTTAAAACGATTATCACGTAATTTATGTCCACATCATTTTTGTTGTTATCAAGTTATCAGGGGCTATGGAACAGCGGTTCCGACGTGCTATCACTATCAGAAAAGGTACCTGGCCAAAAATAATTATATACTTTTGTTAATACATTTTTTCAGCTTTACTCCTTGACAATTGACAAAAGACATAGAGGCCTTTTGTTGGCCGTGTAGGGGCCAATAATCACCCAATATCTCGACTACTGCTAATTTTTATACCGCCTAAAAAGTCCATATTACCTGGCGCTGATGAGCCTTTGACTTGCGACTGAGATGAAGATACTTATCACACTCAGTACACAAGTACCCGCATTTGTTACAGGAGATAATAGCTTTTGTTCGACTGTCATCGTGGTTCTCACAGTAATCGACCTTTACACTCGCGTCCTGGATATATGAGAGATGTACAGACTACAGGTTATCATGAGAACTGGAAGTTGAAGCAACTCGTCGGTAATTTTCTAATTAGTAATCTTGAAGATTAAAAGTTGTGGGTCATATAAATTCTCGCATTATAACAGACAAGAGGTATTACATATTTGATGAAGCTCTAGAACATCCACCAGTCATAATTCTGGCACGTACTACGATAAAAATATGACAAGTCATACCCTGGTAACAGTGACTGATGACGCCAAGTTATCCTCCATGACGGACAGAGCAGCCAGTGCTAACCACAACCCCCTGTTCTGAGCTACTTTCTCCTCCGACCTACAGTCGTCAGGTATGTGAGTCAAACAGAAAACAATGTAACCCAGGCAGAGTCTAGAACATTCTTTCCATTCCTCCCCGAGGTTCCCCTGGGACATGTCCCGGAGTAAGATCATCACTTCCAGCGCCAGGTCCGCAGCAACGGTTCCCCGGACCCAGTAGTCCGGGTGTTCTAGATTCATTGTAGCACCCTCACCGCTCCTCTTGCCTTTGCTCTTCACTATCAGAACGATAGATTTCATGATGTACGCGAGTAGTTTATTCAACACAGTCATTTTAGGCTGACTTTGTTTATCTCCGGCATCTTTCACGGTACTGTTTACAGGACTTGCGCCTGAGCTGAGCGGATCAGTATCCTCATCATAAGGGAAGCGTGGTATGCAAGTGTTGGTGATAGAACATAGCTTATCGGGTGATATCTGGGATAATATCCTGCGGAGTAACAAGATGACTTGTCTCTGTATCCGTTTGGTGCCCATGTGCAGCAGTTTGAAGACGTCTTGGATCAGAGACTCGTGGATCACGAGGTTGTCACACCCTTCTGCTGAGCCGCTAAGCGCTGAAAAGATCGGGAGTTCGTATGGAAAGTTTAAGTACTTAAGTAATCGTGGTAATGGAGATTGATACATAAATTTATATACATGGTACTGAACTTGATACTGAAACTGTTATTGATAAGAATAGCCATTAGTTTTTTACCTGAGACTAAAGAAAGTAGTTCGAAACAGTAGTCGTCATTAAAAGAGTTCTTATCAGCAATTGACAAGGTCTGCTTCCGAATAGCGCTGACTACGTGCATTAACACTTTATTCTGAGTTTCTGTCAGGTGGGACTGTTCAAACAGTATCGAAACCTGAAATAATATACTCGATGACTGATGACTGATGACTGATGACTGATGACTGATGACTGATGACTGATGACTGATGACTGATGACTGATGACTGATGACTGATCAACTATGACTGAACTTAGCATCGATAACTGCAGACATCATGATTAAAGTTTGTAAAGTTTTGGGATAATTTTACGGCCTGGATGTGAACATTTTTAAAATATAGAAATGTTCAATGTTGTGTACTACTACTATAATTAAATTGTCTGCAGTGATCGATAAATAATGCTTTAGACGTGACGTATTGACGTTGACAGATGAAAATTTAAAGCTCCAATTTGGAAGTTCGATCTGGAATAATGAAAAAATGGAAATACCGAGGATATCAAAAATAAAAAGAGCAATAACTGAACAAACTATAAATATACAATTGTGATTGATTGAGAAAAGAAAACGTAAAATAAAGTGTTTCAATATACCAAATGTTCTTGTAAGTCAGCGGAGGTGTGCGTTACTTCACCTTCTTCCTTGGACACGTCCTTAGTGATGTTCTTCAGAATATCATTCGTCAAAACCCTGAAACCACGTACATGATTATTTAATGGACCTTAATAACCAAATACAGGATTAAACAGATCTTAATAATGGGTCATACAGGGCTTTCATCATGGGCTTGTAACTTTGTAATGAATGAAAAACCAATGAACCTAAAATTATAACTGTATATTGTACCATATCATGATCTTTCATCAATCATCATATATGCTTGTGATGTATGAAAAAGCAATGATCCTAAAATTATAACTGCACAATATCAATGTGTGGGGATTGGTGAGGTGATTGAAGAGAATAACCCACCTGAACACTTGAAGAGCGAACTGCTGACAAGAAGGAATAGCGCTGGTAGGGGCCACTTCCTCCATTCCACCGAACACCACTAATTGTCTCACTCTCACGTGATCTATCTTAGCTGTGAATTCCAACTGAGTGGGGAAATTAGCAATGAGTACTATTTTATAGTTCTGAGTAAATAAATATCATAGTTAAATTTATGAAGGAGTAAGTTTTCAGTGGATGCGAATTTGTATATTCATTTATTGCTTGATTAATTTGTTTTTGTGTTTAATTTATGATTATTTGTATCTGAGATTCTGTGATTAAATTTATTTTGTTGGTTGTAATGTTGTGATATTGCATAATTTATTGTAAATATAATATATGTTTCAGAATTATGTAATGTAACGTGATGGAAATATTTTAAACGGGCATATCCTGTCCAAACCCAGGATGCACTACATGAAGAATTCGTTGTAACTTTGTTTGAAAAGCATTAATAGTTCTTAGGAAATATCACAACTGTGAATAACTATCACACCACAGACCACGTCTTGAGGATTTCGTTAGCAGTTCTAAAGAATTGCAGAAGCTAGCTGATGTTTTGTCACCATCAGCTCAATCTGCGATGGAAGCTATTGTTGTTTAAATGTGATATGAAAAAGTTTGTTTACCTCGATATGACTGTATCCAGAAACCTCAAACCACAGCCATCCATTATGTCGCGTCGATAAGTCCTTACTCGAATGTAATTTCAAGACTTTTGGCTGGTTCCCAACTTTGAGAGAGACTTTTGTTGTGATGAATCCTCGATCCTCCTCATTGTTCAGATGAACTGCCAGAGCATGAATGGATTTGTTGGAGGGTATTTTAATGCCAATCCAGTTGTCCTTGTCTCCTGAAGTATGTCAGCATTTAGTTAATACCGAGTTTAATACTTAATTAATTGAGTTAATATCATTTAGTATTTAGTTAATCGTATTCATAGTAGCAGAGGTTCGCTTAGTACGTGCATTTTGAAAGTACTACGAACTTATGAGTCATGATCTAATCACGTCATTAATTAAACCAACATTAGTTTTGGCCGACTGACTGTCTCTCTCGGTAAATTCATCACAGAGAGTAGCAGAATGTGACCTTTAAGTTTTCGTTTCAATTGTCGCGTCGACAAGTAGTAAGTGACAGTTTAGTTGCTTATATAGACCCATTCCATTGCTATATAAATGTGACACCTCTTAACGAGAAAGAGGGACAAGTATTGTTGACAAAGTAGCGTTTCGATAACGAACATTTGTTAACTTCTCAATTCTCAAGGTTAAACTGCTTTCTTTTTAATAGCCAATTCTTTCATACACGACCATCATGTTTAACTTATATTCAATGTTATTTTTGTAACCAAGGCAGTTATCAATCCCATTATTATGAACGACTTTCAGAGATCATCTATTTTCATGTTTCAAAAGTTGGAGAGAGTCTCTCCTAGTTTATTCTCAAGATTAGGAGAATACTCCACTAAGTTACATTTTGTGGGGCTGACTGGAGACCCCATTAAGGCAGACTGAGAAACACTAGCACTGTTAACTGTCCAGACCCAGTCCAGTGCAATGTAACACCTCCCTGCTAGAGAGAGGCGAGATGAAGACGCAAATGTTATACTTATACTGGCAAATCAGAGAAAATATTTTCTTGTGTTTAAAATCGATGGAGAACAAGTAAGATAACTCCGATGTTAAATAGTCAGCCCACATCAAATCTACTAATTTTTGACTGCCGAACGTCCAGGGCGAATATATAATGTGATCATATCATCAGTGAACAAGCCGACCAACCATTATAACTAGCAGTGTAGAATTCCTAAACTAAAACATTTAAAAGCTAATAATATAGCAGTATCGGAAATATCAGGATATCACATTGAGACGGTGTAAAAGTTAGAGAGAATCTCTCCTATTTTCCTATTTAAGGTTAGGAGATTGCTCCTTTATTTATAACATTTTGTGGGGCTGTCTGGTGAGTAGACCCCTATCAGCCGCCTGAGATACTATGCACTGTTAACTGTCCAGACCCAGTCCAGTGCAATGTAACACCTCCCTACTAGAGAGAGGCGAGATGAAGACGCAAATGTTATACTTATACTGGCAAATCAGAGGAAATATTTTCTTGTGTTTTAAATAAAATCAATGTTCGGTGTGTCGACTGCATTATTTTAAGTTTGATATTTTCACTGCCAGGTGTTTAAACTGAGACTGAGCAAACTCCACATTCCCACCAAATACCTTTAAAACGGCAGATAAAATTCCCACCAAATAACAGCAGATAAAAGAAATTAATTAATTAGATAATTAATTAATCAGATAATTAATTAATCCAACCAACCTGACTCCCAGAAAGTATCGGTCTTCTTATCATGAAGATAAGGTATGAGGGAATCTCTAGAGGAGACCGTCAGCTCAACATCCGCCACGTTAGCAATCTCTACAGATCTGTTGAAAGTAGGAAGAGGGGTCGGACTCTCTCGTCTACTGGCACTTGTTAGTAGACGGTGAATGTGGCTGAACACTTGAGAGTCTTGAAGGAACTTGTGGTCTTCTGGCCGGAACTCCAGGTTCCAACATGATATTGCTACCTGCGGTAAGAGTTAGTAAAACAGTTAGAAGAGTAGGAGGAGTTCCACTATCTTACTTAAAAGTTAGAACATTTTATCTTATCACATTTCAAAGATAAGACATTTTCGTGAGATCTATTTTGATAGATAGGTGCAACAGCAGCCGGCATCAAAATAAAGTATCAAACCTTCTGAATGTGTGAACCAGCTGGGAGGCGAGGTAGCAGGTCAGATAATGACTGCATGACACCTCTAAAGGCAGCACTGACACAGCTGTCGTAGCATCTGATACTGCTGCTGATAGGATGCTGACAAATTGGGAGCAGGCCCCCCTTCTGTCTAGCCTGTGTTTGTCAATTTTAGTTTGATTAATAGCAGTTTTGTTTTAAAAACTACGTCCCAATTGAACTAGTCACGTCGACCAAAGCCAACACGACTTATTTCAAATCAATGACACTGTAATCCAACAAATAAATATCAATCCTATTATTAACTGTACTTACTTCTGATGAGGAGGGATCTGATAGGAGGCCCATATACAGTCTCCAAAGAACACTGTGTAATATAGGAAGTGAGGACACAGTCTTAAGTAGCCAATCTGCTGCTTGTAAGCCATGTGAGACGAGCCACGCTTTCTCGACACCTCTTATCAGCTCTTCTTCCAGGTCTTGTAGTGGTTGTTTCTGTGGGAGACCAGCTTGTGAAACAAAAGGGAACTGTGGTTCAAATTGTGACAAAGAGTGGAATTAGACGGACTCGAAAGTTTACTAATGTTTTGTTCTGACACGCTTGACAGATCACGATGATATTTAATCTTTTTTAGTTTTCTGCAGTGAGTTACACTGTATATTATTTCAAAAGATATGAAATGCCCCAAGAAGGGAAGGGTTTGTACCTGAGACATGAACCCAAACAACCAGCCCCGGTCCAGCGAGATGACTGTAGCTAACTTCCGCAGTTGAGGCGAGGGATTTTGTAAAATATTCGTCCGTTTTGCATCTTTCTGCAATAAAGTTAATTCGAAAATCAGACAATGAAATATAATTTTTTATTAATGAAACAAAATCTATATAATTTGACAAGGATAGCTATTAGCTATTAATGCTTATATATGACATGAAACATGAATGTGCATTGTGAAAACAAGTGTGAGCGCGTGATCAAGCAGCAGAGGCACCATTTAGTTGCAAAAAAAACCCTGCAGCCTTTCTCATTTTAATTGCAAATTATACATATAATGCAGAAAATGAACGGTAAATTATGTGATTTCACAACCACTGTCCGCAACTAAACAGCGCCTCTGACGAGCATAAAAATATAGCCAGCAGCCCGAGAATTCACTGACCCATTTCCCCTTCCTTGGAATGGTGGCAATGGAAAGAGATTTCTGAACGGGTCTGTCTTTGCGGTTCATAATGTGCTGTGATGATGCTATCATGATCGGTTCTACAATGCTGGTAAGGGCGGAGCCGGAGCTATGTCCCACTTCCACCTCATGCCGAATTTTGGCAGATTTCGGGCGGTTTGGTGACTTTGGTCCCGAACTTTGGCGGTGCTCCTTTATTGAAATATTATAATGTGAAAGTTTGATACAAACGTTCCGTGATTAAAAACAATGCAGGAATGAGTGAATCTGATCTATTAAACATGGAAATGCAGAAATTTGACTCTTGAATATAGAACATCAGCTCATAATAGTAAGGGGAAAAGTGGTCGATTTAAGGGTTCCGTTGGATTTAAATGTTCACAAGGATTTAGCAACGGAATATGGTAGTTAGAACCCATACGAACATAATTAGACTTGTCACCAATTTTGTATCTCGACAGAAACACCACTTTTTACCACTTTTTACCACCTTTGTACCACTTTTCTGGTTTGCCAAATATCTTTAGTTGTGAACGTCGTAGAAGGCTGAAAATTAACCTAGAATGTTTATCTTATCAAGGAGTAAAACTTTTGTACAAAAATTTTTACATTGGACAATCAGCTAATTGGATAATTACCAATTAGTTAATTACCAAAAAAAGTGAAAATTTTTTTATTGGCTCAAAATGATTAAAATCGTTTGAAACACGGAGAAATGTAGTTTTTAGAAAAACTTCAAAACTTTTCCACTTAAAAATTTTTTCGAGACTTGGAAAAATTTCGAAAATTTGAAAAAAAATTTTCCGCCAAAAGTGATCGAATTGCATGAAACGTGGATAAAAATGCTTTGCAGAAAAACTTCGAACATTTTTAGATTGGGGAATACTAAAATCATCAATATTTGAAGTTGGAGTTCAGTAAATCTCGGCAGATTTTAGTAATTAGGAATAGCTTAGCGGAAAGGGCTGAACCTGAAAAAGGTTAACCACACAATATTAGAGTTTCATAACTAATTACAATACAACTTTATCAAATTCCACATAAAGAAACAGCACAAAAGGACCATTTAAGATCGAACGGATTTTACCTGCTGTATACTATCATTTTATTGATTTCAATGATGAAAACCTCTCTGTACCGTCAATCTTGCCAATCTATACCGGGATGAATGTACCGGACCTCTTCTTTGCCTCCATAATAATTAGACCCAGTTGTGCAAGAAATGCGATTTCTCACAGGGGCTTCTTTTAACTGTGCACTTTTTGTCACTCTCGCAAGAGGCCCGGTATTATAGGGGGGTATAAAAAGCAAGTGTAAATATACCTTCCATTATCCACTGTGGCTTTTTTGTGTTGTGAATGCGCATGCCGCTTCGTTTGCTATGCAAGATACCTCGAATAACCCCCATATGTCATTGCCAAGGTCGGGATAGAGCTGGAGATAGCATTGAGAGGTTGCTAGAAATAGCTAGACTTAGAATAAACTGGTGGTAGCTGGGTGGTGCTAGCATGGAGGTAGCAGAACGTAGCTACACGGGGTTTCATTGGAGTTGGTTATTTTAATGGCCAAAGAGTGCCGGAACTAAAGTTACTTAAGATTGCAGTTTAGGGGCAGTGCAAACTACGGTGGAGTCAGGGACACAGAGCTACAGTGTAACAGTGCAGGAGTACTGCAAAAGAACAGTGCAAATGATATAGTCTGTAAAATTAAAACGTCGAAGAAGGAGATAAAATTGTGGCTGCAGAGGAGGAGAGGAGCAGGAACCTGATTGTGTTTGGATTGAAAGAAGAGGAGGAAGAAGAGTTTCCTGCTCTGGTAACCACATTTTTGGAAGAGGTGGGGTGATAACTTACTTCCAAGCGACACGGTGGGCTGGAACCAATCAGGTACAGCTATCCGACCTATCAAGATCACCGTCCTGAGCTTTGTTCCGCGACAATTGACCCCCTTACAATTGACCCCCCGACAATTGACCCCCCGACAATTGACCATCATGTAATTACACTGGCGTCAATTGTCGCAAAATCTAGGGCTTAGTACGACAATTGACCCCCCATGTAATTACAATGGAGTCAATTGATCGGGTTAGGGTCAGGGTCCTGGGTCAGGGTTAGGGTTAGGGTCAGGGTCAGGGTCAGGGTCAGGGTTAGGGTTAGGGTTAGGTTTAAGGTTAGGGTTAGGGTTAGGGTTAGGGTTAGGGTTAGGGTCCTGGGTCAGGGTCAGGGTCAGGGTCAGGGTCAGGGTCAGGGTCAGGGTCAGGGTCAGGGTCAGGGTCAGGGTCAGGGTTAATTGTATTAAATTATATTGTCGGGGGTCAATTGTCGGAGGTCAATTGTCGGAGGTCAATTGTCGCCCACCCCTAAGCTTAACAGCCTTTCATCATAATCTGATAGCTAGACTTTATTCTAAGTCTAGTTATTTCTAGCAACCTCTCAATGCTATCTCCAGCTCTATCCCGACCCTGGCAATGACATATGGGGGTTATTCGAGGTATCTTGCATAGCAAACGAAGCGGCATGCGCATTCACAACACAAAAAAGCTACAGTGGATGATGGAAGGTATATTTACACTTCCTATACCCCCCTATAATACCGGGCCTCTTGCGAGAGTGACAAAAGGTGCACAGTTAAAAGAAGCCCCTGTGAGGAATCGCATTTCTTGCACAACTGGGTCTAATTATTATAGAGGCAAAGAAGAGGTCCGGTACATTCAGATACCCGGTATAGATTGGCAAGATTGACGGTACAGAGAGGTTTTCATCGTTGAAATCAATAAAATGATAGTATACAGCAGGTAAAATCGGTTCGATCTTAAACGGTCCTTTTGTGCTGTTTCTTTATGTGGAATTTGATAAAGCTGTATTGTAATTAGTTATGAAACTCTAATATTGTGTGGTTAACCTTTTTCAGGTTCAGCCCTTTCCGCTAAGCTATTCCTAATTACTAAAATCTGCCGAGATTTACTGAACTCCAACTTCAAATATTGATGATTTTAGTATTCCCCAATCTAAAAATGTTCGAAGTTTTTCTGCAAAGCATTTTTATCCACGTTTCATGCAATTCGATCACTTTTGGCGGAAAATTTTTTTTCAAATTTTCGAAATTTTTCCAAGTCTCGAAAAAAAATTTTAAGTGAAAAAGTTTTGAAGTTTTTCTAAAAACTACATTTCTCCGTGTTTCAAACGATTTTAATCATTTTGAGCCAATACAAAATTTTCACTTTTTTTGGTAATTAACTAATTGGTAATTATCCAATTAGCTGATTGTCCAATGTAAAAATTTTTGTACAAAAGTTTTACTCCTTGATAAGATAAACATTCTAGGTTAATTTTCAGCCTTCTACGACGTTCACAACTAAAGATATTTGGCAAACCAGAAAGGTGGTACAAAGGTGGTAAAAAGTGGTAAAAAGTGGTGTTTCTGTCGAGATACAAAATTGGTGACAAGTCTAATTATGTTCGTATGGGTTCTAACTACCATATTCCGTCGCTAAATCCTTGTGAACATTTAAATCCAACGGAATGCCACTTTTCCCCTTACTATAAATGGCAAATAATAAAGCAAAACAAGTAAAAGCTCCGAGATTCGAGAAGTAGTTCTAGAATAAATACTTACCCTACTGCTGGGAAGGACGTTAACTGACATAGAGCGATGCATCTTATTACCAGCGAGGGATACCCCCGAGGTACCAGTGAGCCGGGAACTCATACAGGGAGACATGGGGGTCATGGGGGAGAGACAGGTGGTGCAGGGGTCACACAGCTGGAGGGACCGGAACTTGTTCTTTGTTGATTCAACGTCCGTCTAAAGTGGATTGTTAATTGTTAAGTAGCTTTACTTGAAACAGATCAGGAGACAAATAACCGAGGCGCAGTTCTAATTGGCGCAACGGCTGAACGACCAGCCATAATGATTTTGAGTTCTATTTTATACACTCTAATGCACTTACATCCATAGCCTCTTCAAGGAATGAGATATAATCCAGGCTATCCGGACTGGACACCTCCTTGATTGGGGCAAGGTAAAGGAGGAAGAGAGCGTTCTTGTAGGTGTTACTGAGTTGCTCCTCCAGATCGCTTGTGGAGACGGTTGGGAGGTTTGGGGTGACTTCTATAGGGTACACTGCGTCTCTCTGTCAGGGTGTTTTAGAGTTTAGTTTCATGACAGAAAATTTATGATTGTGATATCTACTGTTTTTTCTAGCTGTGAGTTATAACAGACAGTTAAACGAAAAGCGACCACTTAATCACTATTTCAGATCAACCACAAAAAAATAGGAAAAACGACGACCATTCTTTACTCTAAATTTACTCACGTTGGCATCGTCATTAGGGAGAGGTTCCTGCTTATAGGTCTCAACACACTCACTACAGAGCAAGTACCAGGTACAGAGACCCTTCCCACCGTCACCACACAGTCCTGACCAGCCGTTACAGTAGATACCTTTACCGTTATACCCCATACCACCTGATACAAGGAGTGAGCTACAAATCAGAGAAATACCAAATAATTGTGTGTATAATAAATAGCTTTTATAATCACAGCATTTATTAAAAGATTCACGTTTATAGAGAAAATGGATACAATCATTTCTTATTCTTTCAAACATATCCGTAATTCCCGGTCAGAGAGAAATCCGAGTAATTTAAGTTATTTACCACAGTTAGATTTGCAGCCGGGGTGATGTTTGGACATGTGGTAGGTAACAGGATGAGGGACCTTCTCCCCACACAGTTCACACTGCTCCTTCTCCTCCTTCTCCTCTTCCACCTTGTTATCTGTCTGTGATGTCTTTATACCTGTAGTTGGGTTATGGGTAGTTCGAATGCTTGTAATTTTCTCTTTTTTTATCAATGCATGATTAATGGAACTTGAATGCCAATGGATTTAAAAGTAGTTTTATTTCTTTATTTTGAAAAAAAGAAGACAATGTTATCAGGAAAAATCGAATTATATATATATTACAAACCCTTTTTAGATCGTTTTTTCTTTGGCCTATTTGAGCTATCTTTGTTAGTTTCATCAGTAATTGGAGGAGGTGGCTGAAACGATTGTATTAGTATCAAACTATTTATAGCACTATATAAGAACTAGATAAGCACTATATAAGCACTATATAAGAACTAGAACAACCTCCCAGCCCGGAAAACTGAATAAACATTCGGACATTCCGCCGATAATTTCCAAAAAGCATGCAATCGATTTCGCCAATACACATTGACAGTTCAAATGGTGATGTCTGTTGAGTTACCTTAATCTTGGTAGTGGCACAAGTCATGATGAGATCCTTGACGGAGTCCCACAGTGAACAGAGCATGTTCAGTGATGAAACACTCTCCGTAGCTTCCTCTCCTGATACAGTGACAAATATTACCAAAATACCAAGTAAATTCAATATCAAGCTGTCAATTTCTTCTCCAAATCTTCTATTTCTACTATTTAATTGTATTAAATCTTACCATGATCCCTCTCAGTGTCATAGTATTATTAAAGATTCTAATGAAGTTAGGTATTTTTATTTTATCCCGGAGTTTCACTCAAGACTTCGACTAAAAAGATCTAAATCTTACCGCATTCTGAAGTTCGCTGAGTTGTGTAACTGCTAGTCCGTTTCTTGCAGGATCCAGTTGGATTACGTGCTAAGGAATTTAAGTTAACATATTTCTTTCAAGGTTCGGTAGTCAAATCTTCATTGTAACTGTGCGATTATCCTACCATCATTTTTAACAATTAAGACCCCATTTACTACTACTTAATTAAGATGAAGTATATTAAAAAGACAGAAAGGCACACAATTAAAACATTAAAACACAAATCAGTTGCAAGTCAGAACATGCTAATTAGCTAATTCAGCCTACAGAGATAAGGAAATATAATGGGATTTTCTTTTTGACCCTGTCAAGTGTAAAATTCTTACCGGGACCAGATTTTAACACACTGAACTTAGTATCATAAATCTTCGAGGGTTGACTTTTGTGTCTTTTCAGCTGATCCTGATGATCACTTTCACCTTGCAAAAATGGCGGCAGCTTTACAAGATTTGGCATGCTAAAACAGCAGATAAAGTACAGATTCAGATCATATTCAGAACAGATTCAGAGTAGATTTAAATAACAAAAGAATTCATGCAAGAATGCTCACAGCATGCAGACAGAGAACTGACCCAAGAAACACTTACCGTTTGGTGAAGCAGTTTCAAACTTGATGTAAGCTGCTGCTGCCATGGCATCATCAACAGCTCCATAGTGCCAAAGATAAGCTGATGAGAGACATGGTACCCATTAAAAGACGTTATAATTTGAAATTGATTGATGTTTAACTCCACGCGATATCCATTAAACTATAGAAAAAAATATTCAAACAAATATTCAAAGATAAGAGATGAAGAGAAGCTAATAAATACCTGCAAACACTGTCCGGATAGTATTAGTGAGAGACTTTGAGTTGACACACTTCACTTCTATGTCATCCACAAGATCAGATGTTTCTGACAGGAAGGAAATACTGTATTCTGATCTGAAGGAGAAAATTAATTAAATGATTTGTGTTTCTTGATGCTGGAAAATGCGATTTTCACTCTGTAGTGTAACCCGGCCTGTATACGGCCGGGACTTCACTATCGCAGTTGTATTGCAAAAGTATAAACCCGCCTATTATATTTGAAAACACGCATTACATTGTCGTATATATTGAGATTATTATTTAAGATGACTGGGATCCATTCCCACGGGACCCAGTCTGGTGCCATGTATTACTTGGCTGAATAAGAGGCGTACTTCAAATAAGATTTCACTCCCCACCCCAACATTCCTCAACTACAACAAAGTTTAGATTCAGAATTAGATACATTCATATCATGACCAGAAATAAAGTTAAAAATCTAATTTCGAAGCGGGCAAGGTTCTTTGTTTATATTCTTATATTGTACCGCTCCGTAACTTTTTGTTTATCTACTCTTCAGTAAACATCTATTTATCGAGGCTTTTCTCGCAACGACTTATCCATGTGGCTTTTCGTTTATAACCTAAATCTATTATATTGATGTCAAGATACCGAACACCCTGTAAAAGCTTGTCTCTCTCTCTGTTAACAAGAAGTGTAAAGTAGGTACATGCTAAAATAATCAGTTAGTTTCAGCGTTCACAATATTCGCAATAACTTGGATATTCAGAGTTTAATTATTTAGTGGAAAAAGGAAGGCATTCTTGGAATGGGCCAGCTGTCCACACGTTCCTGGATCTTCATGGTAGGTAGCTTACTGTGCCATACGGTGTATTTAGACATTAGGGGCGTGTCAATTAGTTGCCCCATCCGCACCCCCCCCCCCCCCCGCCCCGAGTGTTGGCGCTCCTCCCCTTTTGGTGCCCCTCCCTAAAATTGAACAAATTAGATGATTTTAGAGGATACGCCGGTTAAATCTCTAAAAAAAGTGTGTTTCCCACATTCAAACGACGATTATGCCCCCCCCCCCCCCCCCCACAGCGGGGTCGGCGGGGCCCTTCGTTACGCCACTGGTGTCAATTAGACTTGAGATAAAATTTTTCTATTGTTGTTGTTGGTAATATACACGGCCATCTTACTATATATAAAGCGAGACGATATATATATATTTATTTATCCGCACCATTTTACTGACACCACGGCATCAACTTTAACACGGGTTTCCGCAAAAATCGTACAAGATATAAAACTGAAACTTTTTTAACTGATTCAAATGCTTTAATGGCCTTCAAATCAGCATGAAAAAATCGAAAATCGGCCAAGGAATAAGAATTTTAGTACCCAAAATTTGGACCCCCAAGTGGTGTCAAAAAATAATTATTTTTACTGGGAGACTTTAGGGTAGGAAACTGATCCAGCCACCAAAGAGCCTTGACACCAGTCTTAAAGGTTTGACGGGTTCCTGCTAGTACATATAATCTTTAATTAGTCTATTGTTTTAGATGTACTCATGGTATTTCTCATCCGTGCGGGAAATTAATCGTCATGCTTCTAGTTCTACAATGTACATGTATTGTATTATATGGTTCCATCGCCATTCAACAGTGCTTTCAATTTTGTTCAACCTTTGGTATCATTTAGCAACTGATGGATCGTTTACATATTACGTAAGCAAGATGTTTGGTCATTTTAGAACCCCCTCCTCATCTGCTAGACACTTTACACATAGCTATTGTAGAAATATTACGTAATATTATGTGAACTATCTCGAGCCTTAACCAAATAAGCAAACCGAAATTCAGAGCAAAATTCACTACCTTATCGAATGCTAATAATTGTTTATCTTTTCAATCTAAGGTCGTATAGAGCTAAAAGAGGCCTGAGTAAGAGTGCGGGGAACTTTAACTCTAATTTTGATGTTACATTGTTTAGAATCTAGATCTATAAAACGGAGTGCGAGTTACCGGGAGCGCCTCGCCATCTTCTTATAATTATATTCCTGCATAGTTTCCTAACTAAGCTCACATAGCTAACTAATAACAGCGTTTTAAGTCAGGCGTCAGCTAAACACCAACTTGTAGTGTTCATTGATCGATTGTCTCAATCGGCTCCCATTAAGATTACATAATATGCACATAGTCAAACAATGGGAGATGACTCAGATGTGGCGAAAAAAATGAACGAATAATTTCCAGCTAACAAAGTGTACATTTTATTTCTCTTCTGTAGTTGGGATCTTAACAATTGAAACCGCAAGACTTTAAATCAACGAAACATTTTTGATGCTCAACATCTACATCACTTCATTAGTCCCAGTAAATGCATTTGTTTGTAGTTGTGAAACAATTATATTGTATCTGTACTATTGCCATTTTTCTTTAACAGTTAAAATGGTGGTATCATTTTAGCTTTATTTAGTATTTCTGATTTTATGAGACCCGTGTTTGTTTTAAACATTCTGCTCCGAAGAGGATCGAAAGCTTTTTCAGTGGAGCCGCTCAGATATGGGCACCGTATTGTGTAAATTATTTAGTTATATCTTATACAATATCTTTGCTGCAGAGGAACGGGGTAGTAAACACTGTGTTTCGTTTCGACGTTCGAAAATGTTATTCCGGGTACTATTCTGGTTAGGAACTGACCGGTCTAGGGTTTTGGCTGATCGGATGTTTAGAAGAGAAAATTTCATGCTGCCGGATCTTGCCGGAAATTTGTAGCTTATCCCTTTTAACCTCTGTACTATAATGCTCCTTACCTCAGGTACTTACTTAATGCTTCATTACTGGATCTGGGACTATAGAGTTAATAAAAGTTATAATCCCTATAATAATAGTGGAGTGCTGCATTGTTTCTTTTAATTTTGGGATATAATACGATAATTTTCAGTTTTCGTTTTAATATGAAACAGTGTATAATTAAGTATGGTAAAATTGAGGAAGCATAGAAATCCAGATAGGTTAAAACAACAACCGCTTGATTGAGGTGAAATTTTCAATCGTCGCCTTAATTAAGTGATAATTTAGTTTCTTATAATAAGTTATGTCGAAAGTGAGCGAGCTATTCCATTTTCGCACTCGATCTAAATTTCTAAACGGCCCTTAATATTTTAATTGGCCCAGAGTTTTACGTAGTAAACTTTTACATCTCCCCAAAATCTGTAATTTTCACGAAGTTCATGCCGGAACGGCGTCAAACCACAAACTTTCTTTAATTTAGACTAAGGCAATTATACTTCATTATATGCTAGGTCGAATTTAACTTAAATTAATGATCGAGTAAAATCCTCTTCTGATCCTTTTTTTGTTGTTGTTGTCTAGTGTTTGCCAGTAATGACAAGGGCTTTGAAACCAATATACATATATAATATGTGTATAATAAATATATTTTTAACGCATTCAAATGAACCCAAACACTGAGTCAATAAACCTGATCCCTCGAACTTAAAACAAGTGTCACGTTATCCTGCAGGTCAGACCTGTATCGCAACAACCATTCAGCCGTGCTTGCTCGGTGCAGTTCCTTACCGCTTTACCCGGCAAACCGATACATGATTCTTAGTGCTGAAAATGTTCTCAAAACCCAACATGAAGCACCTTTAAATGCAGTAATAATAAGTTTTCCAGGAATAGATGAAGTAAGCATGTTGTCATATTTTGGCACGTAAAACATTAAAAAATGCAACACATGCTGGTGCTGATAACCACTGTGTGGTATGTGTTATGTTTCAATTTAAGTTTTCTGAATTCGCTATGTAGTGTTATTGTTTCGTTCTTGAGCTTTTCTGCTTAAGATTTCTAGATTTTTGCGTGTTGTATTTTCCTCCAATTTTTCGAACCTAGATGTTTTATATTTATCGCCATATTGTATTTTTAAAGAAAATGAGCATCTATCGATATCAGATCCATACATATTTTAAAAATAATCGTATTGGTTAATTTTGTCTAACTTGAACAAAATTAACCGATACGATTATTTTAAAACTTGGATTCCGAGTTCGGCAGAAATCACATCTCAACTGATCACTAATATAACGGTCATCTTACTGAAAGCTTCGTTTTAGAAAGCGCCTTCGTTTCGAAATTTTAAGAACGACGGTAATTTCTCTCCGGGGAGACAGAGGGGCGAGAAAGAACTTTCTCAATATAGACAGTTTAGATTTGAACTTGGAGCCGCAAGGCCAAGGGTGCTGGGTGATTTTCAAAATATTGAGTTTTTGAAGGGTTATTTTTATATAGGGTCGTTGTGACATTATGTGTATACTGTTTGAAACAATTTATTTTATCTGCAGGTATCATGAATAGCCAAGGGTACAACAAACTACCTGATCGAAGGACCAGAGTTATAATCGAGATACAAGAAGCTGAAATTAAGCATCTGGCAGAAGAAGAGTTGTGGAGGGAGGAAAAACAACTTGAGAAAAAGTTAAGGATAAACAGTACCACAATTGGTCCAACTGATGATATCGAACAAAACATAGTGGACTCATATCGGAAATTGTTCAAACTGTTCGATGAGGATGATAACGGTAGTATCAGCGTGGACGAACTCGGCCATATTTTCAGATTACATCTTGGAAAAGCTCTCTCTGAAGGCGATCTTAACAAAATCATAGAGCAAGTAGATGAAGACGGAAGTAATACTATTGACTTCAGTGAATTTCTAACTTTAATGGAATCTGAAACGTGGAAAGAAATAGAGAGAGGCGAGATCGTTGAAGCGTTTGCAGTATTTGATCGGAACAGAGATGGGTACATTGACACTGATGAGTTAAGTTTTGCTCTCTGCAATTACGGGGAGACGATGTCGAAGAAGGAGGTGGATGAGTTTGTGAATTTTATTGATCAAGACAATAATGGGGTGATAGACTTTGATGAATTTAAGGCTATGGTGAGTGCAGATGAAGATTTGGGAGGCTGCCGGCAACAATGATTGGTCTTGTCTCTTCGTGATCAATTCAGATTAATCTAAAATAAGCGTTGTAGATTGAGTTATTTTAAAGGACACCTTCTCGAGAAGAGTTTTGATAAACGATGTCAAGGACAGTGAGAATCTAAACCTCTTTTATTCTGGTAGACACTGATAACCGATAAACTCACGATTGGCCCTTGATATGCACTAATTTTGAAATGTTTTTACTATCTTCAGTTTCATGATGGAGAACTCAAACATGTAATATACATAATCCGAAAAAAAAGGAACATGCTGATTAATAAATTACATTAAGTGCTTCGAAAAATAGCTATTCAGTAAATTTTTCCTTTTAAATAATAAATAGTTATTCTTGTCTACAAACGATTAAATAAATGAGTCTCTATAAGTTCAGGTTAGTCCCCATTCAGATGCATGGCCAAGCTTTGGGGGAAGACATGATCTTATCAGTAAACACCGCTTCTTTGATATCAATGGAAGTGTGAATGGTAGCGTAGAGCTCCCCTTTGAAGGATATCTCGTATCGACTTTTCAGAAGGGGTTCACCGCCATCTTTCATAGCAGAACCATCTTTTCTTCCTACCTCCACCATCACTCCTAGCTCCAGCATGGTGTCCGTCAGAGAGTGAGGACGTCCAGAAAGTGTAACCACGTGTTGGAAATCAGGGAATTTGGAGATCACGTGTGACATTATGGTCCTGTTAGAATCACCGTAGATAAAGTACTTCTGCTTTTCCGGATAGGTCACTGTGGCTGACAGGTCCAAGCGTTGGTAACGGGGGATGTCAAGGACTTTCAGTACAATGTTGCCTCCTTTGCCATCATTAACGAGCTTGACTGTCATCTTTCTATCACCATGGAGGATATTGTAAAGGTTGCGAACTTCTTTGTTTGCGTCACCTGCTTCAAGGACGGTCTCGAACACGACTGAGTGTTTAGAACCGTTAGAATTCATGTAATTCCTCAACATTTCTTTATTCTCAGGAGAATCAGCCTCAACTTTAACAGAGACCTTGGTACTGATGTTCAGGAATATCAGTATCTGTGAGGTATTCGATGAAGATGGACTCGTCCTTGTCGTTTCTATTATACGATCCAGATAGAGTGAACTTGTGGGTGACGGCATTATCTTTTACACGACCCATACAGTTAAGAACAATCATACGGAACTGCTCCCTGATTGTAAAGATTGACTCATTCCATTGCCATGGATTCATGCAGGTGTTGATCAGCACGTTCATATCCTCATCGTCTTCAGCCAAACCTACCCTTTTTTTGAAATCCTTTAGTGCCTCTCCGTGCTTCTTTGCATCCAAACCAGAGTGTGTAATCATCAATGGTATACGACGAGCGTTAGTCCCAACAAACATCTTTGTCCCATCAGAAAGAGCAATTTGTTGCTTGTTTACGTCTTCAGCATCTTTGTTGTTCTTGAAGTTCATGGCATCAGAAAGGGCCCACTGTAGCTTGTTGGTTTCTTTAACATCTTTGTTGTTCTTGAAGTTTACCACAAAAGTATTGATAGTAGTATCGGGTCCACAGTCTTTAAGGAAGTGCTTCGCCTTTTGGTCATTGTAGATGTCTTCCATTGGTTTGTACGCAATGTGATCATTAATCAGTTGCTTGGAATTCTCCATGTTATATTCTTTGGGGAGTTGTTGTAGAGGAACACATACAAATGGATCATCTTCTCTAGCCATTGTCAACCACATGGAATAGAAAAGTTTTGCTGTAGCAGTACATTGGCCAAGGATTCTGCCGTAACCTCTGTTGCTCAATCCGATGACATTATGAGACATCCATATTCCAGCAGATGCTGCAACAGGCTTAGAACCCTCAATTCCATGGTGATCATCATGGTAATATTCTTGGTGATCATGGTGATAGCCATAGTGATCCTGGTGATCACGGTGATCGTGGTGATAGCCATCATGATCACCGTGAAAATCTTCACGATGGAAATGAGCTATGGGGTAGCGCATTTTCCCGTTGCGGTAGCATAGAGCCCCGCCTGGGTATGGACAAAAGCCAGACTTGTGAGGATCAACAGTAATTGAGTCAGCGAACTCAATATGTCTGAACTGATCGTGAACATAGTCACTCATTTCACAGTGTGGCACAAAGCCATCAAACTTGTGACTCTTATTGGACCGTTCATTATGTCGTTCATTTTGTCGTTCATTCTGTCGTTCACTAGACCATTTCTTGTTATGGACCTGGAATTTTGTTTCCTTCATCAGCATAGTCTTGAAGTAACCTCCCCAGACCCCATCAGCTAGAATAGCAAAGTTGAGTCCCTTCCCTTTGAATTCCTCCCTTAACTGGTAGATCTCCTTAATGGGATCTACTGCAGATTCTTCTGCAGAGCCCATGACGGCGATGACAGATAAAACTGGTGTTTCAGCTTTAAGGAACCCTTCGAGTTTTTCTCTTAGATGGTCGACGCTTTGCCGGAAGTTCACATCTAATTGTATTGGGATAAGGGCATCAGAGCCAAGACCAAGTAAATTTCCAGCTTTTGACCAAGAGTAGTGGTTATGTGCAGGGGCTGTGTAAACTGGGGCTTTCTCAAGACCATGCTTCTCGAAGAAGTCGAAGAAGCCTAAGCTCATGATTCCTTCTCGTTCAACAAGCTCGTGGAACTTTATGTCTTCAGTGGAGCCGTGAAATAAGCTCATGTTTTCATCCACACGCTTAACTAAGTCACAAATTTCATCAACGTCCACATTCAAGAGTTGCCAATTGGAGCAGTCTTTCAAAGCAGTTGCTTCTCTTTTGTCACTCTCTTTTCTGTAGACAAGCAAGGTGGTTTTTAATCCTTCATCTATTTGGGCTTGAGAGAGAAACGATAAAGGTCCATCTTTAGCGTCGGCATTTAGCAGAGCAGATTTAACAGCCATCGGAACAAACTTCATGTTCCTTGAGGCCCAGACTGCTTCAATGTTGGCAGCAGATCCTCCACTTGTCACATGACCCCAAGCAAAGGGCTCCTTCCTCTCTGGGAACACGTTGTATCCCAACATATCACACAATTGCTCACCAACCAGTTGTTCGTACTTGGGCGTGGATCGTACAGTTTGGTGACTGTAGTTTTGATCATAGTAGCGTTCGTACCTGTGTCTGTTTTTGTGGTCGTACTTTGTTGCGAAATCCTTGTTGTTCTGGTGACAGAGCATAGCTGTTATGTATCCTAAGAGACCTGGCATGGACATGTCCCAATTCATTTGACCTTGATAGCGAGGGGAGAAGAACGGGATGTTGCCCTCCATATCTGTTTGCATCTTCATAAGTTCTTCTTTCATGTCCTCAATTTCTTTACGGTATTCAGGCGAAGACTTCATCTCCTTGTTGATGTAGGCTGGATCAGAAGGACTGTTGTTGTATCTTTGCCTAATGTGTCCCTCAAAGATCTCCTGGAAAATGTCCATGAAGACGTCTTTATTCTCAGCTCTTGGCCCAAGAAACCATGCACTCAAGGCTTTCCATTGCTGTTCGTGTCTTTCTCCGAACTGTTCGTGCTTTCCTCCGAGAGGAGAAGAGAAGACTTGAGATCTGTCAACTGACATACTCTGAAAGGAATTTGAGGGTGATTTTACCTGAGGTTAAGTTTTTCTATGTGAAAAATAATATTATATTATAAAAACAGTTTATGACAACTGAATATGAATAAAATCATATTGGCGAGTCAAGCGACCTTAACTTTCAACATTGATTCAAGCACATAAATTGAAATTCGGGAGTATTCTTCTATGACAATTCATTAAAGATATCATAAATGTAACCACACGAATTTTTACTTAAGCAGGAAGAAACATGCTGAATAACACTTTTTGCTAAAGAAACGTTAGTAAGAGAAAAGGTCTAACTTATTAGTTGTCAGTTCTCTCAAATTACAGAAATAGCCCAATCGGTGAATCGGTGTCAAAGATAGTCTTTCTTAAAGTTCACGTATCATAATATGTGATTAAGCACTGGGAGAAGCAATAGAGCTGAAAATCACTGTCTCCTTGATGTTGGCAGTAGTATTGAAGGTAGCCTGCATTTCCCCCTTGAAAGCTATCTCGTAACGAGGTCTTTGCAGCGGCTGCTTGATCCCACCACCAACCTCAAGTGGAACTCCTTCAACTTCCTCTAGCTCAACCATCACTCCTAGCTCCAGCATAGTCTCCGTCAGTCTTACTGGACGTCCTGAAAGTCTTACTGTGTGTTGGAAATCCGGGAATTTAGAGATCACGTGTGACATTATGGTCCTGTTAGAATCCCCGTAAATATAGTACTTCTGCTTTTCCGGATAGGTCACTGTGGCTGACAGGTCCAAGCGTTGGTAACGAGGGATGTCAAGGACTTTGAACACGATAACACTGTTATCCTCATCATTAGCTAGCTTCACGTGAAGTCTTCTATCACCATGAAGGATCTTGTGCAGATTGGAAACTTGTACTTCGTCGTCCTTATCTGCATTTAGAGGGACAGTCTCAAATAGAACAGGAACACCTTTTGCAGCACATTTGTTGATGTAGTTGAACAGAGTCTTTTTCTCCGAATCAGAGATAGCTTCTACTTTGACAGAAACTTGGTACTGATGTTCAGGGATATCAGTACAAGTCATGTACTCAATGAAGATGGATTCATCCTTGCTGCTGTCTACACATGGTGCAGATAGATTGAACCTGTGGGTGACAGCGGCATCCTTAACACGGCCAATGCAGTTCAGAACTACCATACGGAACTGTTCTCTGATTGCAAAGATCGACTCATTTTTTTGCCATGGATTCATACAGGTGTTGATCACCACGTTCATATTTTCTTCATCTTCAGCCAAACCTGCCCTTTTTTTGAAATTTTTCAGTCCTTCTCCATGTTTCTTGGCATCCAAACCACATTGCATCATCATCACTGGTATACGACGAGCATCAGTTCCCACAAATTCGTTCATCGCGTTAGCTAGGGCTACCTGAAGTTTGTTGGCTTCTTTAACATCATTGCTGTTCTTGAAGTTAACCAAGAAAGTATTGATCGCGGTATCAGGTCCACAGTCTCGGAGGAAGTCCTTTGCCGCTTTGTCTTCATAGATCTTTACCGTGGGTTTAAATGCAATCTTTTCTTTGATGAGTTTCTTTGCACTCTCAAGGTCATAACCCGTTGGGAAAGGCTGTAACGGAACACACACAAATGGGTCATCTTCTCTGGCCATTGTTAGCCACATGGAATAGAAGAGTTTTGATGTTGCAGTGCATTGGCCAAGGATTCTGCCGTAACCATTTTTGCTCAGTCCAATGACATTATGAGACATCAAAATACCAGCGGAAGCAGCTCTGGGCTTTGACCCCTCAATTCCATGGTGACCATGGTGATCATAGTGACCATGGTGATCATGGTGATCATGGTGACCATGTTGATCATGGTGATCATGATGATCACCTTCAGGATGGAAATGAGCTATGGGGTAGCGCATTTTCCTGTTGCGATAGCAAAGAGCTCCACCTGGGTATGGACAAAAGCCAGAATTATGAGGATCAATTGTAATGGCGTCAGATAACTGGATATGCTCGTATTGCTTTTGCACATAAGGACTCAGCTCACCGTACTCTACATAGTTGTCCGATCTGCTCTTATTAGATCCTTTGCCTAGCTTTTCTCTCACAGGGTCTTTCTCTGCTCCCTCAATTAACATGGTTTTGAAATAGCCTCCCCACGCTGCATCAGAAAGGAGAGCGAAGTTTAGGCCCTTTACTTTGAATTCTTCCCTTAAATCGTACATTTCTTTGATGGGGTCCACGGCAGACTCCTTAGTTGAGCCCATAACAGCCACAACAGCTATGACAGGAATCTCACTGTCAAGCTTTTCCTGGAGTCTCGCTTTTAAGTCCGCGACATTTTGTCGGAAGTTTACATCCAATTGGATTGGGATAAGAGCGTTAGAGCCCAGATTCAGTAGAGTTCCAGCTTTTGACCAAGAGTAGTGGTAGTTAGCCGGGGCTGTGTAGACAGGTGACTGCTTCAGACCGTGCTTTTTCATGAAATTGAAAAGACCTAAGGTCATAACACCCTCTTGTTTAACAAACTCATGGAACTTGCTTTCTTCAGCACAGCCTTCAGTTAAACCCATTTTCTTTGTTACACTTTCAATTAAGTCACAAATTTCATCGATGTCTACGTTCAAGAGTTGCCAATTGGAGCAATCTTTCAAAGTAATTGCTTCCCTTTTGCTACTCTCCTTTTTGTAGACTAGCACGGTCATTTTCAATCCTTCATCTATTTGAGCTTGAGAGAGAAACGATAGAGGTCCGTCTTTAGGATCAGAATTGAGCAGATAAGCTCTCACAACTAGCGGCATGTACTTCATGTTCCTCGAGGCCCAGAGTGCTTCAATGTTGGCAAGATCCCCTCCGCTGGTAACGTGACCCCATGCAAGAGGCTGCTCCTTTTTCTCTGGAAATACGTTGTAACCCAACATATCACACAACTGCTCACCAACAGGACTAGCTGCGGGATCTATGTTGTTCTGATTGAAGAGAAGAGCCATCATGTGGCCCAACATAGCTGGCATGGAGATGTCCCAATTCATATGACCTTGATGCATATGACCATACGCTTGATTCATATGATTCATATGAGTATGACCTTGATGCATATGACCATATGATTGATTCATATGATTCCATTGACCTGATTCCAATGACCTAGATTCATACGACCTTGAGGGGAGAAGAATGGAAAACTGCCCTCCATATCTTGTTGCATCTTCAAGAGTTCTTCTCTCATGTGCTCAATTTCACTACGGTAAGCATGGGAATTCTTCATCTCCTCAGTAATGAAAGCTGGATCAGAAGGGAAGGAGTTGTCCCTCATTCGAACATGTCTCTCAAAGATGTCCTTGAACATCTCCATAAAAACCTCATTATTCTCAGCTCTAGGGCCAAGGAACCACGCACTCATGGCTTTCCATTGCTCATCGCAGTTCTCTCTGACAGGAGAGACTGAAGTACTGTCCACAGACATACCTTGGATGAATTACAATTAAAATTAAATTCTTGAAAATTTCATTTCCTATTTTGTTAGCAATAGCAGTTCTGAAATCGTAGATATTCCAGAATTCCTTCAATGGAAGTTTTTATCCTATTGGAATCTACCAAATCATAGTATGGAGGAGTTAGGTGAAGTTGATAATATTATACGAGAAATGTAGCCTGTTAGCCGATAGCTCATGTAAGCGTTAAAAGCATATTTAAAATCGCAAAATAACTGGGTTCGAATTCGGGCCCTTGCATATGTGTCGGTGAAAGTATAGAGTTATTACTAATAAATAGATGCAACTGAAAACGCGAAAGCTTATCAATACTTACGATTGACGTTGTAAATTTAAACATCCCATATCGAATCACCCAAACAGAGTTTAGGCAAAACCCCAAAGATTGGCAAGTCACTCGACAATATTGGAGCGGGGCATGATCATGTGACGATCAATTATGACTTCATCAAGACTCAAGAGGTTGGGGGTCGGAGTAAAAGACACTACGACAGAGGACACTACGACAGAGGACACTACGACAGAGGACACTACGACAGAGGACACTACGACAGAGGACACTACGACAGAGGACACTACGACAGAGGACATTACGACAGAGGACACTACGACAGAGGACACTACGAGGACACTGTGGTGGAGGACACTACGACAGAGGACACTACGACAGAGGACACTACGACAGAGGACACTACGAGGACACTGCGGTGGAGGAAACTACGACAGAGGACACTACGAGGACACTGCGGTGGAGGACACTACGACAGAGGACACTACGACAGAGGACACTACGAGGACACTGCGGTGGAGGACACAACGACAGAGGACACTACGACAGAGGACACTACGACAGAGGACACTGCGGTGGAGGACACTGCGGTGGAGGACACTACGAGGACACTGCGGTGGAGGACACTACGAGGACACTGCGGTGGAGGACACTACGAGGACACTGCGGTGGAGGACACTACGAGGACACTGCGGTGGAGGACACTACGAGGACACTGCGGTGGAGGACACTACGAGGACACTGCGGTGGAGGACACTACGTAGATACAGTGGAGGATAGTACTGCAGTGGACGGTAAGATGGAGGACACTATTTAAGCGTATAAGTTTATCGACCGAGCTCCTCCTGGAAATCAGGTCCCCCACGTGACTGTTGTTATTTTTATTTCAACAATGGATAGACAAGTACAACATTGTTTAATATAATAGCAATACATCTTTATTTCGCGCTGATAATACTATTATATTTGGATGAATACAAGTTGGCGTAAAAGCATCTGCATGTGGTTTGTAAAGAAACTGTTAGATAGCGTTACTCGAGCAGAGTGTTGGTTTCTCCTGGAAATGAGTTCTCCGACGCTACTGCTACTACTACATGTACTTTGACAATGGATAAATGAACATTTGAAATAAATTTATTATATGTATATAACGGATTTTAATTTATTTTATTTAATAAATGTAAAATTAGACATGAGTTACTTTAAAATGTGCCTCCTAAGTGCACGGCGGTCCAACACGTTTCATGTATAATGATACTTAGAATGTTTGACCATTTTCGATGAAAACTTTCCCTTTTGTCTTTTTTGAAACATCTAAAACAAATTTTTCCTACATTTGAAACAAATCAGATTTTTCGGTCAAAATTTGGCTATTAAGGGCCCTATGGAACTGCCTCCTTTCCACCATACCGGCACACCTCCAATTAAAATTAAGTTTGCAATTATGTATAATAGCGAGCCCAATTGCTCGGTTATCTTTATACTTTATAAAGGCGCATCACCAAAAAACACAAATTTTAAAATTTTATTTTCCACTAATTGTTCTGTCATATAATCAGTTTTAATGTTGTAGTTTTTGCGATACAAAAATCCAAAAGGTAATTTTAATTTAATCCCCCGTTAAGCACAATAAAAACTTACTTGGCAGGAACGGGGTCAGCTGATTTGCCGCTCGGATTAGGAGCACTAGAACTGGAACCGTGATCGAACACTACAGTCGGAGGGAAGGGCTCCTCTCCACTCGTTGTACGTAGGATGTAAACCTGGCGTGTGCGGTGTGTAAGTCATGGTGTGTAAGTCATGGTGTGTAAGTCATGGTGTGTAAGTCATGGTGTGTAAGTCATGGTGTGTAAGTCATGGTGTGTAAGTCATGGTGTGTAAGTCATGGTGTGTAAGTCATGGTGTGTAAGTCATGGTGTGTAAGTCATGGTGTGTAAGTCATGGTGTGTAAGTCATGGTGTGTAAGTCATGGTGTGTAAGTCATGGTGTGTAAGTCATGGTGTGTAAGTCATGGTGTGTGGATTAATTTCAGACGGTTAACAAGTTGGGGGGGGGGGGGGGGGGGGGGCAACCATATTAAAGTATATAATTAAAATGTAGGTTTTTCCCAATTTTGACCCGGGGATATACTTTAATATACTTTAATATACTTTAATATACCTATACTATCTCGATTCAAAATTTGGCCGCATAATTTCTTTAAAGGCCTATAATGATTGTATAGATTAGATTTACCTTTCATGTAAAGTTAGTCTATTCAAAGATATTGATACTTGACCAATTTATGGGCCAAAATATATCAAATTTGGTGCATATTCCCAAATATGGGCATATGGTTTTTGATTCATAACTTAGCCATTTTTGTCCAGTCTCGATGAAAATTCAAATACAAGTTCAGGGGACCACTAGCTTCAAGTAGAGCACCTTAAATCGGGTTTTTTGGGCATTTTTAGGTGGTTCTGCATAATTGGGCCAAAAAGGGACCAGATATGGGCGCGGCTGCCCTGCACGATTGGCGAATTTTTGGTGGAATATTCTATCTAGCTAGCTACAGACCGCTTATTTTTTAGATTTTCTTAATGGAGAGGCTGGGCCTGGATGGCCCACGAGAAGATAGAAAGATGAACTAAGACAACATGTGAGTAGTCGCTAATTGTCACACCGGTCTGGTCCAGATCCTCGGGTACAATTAGCTGCGTTTGGTGCGGTTTGCGAAATTGACAACAGTGGTGATATGCTGGTTGTCAAATATTTCATTGACTGAGAGGTCCTGGAAATATTGCCCTCTTATTTGGGCAATAGCCGGGCACTGTCCAATAAAGTGTTAAACAGTCTCCTCTTCGTCACCACACATAAGACAAGCACTGATGCTTGATTTGAAAATGAAGTGAAGGTGTTTGTGCAGGCCACAATGTCCCGTGATAAGGTGTACTGCAGTTCTGTCATTTTGTCTGTTGTTGCTAGGTGTAGTGTTAAGGTTTTTGATGATGTTGACGTGTTTGCAGCCGAGTGTCATTTTGGTGTGTCTGGAAGTAAAAATTGCTAAAATATTGATTATGACGTCGCGTGATGTGATGACTGATGTATATACTTGGGGACTATGAGGCATGATAACATTTGGTATTACACGCAATTGTCTTAAAATACCTTGTTGGTGGATTGAACATTTCATTTAAATCTTATAATTAGTGATTTGTTAGATGAATTTGCTTTAGTTTTTAAATTTATCTTTATTTTTAATTGATTTTATTGTTCGGGTTTTGTGCTTTTTAAAGGAATACATATATACATATAATGTTGACACTTAACATTAATAATTGCTGATAATTAAATTCTGTGTAACTTAGATTTTCCAGCTTAGACTTAAAGTTAAAGCTGTGTCCAACCGATTGTGTTTGACCATTTTGTTTTCTGACAACTTAAAAGCTCAAAAATCTATCATGCCCCACACAAACCGTTTTGAACGTCCTACGTACACTAAAAACCGCGATTCACCGTACAGTTTGCGGGAAAAGAAAATAGTAAATTGGGGTTTTGCTGTACCTTAGGGCCAATAAATTTGGTTACCATAATTTTGGTTACCATAATTTTAGTCAAAAAATTCGCAAATTTTTAGTCTACAACAATTTTAGTCACATTTTTCGACTTTTTGAGACCATTTTCAATTCCATACGGCGTATAGTTTATATCGATATGATCCTTCAGCCGTTTCAACAGAGCATGCATTGGGATGGATCGATTGAAATGTAATTTCCAAGAGGAGCTCTAACCATTTAAGTGCAATAGGACTTTGGTACGGTTTTGTGCAGTAGCAACAGTGATGTTTAGTTATTGACATTATATTAATCATAAAGCCCTATAAAGTTAGTCGCCGAAAAATGTAGTCTCATGAAGTTTGGTTTACAACAATTTTAGTCAAAAGTTTAACTAAATTTATGGTAGACTAAATTGGTCGTTCTTAAGGTACACAATGTTTTGGGATCTTAATTCTTACATTGTAAAGTTATAAATTTATAATATTGAATACTTCAATTTGGCTCATCACCAGCTCAACTATAGCCCCAGGGACCAGCTATCCTGCCCACCTTATTGTATAACCTTCAAGACGAGGATAATTCTATAGGTTAATAAATCTATATTCTATAATCTATAATTAGATGATTATTAATTGTTTAATTGTTACAGCTCATTATCAACCTACCTACCTATTGAACCTATTGAGTATTGAGAGGTTAAGAAGTGGGCATCTTCGCGGTCACCGTGCTATATGCAGACCACCTCATTGACTGTTTATTATTATTTGACTCTGGGTAACGCTCCTCCGACCTGTACTACCTCATTAATCCAGATCTTACTTATTGTCATACGGAGTGTTTTAGATTCCTTATCAACAGATAATTTGTCTACCTCTCTTTATCCTAATTAAGTAATTATGACCCAATTAGCTTAACCCACTCTGCAACTGTCGTGAGTGTAATTTATTATTTATTAATTTATTATGGTCCGGCCATCTATATTCTGACCGTCTAATCTTGTTATTATAACTGGGTTGATTTGTGAGCGATAACGCTGCTTATCTTTTTTACGCTGCTTCAACACATTTATCGGGTTACATGACCGATAAAAAGTACATCTATATAACGGTTTTAATAATATTACATGGCACATTTTAGGATTGAATTGAAATTGTTGTTAAAATGTTCATTGTTGATTGTAGCCATATATTTTAGATTTTCGGCTGCCGGACAGTTGCGCACAATCTAGGTCAAGCTACCATGGGAAGATTACGAATCAAAACCAATTAAAAACTGCTTGATCAGATACGACAGTTGCGCCCAATCAATCTTGAAATACCGTTTTGTGAGATTTAGATCATATGGAGATATAGAGATATAAACTTAGAGAAATTTATACTGGTAGAATATTATTTCTGTGTTATCTATACTAATAATCTCAATAAATATGTGTGTGCGTCTGTTTGTAATTTACGAATAATTAAATCAAGGAAAAGATAAGAGATATGGTATTGGGATGGATCGATTAAAAATGTAATTTCCAAGAGGACCTCTAACCCTTTAAGTGCAATAAGACTTAGGTACGGTTTTGTGCAGTAGGAACAGTGATGTCATTGACATTATATTAATTATAAAGCCCTATAAACAATGTAAGCTTAATAATATTCAATATTCATGTCATATGTGCCCTACTGAAATATTGGTCTCCTTTAATATTAGTCGCCGAAAAATTTAGTCTCATGAAATTTGGTTTACAACAATTTTAGTCAAAAGTTTGAATAAATTTATGGTAGACTAAATTTGTCGTTCTTAAGGTACGTGGTTTCGAGAAAAACGTAATCATCAGGAACCTGTTCAAAGCGTGACGTCATGGTCGGTATTGCGAAATCCTTATTAGAGGCCATTCTATTTCTACTGCGTGGGGTGGACTATTAAGTTTCTATAAAGGAGGTGGTTGGCAGAACCACCTGTATTTAATTGCTATTGTTAGAATAGTATTCTACCTATTCACAAACTTTTTAATGTCATTTTATTTAAATATCACTAGGATTTTAGCTTTAAATGATAATCTACAAGCACTTACCTGGGAACTCCAGGCTATAATGTTCATGAACATTTAATAAAGATTCAGCCGAATGACAGGCTGAGCGCGGCCCCGTAAACAAGCACCTGCTCAAATTGCCTTTTAAATTCGATCATTAAATCGATTCAATAAATTCTCTCATAACAGTAGAATAGGCATTAGTGCCATAATATATTTCATTTTGTTGCCATCACAAATATACATATACTAATACAGTAACAAGTAGTATATTTCAAATTATTTGCAGCGTAATTTTTCTTTGCCAATTATACATAGTGTACATAAGGTAAGTTTCTGTGCAATTCGAAATTGCATCGATTAATATTTTATTTTTTATTTAGGGGTCGTTCACATATTACGTAATCAGCAGAGGGAGGAGGGGGTTTAGTTCCCAAGTTTAGTTCCCAAATGATTACGGGGGGGGGGGGGGGGGGGGGGGATTTGGTTGTTGATTACGTAATCAAAGTTTTCTTTTTTACCCTCTAGAATAATAACTTTGACAAATTGATAAATTTGACAATATTTTAATTCAAATTCCACTCAATTTCACTCTGATCACTCTGATAGTGATAAAATTTAGGAATGGATTGGGTATCCGGCTGCTAAAGTTAGTAGTTTGGAAGGTGCTTGGCCGGATATCATAACAATGATTTCGGCTCATAATGATCAGGTAGCATGAAACGTAGAGAAAAGTGTTTTTCAGGGAAAAAAGTCAAAAAAGGGGGGGGGGGGGGGGGGGTCAGGTCATGATTACGTAATTTTGCTGTCAGGATTTAGTTATGACATGGTTATGACATGGTTATGACATGGTGATTACATGGTTAAATTGTGACATGATCATGCTGTCGGGATTCTAGTCTATGATCTAATGTTAAAGTCTCATACAAAAATATTGAAATTTAATCATTTTCGGGGCAAAAAGCTATCACATTTTGTTTGTGTTTCCAAATATGGGCAAATAGATTTGGCTCATAACACGGCCATTTTTTTCCAAACTGGATGTAAATTTGTTATGAATTTAGGGGACTAACAAATGGCTTATCTTGTAAATCTTGACGAAGAATATAAATCTACTAATTGTAGGTATATTAAAGTATATTAAAATGTAGGTTTTTTTCGGATTTTGACCCAGGGATATACTTTAATATACTTTAATATGGTTGCCCCCCCCCCCCAACAAGTTGTCCATTACAGTGGTCAGGGTTTCAGCTAGCCTATAGCTTGCTTTAGTCTCCCATAAAAGAAGCCAAGTTCGCGGCTAACTTAAATACAGCTCACTATAATAGCGTTCCATTACTAATTAAGCCAATAGAAATGTGCAACCCCAGAAAAATAGATTTGCTGTACAATTCAAATACTACGAATTTAACCAATAATAAGGCTATCTTAAATTCGCACAAACAGATTTCATTACCTGGCTAGGATCAGAGTTGCTGGCGGGACTAAGGAAGATGTTGAAGGGAGAGGAGATAAGAGTGTATGCAGAGGGACACTTCACACTGCAGTAGGTCTCCAGTGAGCGCTCTGACAACGTCCCCCACAGTCCCTCACTATTCTGCACCTGCATAGAGAATAGTGTGTTGTTAAAGGTGCCTTCAACTGAAATAATATGCGAAATGTTGTAATCTGTTCGAAGCAAACCACATAAAACAACTAGAACTGTCCAGGCCATCCTGATTATCTTATATCTATAACTTACAGTGCGAGTAATACGGAGGGTTTGTCCGGTAGCCACCATGCCGAGTGGAGCGGCACTGGAAGACATGGCACCTCGGATCGTGTGTCCGGCGGCACCACACTTCACCACCTCGTACTCAAGTGTTGTGTTCTTTTCTGTTACAATTTGAGCGCGGTGAAACAGAATTTACGGATATATTCGCTTGACGTCATTAATCGAGAATATTTCCACAAGTCTAAACGTAAATGATAAAGCTCATGTTAACAATTTATAAGACATTAAATATTCTAGGTCTAAAAGTTGACCTATTAGTACTTTAAAAATTCCACAATCATTTTATTGAGTCAATTAAATTCTTTCGAATAATTTTCCAACCTGCCACGTTTGACTCTGAGTCGGTGGCGTGTTTCCTCTTCTTTTTGTAATCCTCAAGGAGCTGCTCTGATTTCTTGGTTTTTATCATGGGTTTTGTTCTCTCAACTACATGCGTCTTCGCAGGGGATCCTGATGACCGAGAACGGGGAGATAAAATAAGTATACTTACAATATCAAATATCAATACATTCAATACATCCTATTACATTAAACGTGTCACGAGAATTGACGGAATTCACTGAAATTACCTATCGGTGAACCGTCAATAAACACTGTCATCTCGTAGGTTCCAGGTTGTACAGGTTTCCAGGTTATACTGTAGAACCCGTTATTGTACGACTTAGCATCTATCAGTGTCGGTAACCTGTAAAAAGACTTTGAAATTAAGATGATTTAATTTAAGTTTCACTTTCTAATAGAGGGTCTGAAAATATTCCCGTCTATTATATAACTTCCACCCCGGGGTCTAAGAATTGGAATAGCTCAAGGGACCCATCAGAAATAAATTTGGCTTGGGTATAAATTTTGGCTATGGTGCAGTTTTGCGCGATTGACCACACTCTTTTTTAGCGCCTTCGCGACTTTTAAATCAAAATAACCCCGCTTCTAATTAGAGTTAGGAACTCAACTTGGCCTTAAACGTGTGCAGAAATATCACATTTAGGGGGGCCGGGGTAGAGCATAATTTCAAAGTCCTTAGACATCAGGTTGTCGAGTTATGTGGCCACACCTTTTTTCGCTCTCGCGAGTTGCAATTTGCACACAAAATACAAGATATCTCGGCTTCTGATTGAGCCAGGTGCTCGTCTTAGGCATTAAAATGTTCAGAATCATCATATTGAGTAGGGTAGAGCATCGTTTCAAAGTCCTCAGACGTCAGGTAGTTGAGTTATTAAGCAAAAACTTATTTTTTACGCTCTCGCGAGTAGCGATTGCAGCGCTTTAAATCAAAATTACTTAGCTTCTGATTGAAATTAGGAGCTAAACTCGGGCAGCAAAATGTTCAGGATTATCATATTGAGTGTGGTAGAGCATAATTTCAAAGTCCTCAGACATCAGGTTGTTGAGTTATTAGGCCACACCCTATTCTTAAGCCATTGCAACTTGCAAGTAGCGATCGACGCATTTAATACAAGATATCTCGGCTTCTGATTGGAGTAAGGAGCTAAACTTGGGCATGAAAGTGTTCAGAATCATCACATTAAGTGGAGTAGAGCATAGTTTCATAGTCCTCAGACATCAGGTTGTTGAGGTTTTAGGCCAAAACCTATTTTTACGCTCTCGCGAGTAGCGGTTACAGCGCTTAAAATCAAAATAACTCGGCTTCTGATTAGAGTTAGGAGCTAAACTCTGGAAGCAAAATGTTCAAAATTATCTCATTGAGTGGGGTAGAGCATATAATTTTAAAGTTTTCAGACAATCGGTTTATTCATTTATTAGGCCAAAGTCCAAACCCTATTTTTACGCTCTCGCGAGTAACGACTACATTTCTTAAAATTAGTATAACTCGGCTTCTGATTGAAGTTCGAAGCTAAACTTGGGTATAAAGATTAAAGGTGTTCAGAATTATCACATTAAGTGGGGTAAAGCGTGGTTTCAAAGTCCTCAGACATCAGTTTGTTGAGTCATTACACCAAAACCTATTTTATGCTCTCGTGATTACAGCACTTCATAGTGAAATACTTTACTTCGAGATATCTCCACTTCTGATGGGAGTTTGGTGTTAATCTTGGACATCAAAATGATCAAATATTCGCATTGAATAGAGTACTCGGACTTCAGGTAGAACCATGCTATGATTCTAAATATAGATAACGACCAGGTTAAGCACCGAAGTCCAATTAGAAGCCGAGATATCTTGAAATGAGTGTTTTAATTGTTGCAAGTAAGTGCTTAAAAATAGGGTGAGGCCTAACAACTTAACAACCTGATGACTGGGGACTTTGAAACTCCACTCAATAAGATAATTCTAGAATTTTGATGCTCGAGTTTAGCTCCTAATTTCAATTAGGATCCAGCCGAGTTATTTTGATTTGAAGCGCTGTAACCGCTAAGCTACTATTTGCTGTTTGATGGTGCTATCGTTTATTTTTTTATTTTTGGGGATCCACTGAAAAAATAAAATAAAAACTACAAGTATTTAGCAGTATACATGCTACAGCTACTAGATCATATAGCTACTAGATCATATAAATAATAAATATATGTAAATATTGTTTATAAATGTTTTTTTGCTACTTTAATTATCGATTATGAACAAGTTATTGGTCAGCAAAGAGATTTAATTATAAAATAAGCCATATTATGGTGATGTGGTTCGGTTTTAATGCATTTTTTCAAAAAACTGTTTCATTCCTAATTTAATCTCAGACAAATTGAGCACAAGGACCAGATGTAAGAACATGTCATTATTCGATGGCAAATAATACCTTTTGAAAGTTCTCAACTACGCCTTTATAATTCTAACAAACTCTTTGTACTGTAAGACCCACTTGATGGCCATGATGCAAATGGAACAGAAAAAATTGATGAATGATCGATTATCGACTGTTCGAGCTTTTTTCGATCAAGTATTTATTTTTTGTACTGTTACCGATTAGGAACTCTTTATTTTCATTACAAGCTCCATATTTTGTAGGGTAGCTCTAAAAAAATTTGAAATAGGTTAGATTTCAGAGATTATGTGAAATTTGATTAGTTACATTATAAGTGTCGAAAACATAACCGTGACCAAACATGTCCCAGGATAATATGGCTATGGAACCTTGGATGATTCCACTAAAAGTAACTGGAAGTGTCATAAGCTTTGTTGGGGTTATTGTAAACTGTTTGTCGCTCTCCTACTTCATCAGAAAACAAAATAAAGGGTTGGGAGATAGACTGCTGATGTTACTTAATGTATTTGATTTGCTGGTATGTGCGATGTTTATGCCTTATACATTATCAACATTTTATTCAATGACATTTAATACTCGGTAATTACTGAAAGTATTTTAGAAATATTTTTTCATTGCACAGTATTTGCAACATGTCTTATAAGCGTAACCAGAGCAATCAAAGTTGTTCGACCTTTTTTCTCCATAAGGGATCTTGGGTTGCAGCAAGTTTCTTTCTCTATTGTCTTTGTGAGACGGCATTACAAACTGTCTATTGCTGGTATTATTTGTTATTTTTAAGAGAATATAACGATCGGTTTGTATATGCCCTATATTATATGACGATGGCAATGCACTCGACGATCACTCTGAATGTAATCACCGTGTTCATCTCGACCATGATTACAGCATATCGTTTGATGAATAGCAAGATTCAAGGCACAGTATCTGAAAGTAATCGGCATGCAACAGTGACCATACTTATCCTGTCAACAACATTTTGCCTTTTTAATTTATCAGTCATCTTTTGTTTTGTGTTTTTTTTATTCGTTTATTTCGGGATACTTGATAGTAGCGAAACAACTTATAACTTGATAAGGGTGTTCTATTACATCACATGGACGTAATAGTCTGCGCTAATTCAGCAGTAAACCCCATTATCTATCTGACACGAAAAGAAGATATGAGACGACATGTATCAGAAACTTGCAGGACTATGGTGGGATGGTTTAGAACTAGGTCACGTGATAGTGGACTAAATGATACTGGATCACAGAACAATAGACCGCAGGAAAGCAATGTGGGGTTGGCCATGAGAAACTTGAATGCTCATAATCCCCGTTTGGACATTGAAAATTGCCCAGATATTATTCCTGATACCTCTACTAATCTGTGATTTTCTTAATTTGTTGTTTTGAATTAATATAAAAAGTATGATTTGATTAATTTTCACCTTGCAATATTCAGGGTGAGTTAGAAGACTGCAATCAAACCTATTACCGCTTAAATACAGCATAATTTCAAGACCGAGATATTTATTTAAATAATTTACATGATTTAAATTATTTTAAATTATTTGGAGAGGAATGAAATACAATTAAGATATTAAATGTTTTAGAAAGATTATTTGCATAGAGCTTGATTCTTGATTATCTGTTGTTGAAAACTATATAATAATAATAAATTGAATTATAAACACTGCTTTTAAGTTGTAAAACTTTTACTCAGCAGTGTGAGAACAACTACAAAAGAATAAACTGAGATAAGTGCCACAAAAACTCTATCCTAAATTAACAGCTTCCCGGCAAAACACGATTTATTAATATAACTCAGTAACCTAGAGTCTCGAGTTCATGAATAAAGTTTTTCCAAATCATGAGTTGATAAACTGAACAGATAAGTCTTGAGGGCCGATATGAAGCTGTTACTAGTAGGACAGCTTTGAACAGACAGAGAAAGGTTGTTGAAGATTTTGGTTCGTTAGTCGACCTGCCTTACTCGTGATATGCTGCTCAATCACGAGGTTGCGGGTTCGATCCCCGCCTGTGCCACTACCCATGGGGTGAGCGGCGTTTTCGTTCTGCTAAGGGTTCCGATGGACCTATGCAGCCCCCGGTCTACTCAGCCGAATGCTCGAGAAATCGTGTGTGAGGGTTAAATGAGGAGCTGTACATGATCTATACAGCGGAGCCACGGGCGAAGAAAGTGTGGTATAATACCTTAACAGTCGCTGGCCTTAGTTATCGATCCTTCGGGTTCCTGTAAGTGCTGGTGCCGGCCATAGTTGTCCGAAGTAAAAGAAAAGGGTGGTTTTCATAGATGACCCTGCTGCCTTGCAGCTAAACAACGTAAAGTAAAGTAAAGTAAATAATGATCAGGGTAGCATTTTATTTTTTTTATTTTTAAAGAGAGGCTGGGCCTGGTTGGCCCACGAGAGGATAGCATATGGATGCTTTGCCTACCTCTGGGGTATGGCAGTCCTGTGGGAGGATGCCAGTGGAATCAAGATGTGTAATCAAGGATGATGATAAGTGTTGTGGGGTGTGTCATAGATGAACGCTTAAGTGGTGGTTGAGTGTGGAAGAGAGGGGCGAAACAAGACGGCGTTAAAGTAGTCGCTATGTCACACCTGTCTGGTCCAACTCCTCCGGCACCACTAAGCGTTTAGTGTGGTTTGTAAAGTTGACAATGGTGGAGATGTGTTGGTTGTCGAATATGTCATTGACAGAGAGGTAGTAGTCCCGGAAATATTGACCTCTTATTTGGGCAATAGCCGGGCACTGTCGAGAAAGTGTGAGACAGTCTCCTCTCCGTCGCCGCATTTAGGACATCAGGGTAGCATGAAACGTAGAGAAAAGTGTTTTCCAGGGAAAAAAGTCGAAAGGGGGGGGGGGGGGGGGGGGAGGAGGGGGGTCAGGCCATGATAACGTAATTTTGCTGTCAGGAGGGGGGGGGGTTGATTACACATTTACAGATGGGGGTCAAAATTGCTAAAATATTGATTACTGAATATGTGAACGACCCCTTATGACGTCACATGATGTTATGAAGTCGCGTGATGTTATGACGTCACGTGATGTTATGACGTCACGTGATGTTATGACGTCACGTGATGTTATGACGTCACGTGATGTTATGACGTCACGTGATGTTATGACGTCACGTGATGTTATGTATGGACTGATGTATATACTTGGGGACTATGAGGCATGATAACATTTGGTATTACACGGAGTTGTCTTAAAATACCTTGTTGGTGGATTGAACATTTCATTTTCTTATAATTAGTGAATTTGTCAGATGAATTTGCTTTAATTTTTAAATGTATCTTTATTTTTAATTGATTTTATTGCTCGGGTTTTGTGCTCTTTAAAGGAATACATATATATAATGTTGACACTTAACATTAATAATTGCTGATTAATCAAATTCTGTGTAACGTAGATTTCATTTTCCAGCTTCGACTTAAAGTTAAAGCTGTGTCCAACCGATTGTGTTTGACCAATTTGTTTTCTGACAACTTAAAAGCTCAAAAATCTATCATGCCCCACACAAACCGTTTTTAACGTCCTACGTACACCAAAAACCCGATTGACCGTACAGTTTGCGGGAAAAGAAAATAGTAAATTGGGTTTTACTGTACGTGCATGATGGTTTCGAGAAAAACGAAATCGTCAGGAACCTGTTCAGAGCGTGACGTCATGGTCGATATTGCGAAATCCTTATTAGAGACCATTCTAAATCTACTGCGTGGGGTTGACTATTAAGTTTCTATAAAGGAGGTGGTTGGCAGAACCACCTGTATTTAATCGGTATGATTTTAGCTAAATTACAAGAACTTACCTGGGGACCCCAGGCTATAGTGTTCATAAACTTATATAATAAAGATTCCGCCGAATAAAGATTCGGCGGAATGGCAGCTGAGCGCGGCCCAGTAAACAAGCACCTGCTCAAATTGCCTTTTAAATTCGATTCAATGATTTCTCTCCTAACAGCAGAACAGGCATTAGTGCCATAATATATTTGATTTTGTTGCCAAACATATACTAATACAGTAACAAGTAGTATATTTCGTGAACTCTCGCTCATTTAAAGGTCTATGTAGCAAATTATTTACAGCTGGTAATGAACACACCTGGCTCAGATTTTCAATCTTTGACAATAAATAGCGTAATTTTTCTTTGCCGATCATACATAACTTGTACATGACTACATGTGGTAAGCCAGTTTCTGTGCAATTCGAAATTGCATCGATTAATATTTTATTTTTTATTTAGGGGTCGTTCACATATCACGTAATCAGCGGAGGGGGAGGGGGTTTATTTCCCAAGTTTAGTTCCCAAATGATTACGGTGGGGGGGGGATTTGGTTGTTGATTACGTAATCAACATTTTCTTTTTTTACCCTCTAGAATAATAACAATTTTACAATATTTTAATTCAAATTCCACTCAATTTCTTTCTGATAGTGATAAAATTTAGGAATGGATCGGATATCTGGCTGCTAAAGTAAGTAGTTGGGAAGGTGCTTGGCCGGATATAATAACAATGATTTTGGCTCGTAATGATCAGGGTAGCATGAGACGTCGGGAAAAGTGTTTTTTCGATCAAAGTATTTATATTTTTTGTACTGTTACCGACCAGGCACTCTTTATTTTCATTACAAGCTCTATATTTCGTAGGGAAACTAGAAATATTTGAAATATGTTAGACTTCAGAGACCATGTGAAATTTGATTAGTAACATTATATAAGTTTCGAAAACATAACCGTGACCAAACATTTCCCAGGATAATATGGCTATGAATCAATCTTGGGAGAGTCCACTAAAAGTAACTGGAAGTGCCATAAGCTTTGTTGGGGTTATTGTAAACTGTTTGTCGCTCTCCTACTTCATCAGAAAACAAAATAAAGGGTTGGGAGATAGACTGCTGATGTTACTTAATGTATGTGATTTGCTGGTATGTGCGATGTATGTGCCTCGTTATGCATTTTCACCATTATATTCTTTATATAATCAGATAATTACTCAAAGTATTTTCGAAATATTTTTTCATTGCACAGTATTTGCAACATGTCTTATAAGCGTAACCAGAGCAATCAAAGTTGTTCGACCTTTTTTCTCCATAAGGGGATCTTGGGTTGCAGCAAGTTTCTTTCTCTATTGTCTTTGTGAGACGGCATTGCTAACTGTCTATTGCTGGTACCAACGCTTGTTATTTCTAAGAGAATATTTAAACGATCAGATTATATATGCCCTATCTTACATTACGATGGCAATGCAATCGACGATAACTTTGAATGTAATCACCGTGTTCATCTCGACCATGATTACAGCATATCGTCTGATGAATAGCAAGATTCAAGGCACAATATCTGAAAGTAATCGGCATGCAACAGTGACCATACTTATCCTGTCAACAACATTTTGCCTTTTTAATTTATCAGTCATCTTTTTTTTTGTGTTAAGTTCATTCGTTAATTCCGGGATAATTGATAGAAGCGAAACAACTGATAACTTGATATGGGTGTTCTATTACATCACATGGAACATAATGTTCTGCGGTAATTCAGCAGTAAACCCCATTATCTATCTGACACGAAAAGAAGATATGAGACGACATGTATCAGAAACTTGTAGAACTATGGTGGGATGGTTTAGAACTAGGTCACGTGATATTGTACTAAATGATACTGGATCACAGAACAATAGACCGCAGGAAAGCAATGTGGGGTTGGCCATGAGAAACTTGAATGCTCATAATCCCCGTTTGGACATTGGAAATTGCCCAGATATTATTCCGGATACCTCTACTAATCTGTGATTTTCTTAATTTGTTGTTTTGAATTAATATAAAAAGTATGATTTGATTAATTTTCACCTTGTAATATTCAGGGTGAGTTCGAAGACTGCAATCAAACCTGTAACCTATTACCGCTTAAATACAGCATAATTTCAAGACCGAGATATTTATTTAAATAATTTACATGATTTAAATTATTTTAGATTAAATTATTTGGAGAGGAATGAAATACAATTAAGATATTAAATGTTTTAGAAAGATTATTCGCATAGAGCTTGATTCTTGATTATCCGTTGTTGAAAACTATATTATACATATATTTGATTAATCAATATTATTCGTTTATTGTAATCCAAAGTAATATTTAAAAGTCAAATTTCCAAACCTCAAGTTTTTAGAGATGCTAAACCGTTCCTCTTCAAAGCAATCACCAGATCCAGCTGAGTTACTTTCCTCCTCTGTTCCTAGTCTAGCCACTGCTATGTTTACCTGACACAACAAAAAGTATAACTATAAACGGGTCGGTAAATCGCTCATTATAGAACAGCTGACAAATAAACTGTTGTAATAAACAAAATTGTTGTTGTTGTTGACAAATAAACTAAATTAAATGTCTAACTAAACTGTTGTTAACATTGGTCCAGAAAAGGCGAATAATGTTAACAGCTGCAGATCTTTATCGCCATGTGGTAGGAATATCCTATGAGGTAGTCTCGAAGAAAATAACACGTTTGCAATCAATTACCTAATGATTTAATAAGAAAATAAGAGGTAAAGTCTTTGTTGACAGCTGCTAGATAACAAATACCTTGGCTCCTAGAGGGAAGATGATGTTGTTATTGGCACTCTGGATGCAGCAGACGACTGGGTAGATGTTCCCCACGTAATGCTTGTCTTCCCCATCAAATATTCCTATCTCAATGTGAGCTTTTGTTATGTCCACTGACTCTGTTGGGTCCATCCACCTGAGATTTAACAAATATGCAAATATGCAAAAAATATGCAAAAAATATGCAAAAAATATGCAAAAAATATGCAAATATGCAACAAATATGTATATTATCTGGCGAGGTGGAAGTGTAGAGGGTGGGCTAAGTGCATGGGAATGGGGCCAACATTAATTATTAAATATGTATTATAATCGAGTTTAAAATGTTATTTTGAGTATATTTTACGATTGACAGCAGTATCATTACAATTTTATAAATCTTTAGAAAACAGTAACTCACAAAGCAAGGCGACCTCCACTAGTAGATTTGTTTCCACCCATAAAATCCTTGAGGAACCTCATCTTCTTGGGCTCTTCCTCCAGAAAAGACCGTTTCTTTAGAGCACCGTATGAATCAGGAAGTGAGTTTAGGTAAAGACCACGTGACAGCAACTTAGCGTGAGCTTTAAAAGCGTACTGACCCTCCTGATGATAATGTTTGAGTTTATAATCTCTTTCACATTTCCAAAGTCCCCAAATTATAACTTGCACAATTTGACTGTGAAGCGTTCGATCCATCGGCCGGAGATCACAAATTAAGAAAGGCACTAACTTGTGACAATTTCTGAAGCGAATTATTGCAAGGAGATATCATGACCCTGACACAACTCCCAGCAAGGTCCGCTAGAATGTGCTCCAGATGATGAAGAGTTCTCCGTTCCTTCTTGAACTTGTAGCCCGTTATCTTGCAACAGAATCCCCAGTCAGAGTCGTTGAGCTGCTGCTTGTTTATCTTTGTTACGCTTCGGAGGAGGAAGGATATTTGGTTACCTGGGTGGTTTAGTGATTGTTATCCCCGGCCAGGACAAAAAGCAAAGCCTGTGTTAAGAGAGGTTACCTGAGATCTAGAGATATCACTTACTTAAAACTAATCGAGTTGAAAGTGATCTGACCATCACGGGTCGAGATATATTTTGCAAAATCGTTGTTGTGTGCTTAATATTACTAACTTAGTATTACTACCTAACTAGATAGGAAGGTGATTACAGATTTATGGATCGGTGCAAAATGACCGCAACGGTCACTTCATTATAATATTAATGTCGAACGACTGATAGTTTAAGAGTACTAGCAGGAACCCGTATTACTCTAAAGTGGTGTCAAGACTCAAGAGACTAAAATAATTATTACCTATTTAATTCGCGTTTTTGACACCACTTGGGGGTCCAAATTTTGGGCACTAAAATAATTATTCCTTGGCCAATTTTTTATTTTTTCATGCTGATTTGAAAAGCATAAAAGCATTTGACTCAGTCAAAAAAATTTCAGTTGTATATCTTTTACGGTTTTTGCGGAAAGTTGCGTTAAAGTTGATGCCGTGGTGTCAGTAAAATGGCACAGATAAATATATATATATATATCGTCTCGCTTTATATATAGTAAGATTCGATACAAATAAATTCAGAAACCAGATCTATAATTATATCTAATTTCCGGCAATTCGTTTTACCTGGAAGTAACAAAGCACGTTTGGGCCAGTCTTTTGACGCTCCTAATGTAAGTATTGGACTGAAACCACCTTTTTTGGTTGCCAAGTTGAGGAATGCACTGCTGTTTTTCGACAATGCCTGTAGAGTGTAGAATTGTTACAAACCTAGCCACGTTCTAAAAATAATTTTCCGCAATTTTATGCATTTATTGAAGAGCTTATATTCCAAATACCTCAAAAGTAAAATGAACATTTACATTTCATGTAAAGATAGAATTCCACTGTCATGATGATAAACCTCACTTACAATAGCTATTAGAAAATAGAAATAGTCAACTGAAATATTCTATTATTATCAACCTCGGACACGTAGACTTCCAAACAATCATCAGGACCAATCCCAGACTCAGGACTGAACTCCGCCACCATCCAGGAGACAGAGTCAGACAACACAGTCTGGTAGTGGAGCACAGTCGCTTCAGGGTACGGGTGGTTGCTCTCAACTATCACTGTCTCCACTGCTTCCTGCTCCTTTGTTCGCTTCTTGAAGTTGTGCTCTGAAGTTGGGGAAAAGTGAATTTTGTTATTCTCAATTAGCTATTATATGATAATGTCAGATATAATTTTCAGTTTAAATTTATACTCCAGGAATTCAGTAATGTAACGTATTCATTTCTCACCAGAAAGAACAGATAAAAGAGGTTTAAGAACATTCTCCAGGAGCAAATAGCTAGCTTTAGGAGTGCCCTTGTTGAGCAGTATTAACTCTGTGTAGGACATGGCTGTTGCCATGAACTGAGGAAGAAGTAGCTCCGACTCGTGTGGGACGGGAGACGGCGTTAGAGGGGAACCGTGTTCTTCAGCCCATGCAAGTGCAACTGGAACTACGGGAGGAAAATGGTAACCTTTTTAGTTATCACGTTTTGACACGTGGGGTAAATCTCCCACAAATTAAAATCTGCGCTATACCCTGGATTTAAGGCTTCTCATAAACTCGTAATGACTTAAAATCGGTGATTTAAAATACCTTTAAGATGTTTATCCTCGATGGCTCTAATGAAAGAGGTCGATATTAGTTCAATAAGTTGTAGCGTCACGTTCTCATACTTTTCGTTACTGTCACATTCTTTCACCTAAACAGAAGGATAATGATGTTTAGAGATCGTACATTTGAAAAACATTAATATCTGTACTCAAAGCAAAGTTAATTCAAAACATTCAAATTGCAAAACTACCGATTAAAATAAACAATTCTCGTCGGTTTAGGGAAGATCATTAGAATACCTCTTGATTTAGTTGTGTTTTGTAGATGAGGAAAGGAATTTGACCGACAGAAACGTTGGTTCCACTTGATGATAGTACAGAGCTGTGATATTGCAATAATATCAGTACGAGTAAGCGATATCAGCGATATCAGCGATATCAGACTGGATTACCATATTTCACGAGTCCGGTTGTTCAGAAACACGTACTGAGAAATTTCTAAAAGCGTTTCTGAAATTTAATAATAAAAGATTGAACACGTACTCGTAAAAAGTGAAGACGACACCGTCAGTCCCCGTCACTTGTGTCAGAGGAACCTTAGAGTTGCCATGAGCGATAGACTGGGAATACAGCTGAACTTTCACTGTGTACTGCATTTCTGCCTGAAACCAAGAGTGTGGCATAACAACAAGTAGAGACATGGTTACTGGCGGGGAGCCGAACCATAATTGTTTTAATAGTGACAGCAATTAACCAATCAGCTTCTAGTATTACCTAATCAAAACCCAGAATGGGGGGGGGGGGGGGGGTCAACCTCATTTTACCTCATTTTACCTCATTTTACCTCATCCCAATTTTGCCTTTTTTGGCTGGCCTCATGAGGTAAAATGAGGTAAATCTCGGCACAAATTTTTAACAGGTAAAATTCTCTAAATCGTCAATTTAGTCACGAAGGAGTATGGAAGGAGTTCTAAATGTGTGCTCCTCTAATATAAACAGTAGGAAATGGTTAACTTTATTCGAGGTCTCAGGACTATACAATGTCGGGAAGTTCCTGCAGGAATTTGCACATTGCGCTTGAAGCGCAAGATACACAGCGCCAAAAGCGAAGGCCGTAGAGACATGAGACCTTGACTAAAGTTAACCATTTCATACCATTGCTATAAGAGTATGCCACTTTCAGAGTCCTGAACACACTCCCATATCTCTTAATCGTCAATTATATGAATTTTACCTGTTAAAATATATCATCTTTAACTGATATCAATTTAGTTTAACACAGTTAGTTTAAAAAAAGAAAATAATACTTCACACCAAACTAACACACAATATGAGAATATAAAAAGGAAGGTTTTCTTGGAGACCTGGACCGAGCATCAAAATAGTGTACATTGCTGCTGTCATTGTCAAGACTCAAGAATAAGAGAGTCTAGTTGTGGGGTTATGCTGGATAACAGATATGATAAGTGGTAACATCCTACAAAAGAATGTTAGCTTACTAAGGAATTTTCCTCTTACTGAATCATACAAGAAGTTAACTAAGTTCCTCCTAGTCCTAAGCATTATCTTGTTTCAGAGGGAATGAGTGATTTAAAAAGATGAGGCCAAAGAGTTCAGAAGGCATTTGTACTCTGTAATTTCTAAGCTAATTTTTTTCGATATTTATAGCTATTTACTGATATTGTCTTGACGTATCAGCAAAAGATCACTGGACCTCGTTAGTTGTTAGTCATGTTATGCTGATCCAGTTAGTGACGAGCTATGAAGTAATCATTTGACCTCATTTAATACTGATCCTATCAATGACGAGCTATGAAGTAATCAGTGGATCTCGTCAATGCTCATCCTGTCCGGACTGTCAGTGACGAGTTATGAAGAAATAAATGGCAAGTTGGTCGTTTAGCTCCGGACAGTCTATGCACGGTCCCTGCACGGTCCATACAACAACAAGAGAACACTCCATGCACAGTCCCTGCACGGTCAGTCCCTGCACACTCCCTGCACGGTCTATGCACACTCCGTGCGGCTACTAACCGGCTAGTGACCACAAAGTGGCTACAAGGCGGTCACTAGCCGGCGATTAGCTGAGCTCTAAAGCAGACCTACCGGCTACTAACCTACTAAGCTAACCTACTAAGTAGGTCTGCTTTAGAGCCAGTAGCCGGTTAGGTAATGTGAAGTTGAAGAGCTGTTATTTCAAAAGTGGCTACTAGCCGGCTAGTAGCCGGTGTTCATATGTTACTGTGCAGGGACCGTGCAGGGACCGTGCAGGGACTGTGCATAGACCGTGCAGGGAGTGTGCAGGGACTGACCGTGCAGGGACCGTGCATTAAGTGTTCATTGTGCAGGAACCGTGCAGGGACCGTGCATGGAGTGTTATCTTGTTGTTGCATGGACCGTGCAGGGACCGTGCAAAGACTGTCCGGAGCTAAACGACCAACTTCCCAAATAAATGAAGACCTCATTAATTCCCTTGTTCCAAGAAGATATTCCTCTGGTAACAACCCCTTCTGGCCTGCTTCTGAACATAATATGAAGATGCGAAAACCTAGTCTACCTAAATTGGAACTTGCTGACTGCATTGGAAAATGGATAACAATCGAGAAATGATAATCAGTGCCAGGTTATAATCAAACTTGAATTTGGAATCCAAGGAAAACCTTCCTTTTTTATATTACCATATTGTGCGTTAGTTTGGTGTGAAGTATTATGTTCTTTTTTAAAACTAACAGTGTTAAACTAAGATGATATATTTTAACAGGTGTAAAATTCATATAATTGACGATTAAGAAATATGGGAGTGTGTTCAGGACTCTGAAAGTGGCATACTCTCATAGCAATGGTATGAAATGGTTAACTTTAGTCAAGGTCTCATGTCTCTACGACCTTCGCTTTTGGCGCAGTGAATCTTGCGCTTCAGCGCAATGCGCAAATTCCTGCAGGAACTTCCCGACATTGTAGAGACCTGAGACCTCGACTAAAGTTAATCATTTCCTACTGTTTATAGTAGAGGAGCACACATTTAGAACTCCTCCCATACTCCTTCGTGACTAAATTGACGATTTAGAGAATTTTACCTGTTCAAAATTGGTGAAAAATATGGGCGTGGCCCAAGTCAGTATTATACGAAACCGTAGAGACACAACAAATTTTTTGGTTGTTCCTGACCCTATAGAGCAACTAATTAGAGGTGATATAATCTAATTATTTGAACGAAAAGTGGTTTTGTGAACCGCCCTATATTCTACAGCGAATCATGAACATTGAACATGTACATAAGAACTTAGAATTGTATGAAGTATGAGTTTATATGAGAAATTTATTATGAAATGACCTTTCACTATGCAATTTCGACTAAATTCATGTAGATATCCAATCCAGTTCCATGCACAACTGTTGTTTACATTTGGTCTAGTTAGACACAATTTGTTTCAGAGTGACTCGATAATCGCAATATCAAATTAAGATATTATTTAAATGGTCCATGTCATGCAATGCAGAAATATCCTCATAAATTGGCAACTGCCAAAGTGACACTAAAGTTATTGCTAATTCCTTTACAAAACTTAGCAAGTGCTATTTACAATATCCTAATGGATCATGGAAATTGAAATGTTCAATTTTCTTTTCATAAATAATAATTATAATGCGAAGTTTTATTTACCCCAAGTTTGGAGAGTAAGTAGGTTAAACTGGGAATGCCCCTTCCCAGGGACCACATCACCCCTCATAAACCATTAAATATCATGGGAGACCATGCACAGCCTCGAATTATAGTATAATGACTTCATTTTTTTTTTAATGACCTCATTTTACCTCATTTTACCTCATCCCAATTTTGCCTTTTTTGGCTGGCCTCATGAGGTAAAATGAGGTTGACCCCCCCCCCCCCCCCCCCCAGAATTATTATCACGCGTAATACGAAAACCACTAACCAGTATCCTGATCTACTTCAAGTCTGTCTATTTTTTCCAACAGGTCAATTGTAATAGCTTCGCACGATAGTTTAAGAAAGAAGGCCTAAAAATAAAGCAGGACATATAAAATATATTACCTTCAGCGCAAGTGGTTTCTTAAAGTTTATCCGGCAAAAGTGTCCTTTTGCCTGGGAGTTCTTGACCTGACCCGCATGACTGAGGACAGTCTTCCACTTGTCTTGACTGTCCTTCACGAACACTTCAACGTCACATGATGTATCTTTTATCGTCTGTACAAGGAATATGATTAACTTGAATATTTAAAATAACAGAGGATGGACTTGGATGGCCCACAAGAGGATAGCATGTAGATGCTCCGGGTTGTGGAAACCCTCCAGGACGATAATTCCGGGGATAATTTCTATATGAAATACAAGGAATGTTGAAAAATTGTTTTTTCTCTAGAAATTCTTTGTCTTCTATGGGGCGCATTCGTGATATATGAGCATAAACCTAAGCCACGATTAGGTCCAGATAACCTGCAACTCACCTGAAATATCCCAATACCGCTCAGGAACACATTGGGGTTATCAACTTTAAAGGAGATGACATCAGGCTTAGCTTTTGGGTTCCAGGAGGAAATGTTAACGGAGGAAAATCTTGAGGGTGTTTCCTTATCTACAGCAACAGACAAAGGTTTGAAGAGGTCCATAGACGCAAGGACGATTTGTTGAAGAATTGTCTTCAAGAGATTCCTGGCTGATAAGCCGGCACTTGTCTAAAAATTTGTTGGTCAGATGCTTAAAAATATGAAAAACAAAAGGAAAAAAACAAATGAGTAATTGAGATTAGACCTGCGGGTGTTGGTAAAATATTGCCGCTGTTTTTGCTGCAGCAACATTACGCCCCCCCCCCCCCCCCCCCAACATTAACACTTACATCAGACATAGCCAGGCTCACAACGTTCCCCAGGACTGTTCTGTAGTTGACATTGTTCAACGTTTCAAAAAGTGTCTGATCCAGGGAGACATTTTCGTCCAACCCTCCATCTTGAGAACCCAGGGACATGTCGGAGGAACGAGGCATTATCATCCCTGTTAGTGTTCCGTAGTGGAACAGTTCCTGAATATGTGAATCAAATTATGAAATCAGAGGAGCCGACAGTTATTTTGAATTAATTGGATTACGCCACTCACCACTGCAAAGATTAAATTTTGGTATCAGTATTTTTAGTAGAAGAGTGCTTGGAAAGAAATAATCAATGGATTCAATATAAATGATTAAAAACTCACATTAGTTATGCCACTTCCTTGATAGCACATAGCTTGTAGTATAGTCCTCAATATATTCCCATACTTCTCCCCCTTATCATTGTACGACTGAAACGCAGACAGAAAACTGGCCCAAATGTGCTGGGGTGACTTGTAAAAGAGATGGTAATGTTTGCTGTACACCTTGGTAACTTTCTTAACTAACAAGGAGTCACTCGACACGGGAAGTTGAAGGATTCCTGACAACAAATCCTGACATTCCTTCAGGAGCCGCCTCTTTTCGGTGGTTTCTTGTTGATGTGGGGAAACCGTCAGGAAGTTGTTCAGCATGCTGATAGGGACTGATAATTTACACTCCAAACTACTTTGTTTAGGGTCGAAGCTGTGGTCGCTGATAATGCTGGCAATGCTGATGTTTGAAAATAGGGAGAGATCAGAGTTGGCAAGGTTCAGGGAGAGGGCAGATTTGTTGATTTTCCCAGCATCACTTCGTTTGGTCATGATGTAAGTGTTCAGAGCGGTGAAGCTTAGTTTTATAATTCCAAGGAGATGATCCAGTCCAAGCTCCCAATTACCGAGTGACATGGCATCTACGTTACTGGACAACGGGTCTTTAGAGTCGGCCTCCTTCCTGAGTAAGGTTCATTTACAATTTGATTGGTTGTGAAAATTATAGATCTGTTCAAGCTGGTTTTATGCCTACTTGTACAATTTGCATATTATTTCACGGCCATGAAATATGCCGAAATCAGGCCACCTAGTAATAGAAATTGCGATTAAAATTGTAGCCACTATTAAGTATTGCCACGGTTCCTGTTATGCAGGGGGGGGGGGGGGGGGGGGGTTGAGGGCGGTGGTGGGAGTTAAAAACACACATGGGGGGGGGGGGGGGGTGACAATTGTTGTTTTCTTGGTGGACTCGGGCCTCGTCCGCACGCACTCTCTCTTCGATACACAATTTAGGACTCGATGCTTCCCCTGGTAATGCGATCTCGGAAATAAATAATTTTGGCGCTTCGCGCCACAGCCTGAATTTCAAAAATTTTCGGGAAGGACAAAAGGAAATTGCAGCATGTGCAGAATCTCGATTTTTCCAATTCTCTGCAACAAATCGCGATTTTTCACGTTTGCCGTGACAAATCGCGATTTTCTCAGATCCTCGCGACAAATCGCGATTTTTTCAGTTCTCCGCGACAGATCGCGCATTTTCCTTAATATAATTTCCTTAATAACACTATAAATCAGTTATCGGAGGACCAAATTCGCGTATTTTCCTTCGAATCTGCGGGCCAAATATCACATTCTATGTAAGTACTATAAAGCCCTTGGTCACAGGGAGGAAGCTAATAGTATTCTTTGGAAGTCAGTTTTTATCGCATCAAAAAATATCCGTCGCAACCGAAGATACAGCCGATTAAAATGTAGCTCGCACTGAACACAACGTAATCAGTATCACCACAAAACCCATCAAAATGTCGCTCGCAAATCTTTGCACGTGCACGTATGTGCGCTTTTGAACACCGTTACCATGGTTACAATGGAACTTCTATTTGTTTACTTAATTTGCACGTGGGCGGTCGTACATATATACATTATACTGCAGAAATATTTCTTTGAATTATAATAGAGACTAGAAAACCCGTGGTCACAGCCCACAGGGAGGAAGCTAATAGTATTTTTTGTTATTAAGTTTAAATCGCGTCAAAAAATATCCTACACAACTGAAGATACAGCCAATCAAAATGTTGCTCGTACTAAACACAGCGTAATATCAACAAAACCGATCAAAATGACGTTAAAACAATCATTGCACGTGCGTGTAATAACCCTCGTTACCATGGTTACTACGCAAGTTCATATTTTTCGTTTGATTTGCACGTGGGCGGTCGTACATTATACATTTTTATACAGCAGAAATAATTCTTTGAATTACAATATCTTTCGAATTATAAGTAAGATATGAAACCAATCACATCCACAGCCTTCCGAATGTAGGTACGGACTTCAGAAAACCGAAAAAATATTTTCGGCTCATAATGATCAGGGTAGCATGAAACATGAACAAAAGTAGTTTTCAGAAAAATTTTAACTTAAATTTAAAAAATTGGCCCTTTTTTGCCCAAAATTTTGACTAGAGTCATTTTCGGTCCGAATCATTTTCGAATTGCGAAGGAGAGGCCTGCCTTCCGAGATTGCATTACAAAGGGGAACCCTCGAGTCCAAAATCGTATATTGAAGGGTAGGTGCTGACTTCGAAAACTGAAAAAATATTTTCGGCTCATAATGATCAGGTAGCATGAAACATGAACAAAAGTAATTTCCAGAAAAATTTTGACTTAAATAATTAAAAAAAGTTGGTTCTTTTTGGCCCTTACCCAGATTTTATGCTTTTATAATGTGCTTCCTACACCCCTGTTTGTGGTATGTGGGCACCAAGCTAGTCTAATGTCGTTTGTGTTGTGAAAAATTTCCTTGCTATCTTCCGTGTCGCACCTGATCGTTAGGAATGACACTAAATATTTTAACTATTTTAACAAGTACAGTTTCCATCTCGTATGTGGCTGAATTTATGTACGGGTGGGGTGGGGGGGGGCCGGGGGGGGGGGCAAAAGTCAGTACTCATACGTTGGCCTTAATAGCTCAGTCACTGAGTGCCCAATTGTAATAATTCTTTCTGGTATGAGTTACTACCACCACTTGCACTGGTTCAAAGAATTTGTCAAATTATCGAAAAATATTCGTGTTCATTTGTTTCAAATAAAGGTTCAATTTCGCATTTATTTGATAGTTTGGATAGTCGGATCGAGCCAAATTTTATTGAATGGTGTTTGGCCATTTAAATTACCTTATCCTGAAGAAATGAGAGTTGTAGCTTCTCAACTGACCGAGATATGAAGCATAAGTTTGTTCATCACGTGTGATCAGGTGATTGGGTTGAGGATAGATCCGCATTATGGGATTCGTACAGACTACAGAGAGCCCAATTACGGTGTCGTAATTGGGTAATCACTGAGTAGTGAGTACCCAATCAATTTTTCTAACGAGATAAACAAATTGCTTGATAACTTCGTCATTTTAAATCCGTTTCGCACCATCTTTTCAGATTTTATTCCGGATTAAATGACCTATTGCAATATGTTACAACGGAGTCTCTAACATCTTCACAATCAGCAGTATAAGCAATTCAATGTTGATTGGGTGTGGCCCCAAAAAATCGAATTTTCAAATTTTGGTGACGGAATCCTCGAACAAGTAGAGAAGTAGGTACAGTATGCCAAAACACGGCGGTGGTATAAGACGCAACGTATGGGTACTTTGGCCCCCCCCCCCCCCCCCCTGTAGTCGGATCCCAACCGTTCTAAAAGGCTATCTCGTTAGCTTTTCGTGTTAAGGGGGGGGGGCCAATGGATATTTTTTTGTGAAACTTGATTTCGAGATAGTAGTTGACCAACAAACAAAGACCAGTGACCGAACTTTTGAGGGGGTCCCGGACCCCAACCGCCAAACGGTGCGCGCAGGGCAGCCACGCCCATATTTGGTCCAAATTAGGCCCAATTTAGCCAAATACCCTGAACATACCCAAAACCAAGGTTTATGGTGCTCTACTTGTAGCTAGTGGTCTCCTGAACTCGTATATGAAATTTCATCAAGATTGGACGAAAAATGACAGAGTTATGAGCCAAAAACCATATGCCCATATTTGGGCATACGCACCAAATTTGGTAGATTTCGGCCCATAAATTGGCCAAATATCAATATTTTTGAATGAAACTTACTTTATATGAAAGGTAAGCCTAAACTACATATTATCTGTAAGTTATAGCTTTATATCTGTTTAAATGTGGATACTAAGGCGAAAAAACCACAAAAAATGAACTAAATTGCCCATATCTCGGTTCGCGATATTTGCGGAATTGATCTCATTAAAATTGTAACAACTCAATCAGTTTTCAAAATTTTTGCATGAAATTTTCGGAATCGACTCGAAATTGCATTTCCACCTTATTTTAAATACGGATTTTTGATTTAGGCCTCCAAAAAAATTTGGCGGCCAAATTCCAAAATTATCTCACAAAAATTCAGAATTTGGCCGCCAAATTTTTTTGGAGGCCTTAATCAAAAATCCGTATTTAAAATAAGGTGGAAATGCGATTTCGAGTCGATTCCGAAAATTTCATGCAAAAATTTTGAAAACTGATTGAGTTGTTACAATTTTAATGAGATCAATTCCGCAAATATCGCGAACCGAGATATGGGCAATTTAGTTCATTTTTTGTGGTTTTTTCGCCTTAGTATCCACATTTAAACAGATATAAAGCTATAACTTACAGATAATATGTAGTTTAGGCTTACCTTTCATATAAAGTAAGTTTCATTCAAAAATATTGATATTTGACCAATTTATGGGACGAAATCTACCAAATTTGGTGCGTATGCCCAAATATGGGCATATGGTTTTTGGCTCATAACTCAGTCATTTTTTGTCCAATCTTGATGAAATTTCATATACGAGTTCAGGAGACTACTAGCTACAAGTAGAGCACTATAAACCTTGGTTTGGGCATGTTCAGGGTGTTTGGCTAAATTGGGCCTAATTTGGACCAAATATGGGCGTGGCTGCCATGCGCGCACCGTTTGGCGGTTGGGGTCCGGGACCCCCTCAAAAGTTCGGTCACTGGTCTTAGTTTGTTGGTCAATTGCTATCTCGAAATCAAGTTTCACAAAAAAATACCCATTGGCCCCCCCCCCTTAAAAGCGATTTCTCAACGGTTATCACCTCTCTAGATGATTCTTAAAACATTTGGACACTATTGCATTTTTGAAAAAAATGCAATAGTGGCGTTTTCGGCCACACCCTTTTTCATGGTTTTGCGGTCAGTCGAATTTTTGTATTTCAGCCAAGGAAGGTCTTAAAGACTATTCCGATACACCAAAATGTGCCTAATAGCCACATTTATATACAACTTATGAAGCAACATATACCTTAAAATGCTTCGTTTCGGAAATATGGCCGAAAAACGGTTTTTGGCTTGACGCAGTTCATAATTTCCGTGATTTTTGGCATTTCCGCCTAGGAAGGTCGTAGAGACTATTATGATACACCAAAATGTACATAATGGCCACATTGATATACAACTTATGAAGCAACATATACCCTAAAAGGCTTATTTTCGGAAATGTGGCTGAAAAACGGATTTTTGCCGAGCGAAAAATGACAATATTCACAAATGGGCTATTGGACTGTTAACTAGAAAGGTCTTAAAGACTCATGATCATCATTTGTCACAAGATGTAAGATGACTCACTTTGTGTCCAGAAACTCCTACAAAAATTGGAGAATGATCTACTTTATTGGGCATCTCTCTTAATGGGCCAAGCCAGCAGCATATTCGTGTCTTACGAAAGGGCAATTTTTCAAAATTACGGTTTCTTAAGGTCAAAGGGTCGGCTGCTAACAGCAAATTGTTCGCAATTGCCGACTCATGCACCTCATATAGTTATACTGAAAAACGCTCACTTTAGGAGTCATCAGTAAATAAGTAAATTAACTACTGCATGATTTGTGAAAACTCCAACAATTAATTTTCATTGGCACCATGATTTAAATAGAATGTGTGCCAAACCAAAATTCAACTTCAAACTTTTTATTTATTCGTGCCATGAAACCATGATATATGTACCAAGAATACCGGGCCTAAAATAAATCGGCACTGGATTCGGGCCAGACTGTTGCTTGACCGCTGACCAGTACCCCACTTTATAATTATGATTGATTTCGCTGCCTCGACCAATATTGGTCTGTAATCCCTGGATTGAGATCTGTTGGCTGCAGTTAAATTTAGCTAATTTCCTATAATACCGCAGTGGTTTGGTTCCCACTTCAGAATGACCACATATTCTTTTTTTCAGTCGCATAGATTTTCCCATCGTATGATAATGATATTGCGTGTCATTCCCTCGTTTTTTAATCAAGTGGTGACTGGCTAGTTCTTCTATTATTATAGCTGTGAGCTGCCTCAAGATCTTATCTGGGACATGGGCTATATATATATATATATCCTCGAACAAGTAGGTACAGTATGCCATCTGCAAAGCAACAACTCTAAAATATAAAACACGGCGGAGGTATAAGACCCAACGTATGGGTACTGACTTTTGGCCCACCCTGTATAATAGAAGGTCTCGAGATGCTGATTTAGCTATTGAGGTTTCACATGTGAAATTTTTCCAGCTTTGGGTAAAGTGGACTTTAGAGCGGGGAGGGGATCAAAATCTGAACGATCTCTTACTTACGGGACACTACGGATCTCGGGCCTAATAGCTGGTTTTTAATGAGAGGCTGGAGTCTGGACCTAGATGGTCAACGTGAGGATAGCTTGAGGATTTAGGATGCTATGCCTTCCTTTCATGGGGTTTTGTAACCCCGAAAGCTGGTATATCTCATCTCACTTAACCTTGGTTACATCCCGTGCATGTTTAATTCCTGTTTAATTTAATTCCTGTTTAATTCCCGTCCTGTTTCGAATATATAATTAGATTTAAAGGTCCAATATCAAGCAAAAAAGTCTGATCTCCGGTACTGATGTTACACTTACATTATTTCCGACGCGAGGATCTCCGAAGTCCGATCTTAAAGTTGGATCTCAGAGCCAAAAAGAGGAACCTAAGCAGTAAGCCTTGGTTCCTCTTAAATATAGAGTCAAACAGGAAATTCGGTGTTATCAACTCAAACTCGGATTCGTAGCACAATTGAAAAACCAAAGAATAAAAATCTTAATGAATTTCCCGACATCCTAAAATTAATATCAGGTCGTATTCGGTTCAGTGGCCCAAACTCCAGTAGGTTACAAGACTTAAGTTCAAGTCGAGGAACACTTTGATTCAGCATGATCCTTGACTAGTTGGATTTTTCCCATACCATGCAGTTGTTATCTACTAATCACTCCTAAACTGAAAGTTTTAGAGTCGAATCTCGAACTCTGCCATTCGACCAAGAAATCTTAATCTGAAGTTCTAGAATTACAGTTCTAATGTTCTAGTACTAATGTATTAGTGCCCTAGATAAGATGTCGAGGCAGCTGTAACAACAAAAGAGACAGCCAGTAACCAATTGATAAAAAAACGAGGGAATGACACACATTATCATACGATGGGAAAATATATGCGAACCAAACCACTGCACTGCGGTATTACTATTATGGTAAATGAGCTAAATTAAACTGCAGCCAACAGATCTCAATCCAGGGATTACAGACCAATATTGGTCGAGGCAGTGAGTCAATTATAATTATAAAGTGGGGTACTGGTCAGTGGTCAAGCAACAGTCTGGCCCGGATCCAGTGCCAAATTATTTTAGGTCCGGTATTCTTAGTATATATCATGGTTTCATGGAGTCAGGAAATAAATCAAAAGTTGAATTCTGGTCATTACATTTTGGCTAAATTGGTGCCGATGAAAATTAATTGTTGGAGTTTTCACAAATCATGCAGTAGTTAAACTTATTTACTGATGACTCCTAAAGTGAGCGTTTTTCAGTATAACTATATGAGGTGCATGAGTCAGCAATTGCGAACAATTTTCTGTTAGCAGCCGACCCTTTGACCTTAAGAAACCGTAATTTTGAAAAATTGCCCTTTCGTAAGACACAAATATGCTGCTGGCTTGGCCCATTAAGAGAGATGCCCAATAAAGTAGATCATTCTCCAATTTTTGTAGGAGTTTCTGGACACAAAGTGAGTCATCTTACATCTTGTGACAAATGTTGCTCATGAGTCTTTAAGACCTTTCTAGTTAACAGACAACAGTCCAATAGCCCATTTGTGAATATTGTCATTTTTCGCTCGGCAAAAATCCGTTTTTCAGCCACATTTCCGAAAATAAGCCTTTTAGGGTATATGTTGCTTCATAAGTTGTATATCAATGTGGCCATTATGTACATTTTGGTGTATCAGAATAGTCTCTACGACCTTCCTAGGCGGAAATGCCAAAAATCACGGAAATTATGAACTGCGTCAAGCCAAAAACCGTTTTTCGGCCATATTTCCGAAACGAAGCATTTTAAGGTATATGTTGCTTCATAAGTTGTATATAAATGTGGCTATTAGGCACATTTTGGTGTATCGGAATAGTCTTTAAGACCTTCCTGGGCTGAAATACAAAAATTCGACTGACCGCAAAACCCTGAAAAAGGGTGTGGCCGAAAACGCCACTATTGCATTTTTTAAAAAAATGCAATAGTGTCCAAATGTTTTAAGAATCATCTAGAGAGGTGATAACCGTTGAGAAATCGCTTTTAACACGAAAAGCTAACGAGATTCCGTTTCGTCTCTGACTACTGTAGTTAAACTTAATTAGATTTTGCGGCGAGATGTAAAGCAGTTTATAATCAGTTTGTAGCCTCTACCAGTTTGTAACCAGTTTGTAACCAGTTTGTTACCTCTCCTTCTGAATTCCTCAAGGTTGTTCACGAAATTGATTTTATAGTTTTGTTTTCTACAAAATCATCTACATAATATAATGCTTTTGGACAAAAATGTGCTTAGGTACGTGGAATCGGAAGCGTTCGGCAAATTCATTTTTAATCTGCATATTTGCGCTCTGCCATGCGGGCTCCTCAAACCACATACGATTTGGAAGGTCAGCGGCCACCGCTTATAGTTATGTGCAATTGTTTGCGGAAAATCGGGGTTTTGTTTGTTTACACTTTTTCCTTTTTTATGTATGGTGTAAAAAAGCTGCCCTAATCGAATCAAAGGTTACATTGATGAATGTACCAGAGATGTGCACCGTGTTACTTTTAGGCGGCGGACTGGACGCCAAAATTGGTCGGCGGAGGTGGTCTGACCGCGGTCTGACTACTAGATATCCGAACAGCAGTCTACTGTGTACATATTAGTAATTTGGTTGTGAAACTAATGTATTTGAATTGATTTCTTAATATCACTCTACATTGAAAAACTTATTTATCGCTGTTTTTGTTGATCTGCCGGCCAATACCTCAAAGGTATACCTCAAACGTAGCACCTGAGAAAGTTTCGTGGTTGATTCACGTACTTTAGTTCGACACGCACTATAGTCCTTTAATTAGATACAATTTAAACTTATGTGTTATTCAAATTTTATGCATTATTTTATGGATTATGTATTTTAAGAATGAACAATGCAATTTGTCATATATTTTATTCAGGAAATATCAAGCGCTGATTCCAGGGTAATTTAAACACGTACCACAGAATACTGAACACGGAAGAAAAATGTAAATTACATTAAATATGCATTGAATTTTTCTTTCGTGTTTAGATAGGTGGCCGGGTCACCCTGGAATCAGCTCAGCGTTCGGCAAATTTATTTTCACTATAGTTCGACAACTTAAGTTCGCCAGATATCACCCCTGTCGAACTTTGGTACGTGTCGAACTAGAGTCCAGGTAGCGTACTCTAGTTTCTGCTCGTAAAGGATCATTGCTTGATATCGGAGATTTCAAAACTCTAGTTCGACAGTCGAAGTTCTCTTGTCTAACTTAAGTACGTGTCTAACTTGAGTCCAGGTAGCGCACTTTAGTTCGACAGAGTCGAACCTTAATAGGGTTTGTCGAACTACAGTACGTGTCGAACTAGAGTGCGTCTCGAACTTGAGTACTTGAATTCTATTTATTTTAGGCTTTGAATTTTTGAAACGTTGACTATCCACCTTTTTCGTACTGAACTTTTTTCTTTTTTTGGCTTCTTTTTCAATGGTTAATAGTTAACTGTTCTTTCCGTTAAGCCTCTAATCCACAAATAAGAGTGCTCACCTTGCCGTCTAAGACCACTTTTAACTTTGAACGGTATGAGTGGGGAATTACATTTGAAGTAGAGGTAAGAAAACTGTCAAATGTGATCAAACAAACGCTTTTGTTTTCAGAAAATGGCTGAGTTACGAAATACCGCGGACACTGTGATTGCTAATCCTAGTGCCATACAAAATGACATATCTTTAGCTGAGGAAACCCCACGGCCAACAGACGTTACAGAACACCCTGAGAAAGATGCCCCCAATAAGAAGTCCATTCTCGCAAGAATGTCAGGGATAGCCTACATGTCAGTGTCGAGTATTACTGCTACCAGCCAGGGAGTCATATTCCAGTATCTCAGTTACATGCCTACCGGTGAGGTCCTGGCGATCCTGAGTGCAGCAGCGGCGTGTTTCCTCGGTACTCTCATTGCTTTCCAGGGACTATCGCTGTCTTTTCCGAGGAAGCTGTTGCCACTTTTCATATTGAGAAATATGTTTACTATGATCACATTCACCGCTAAGACGTGGGCCTTTCAGAACCTCCCTTTGGGTGATGCCAGTGCTCTAATTTTCACAATGCCTCTTTGGACAGGAATTTTCTCTAGAATATTCCTAAAGGAGAAATACACTATCGCTCAACTCTTCTGTTCAATAGTAGGATTTTCAGGGGTTATATTAGTGGCCAAACCAACCTTTATATTTCCATCAGAAACAACCAGCGAATTCCCAGCATGGTACCCAGTCATTGCACTGGTATCAGGGATAAGCATGGCAAGCGAGTTCACAGTTCAACGAGGTCTAGGTGGTCAAATTGGCAGCCTCGTCACCACGTTCTACATGATGTTATTCCACATTGCTGCAGGCATCATCCTTCACCATGCCATGGGTGATGAATACCTCAACCCTCCTTGCTACGTACCCCGAGTACTCCTGGTGGTCGCCTCTCTTCACCCTGTTATTGGGCTGTCTTGTTTGATGAAAGGGCTGGAGGTGGAGAGTGCCTCCATTGCCACCCTGGTTAAGAACCTGGACACTGTTCTGGGTTATATCGTACAGGTGGTGCTGTTTGGGGACTCGGTCAATGCTCTGTCTATAGTGGGTGCTGCGCTTATCATGATTGGGACTGTCACTCTGACTTTGACCAGGATATTTGATGTCACGTGTGGGATTGAGTTATAATTATATTCTGTAAGCATATTTATCAAGTATTATTTAAAGGGAACAAGCACGTTATTTTACTATTACTTAAACATTTTCATGGTTTTTCAGCCATTTAAACGTTACTGCAACATGAAAAGTGGGTTTCCTTGAATTAGATACAATTTAAACTGATGTATTATTCAAATTTTATGTATTATTTTATGGACTATGTGTTTTAACTTTTAAGAATGAACAATGCAATTTGTCATTTATTTTATTCAGGAAATATCAAGCGCTGATTCCAGGGTAACTTAAACACGTACCACATAATATTAATACTGAACACGGAAGAAAAATGTAGATTCACATTGAACATCACATTTTTCTTTCGTGTTTAGATCATAAGTGGCCGGGTCACCCTGGAATCAGCTCAGCGTTCGGCAAATTTATTTTTAATTTGCAAAATTTCCAGAAAAATATTGACTTAAATATTTTAAAAAGTTGGTTCTTTTTGGCCCTTGCCCAGATTTTATGCTTTTATAATGTGCTTCCTACACCCCTGTTTGTGGTATGTGGGTACCAAGCTAGGCTAATGTCGTTTGTGTTGCGAAACATTTCCTTGCTATCTTCCGTGTCGCACCTGATCGTTAGGAATGACACTAAATATTTTAACTATCTTAACAAGTACAGTTTCCATCTCGTATGTGGCTGAATTTATGTACGGATGGGGGGGGGGGGGGGGGGGGGGGCAAAAGTCAGTACCCATACGTTGGCCTTAATAGCTCAGTCACTGAGTGCCCAATTGTAATAATTCTTTGTGGTATGACTTACTACCACCACTTGCACTGGTTCGAGGAATTTGTCAAATCGAAAAATATTCGTGTATGTACTATTCAAATTTTATGTATTATTTTATTCAGGAAATATCAAGCGCTGATTCCAGGGTAACTTAATTAAACACGTACCACATAATACTGAACACGGAAGAAAAATCTAAATTACATTTACATTTGCATTGCATTTTTATTTCGTGTTTAGATACGTGGCCGGGTCACTCTGGAATCTGCCCAGCGTTCGGCAAATTTTTAAAAAAACCGGTTTTTTAAACCAAAAACCGGTCCCCAAACAAACGAGATATTTGCGCTCTGCCATGCAGTCCGGGCTCTTAAAATCACGTACGATTTGTACAAATCTCGGATAGCCTTATTCATTGTAAATTGTAATAGCATTATCAACAAACCAATTAGTTTTCTTACATTGTAACATGTAAATAAACCAAATAATCAACACAATTCAAATTTGTGAACTAACCGTCTGAATAGGAACTGAGGAATTTGGCCACTCCCGGAATCAGTTCCATTGTTGCTCCTTTTGCTGGATCTGAAGGTGAACTTTACTCCGTCTGCTACTACCTCACGTTTACCGCTGTTACCACAGTCCGAGGAGGGTCCCTCTACCTGAGGGAGGATAGAGTTAATTTTATTAAATAAATTAAATTAAATTGAACAGGAATTAAATTAAGTGGTAAATAGATTCAATTAGGGGTTCGTGCTGAGTTTGGGTTGAATCTCAATATGCATTTAGGTAAAGCTCGTCAAGCTTTTAAAGCTCAAATCAGGTCAAACTGCATTTAATCGGTACTGAGTAGCAGCATTTCACCACTTAAAGTTAACAAGTCAACATGTTGATATAATTCTAACCTTAGCGGTGATTCTGTACCAGTTTCCAGCAACTATATTGACCGCGTCATCAAAGCATACGGTGTGTGTCGACCTGCGTGGTCAGAAAATGGTAGAAAGGTTTGTTAGATACAGTGAAAAATCAAACCGAAAGTCGTAATATTACCAATGTCCAATACAGCATGCGTGTAACTAGAAAGCTGTATAGTGTATAGTCTCTAGGTAAAAAGCACAATCACGTTAACTTAAGGGTTTTATGGGCGTCCCAAGTGTGTCAAAAAACTTTAAAAATTCCTTTCAATTCCTGAAATTCATAAAAAATATCCCCTGGCCCTACTTGGGTTTGCAAGTGAAGTTATAGCTGGGCATCTCAAATATGAGGTCACCATCGTCCGGTTCCGGACCTCCGTATCCGATATCGAATATCTTGAGCTTGGCTGTGTAGTTACCTCGACCTCCATACAAACCTATAGATCATTTAACTGTTACGATAAATCCTAGACTAAGCGTTTCAGGATACAATACTAACTCTCCAACACGTGCGTATGGTGTGAATAATTATAAATGGAAACATCAACCATAACCCATGCTAAAGCATTCCCGGTGTTTTCCTGCGACGACGTGATAATGATATAGTAATATGAAATTCTGGATAGTTACAAGATGAATTTGAGGAAGGATACATACCTAAACCACTGAGGAGAATGTCAGTATCAGTTGTCATGAGAATAGCGTCTACACTTTTCTGGGAGTAACCCCAACCACCACCGAACGCTGGAATGAGAAGATTGTCAAATTATGTTTACATCTCGTTATATAAATATAAGTGTGATAACACGTCTCTAACAGGACTATTGCCTCGTTTCTCAACAATTAATCAGGGCTCTACTCACAAGGGAATCTATTGCAGACAGAGAGAAGTTCCTCCTGAGCACTGAGTCCCTGCTTACTATCCTGAGTAGCTACCTGATTGGCTAGATTGCTCACGTGACATATCAGACCGTAACATAAAGCTTCCTTGTTTACTTCACTTTTCACGTGGGGTAGCAGGCTCTCCCTCATCGACAACTGCGGATATGGAGGGTTATTCCACAAATATCCAGAAGGCAGAAAGTTAACAATTTCCTCCGCAGCACCAGAATTGCCTCTGGGTCCTACTCCCAGACTTGCATTTTTCTGGATGATACTGGTAGCACATATCATTACTTAATATTATGATCAAAATTTCTGCAGAGGAAAAAAACGTGATCATCATTTATTTTAAACCCACATTGCATTCATTTGTAATGAAATTTTCAGCAATACCGTTTCCGTCCAGAAATTAATCAATATTATTAAGGCTTGGTGTTTAACATTGTTTAATTTAACTTTCTCAGCAGGAAATTGGCGGCCTTAATCTAAACAGTATTCATGTCATCCACGATGCAAATCATTGTTATTATTCAGATATTAAGCTTATATTAGTTAAAACAGAGTTTAAAAACACTATTAATGATACTGTAATCACGGAAAACAAATTAAAAAAAAATACTTTTTATAATTATTATTATTAACAACTATTTAATAAACATTTAAAAAAGTGAAACTAACTAACCGGGTTAGTATGAGAGGAGGTGAAGGAACTGTTATATGAAGTGTAAGCTGCCAGAGTCCCCGACCTACGGTTACCAGCCCAGATTGTCTTGTAAATATCGTCGAAACATATCACGTGATCACGACTCAGGCCCGTCTCTTTTGAGCTGTTAAGGGATGGGTTTAAAGTTTAATCCGGTAATATGGCGTATGTCATCATTTTGATCCAGGAACTTTTTTAAAGATCGACCATCGTATATTTATTAAAAAATTCGTAAAGATATCCGGCCTGGTTTTATTTAGAGAAGGCTATGCACGTTCTTCTCACGCATTACATTGTAAATATCCAACTTAATATAAGCCTTTAGTATCCGTAATCTTTGGTGTTAAAAACTGATATAATTAGATACTGATACAGTCGTTAATAATTTTAATTATTACACTATTCATTTTGCTATTCATGAATTTTAATTAATTTAATAATATTTAATATTTAATTCAACTCCTTCCCTCATACCAGTGAGACTTATAGACGGCAGACAATTTTTCGACGAGCATAAAATCTAGCAGACTAATAAACAGTTTAAAGTAGATAAGATTAGGAAAAAAAACAAAACATACTTAGTTTTAACCAAAAAAGTGGATAACTGATTATACTAAATCAAATAATTCATTCAATTTAATGTAGTACATGTTTCGTGATACTATTAGTTATTACTAACTTCCAGAGTCCGGATTCGTTGGAGGTAAGGAAAGATAATTTATTGTTTTCAGTAGCAGAACAAAGTACAAACTTTCCATCCTCTACTATTATCTCAACCTCGTCATCTGAAAATAATAAATCTATTTAGAATTTAAAAGTTAAATTTGAATCGACTCGAATTAATCCACCAACTATAAATGCAGATAGTATTCATTAAAATAAGATACGAAGCATTGCGTACACAGTACAAGCACACTAAGAAATATGTCTCTACATTTCGTCTTATCTTGGAAGCTCAAAATACATAAATAGGATTTTTGAGACGAACTTTGATACAGAGCTTGCATCTAAAAACATTTAAAAATGCAGGAATACTTCTAATTACCCATGTGAAGTTCTGTCTTGATAAGCGGAGTTCTGCACGTGACGTAGGTTCTGTTACCCACTGCTGTAACGGAAGTTACTATCTTATCAGACTCGCCACCAAACCCTGGTACTTTACACATGTTCGAATACCACGACTGCAATGTTAGGAATTTATAATGTTATATCCACCAGCGTGCGCTTATTTTGTACAGCGGGCGCGCTACCGGTCTCAGCCCGGTGTGAAAAGGCCCCGTACTCATATTTCCCGCTTAATATACAGTCCGCGACCACATAACTCGATCAGTAGCGATATAGCTAGATGCTGTCGCCAAATTTTCCAGTTACCTAATTCCTAAATTATTTTAATAGATTCGATTGTAGAAATTTTTACAAAACCTTCGATGTGAGAGAGTCTTTTGATGTGACAGAATCTTTGGAGAAGTCGGACGGACATCTGCCGAGCTGACCGTCCATGTATTTTCCACAAGAAAACACCTATCGAGAAATAAGGAGGTGAATAAATTACAAATTACAAATATAATGCTTTTGGACACGAAGGGAAATACACAACGTAAGGCTTGAAATCTTCGTAAAACTACATCTGTAAATTACAAATTGTGTATTAAATATAAACAATGATCCTGTATATAGTGTTTGTTGTATTGATAAATATATTCTTCAGTTGTTTCATTCTCATCCAACAGATTATAATATTCATTATTGGGGCGGGTGTTTTCACAGTTTATCTGTATTTTGTCACTATCGCACTGAGATATGTTTAAAAGGTCATGGCGAATCACAAAGTTGAACGGCTGCACGACTTAGAGGGCCCCCATTTATCTGATCACTGTGGGACCCCTGATAATTGGGGGCCATCTAATAAGTCACCCTCCCAGCTGAACTTCATCACCCTAACCCCCCTTCCAATTACCTGATTACCAGCCAGCACAACAGTATGAGTAGAACCACACGCTACAGCATCAGCAGGGGAGTCTATATTATCAATCCTAGTAGGAGTGGGAACCAGGGTTTGGGTACCCATACCCAGCTGCCCTGAGGAGTTGGCACCAAACCCGTACACCTCTCCTGTATCCAGTAACAACACTGTGGTGGTTTCTTGTTAGTTGGGATACCATCTTGTACATGTGATTTTAATCTGACTTAGTGACTTTCTCTTGTGTGTTACTTGAGAAATTACGAACTACGGTATCCTCCCTTCAGCAATCCTTTTATTTATAATAGCGACACATTTTTTATAAAATTACAATGCCAAAGGTGCCGACAATCATTCATTTCTACAAATTGATAACCTAACAATTGAAATCAGAGGGCAGAGTCAAAAAATAGGACGCTGTACTTATGCATGCATGCAAATGATTGAATTATCCTGTGCTACAATTTCGCAACGGCGACAATTCAATTTATTCTTGAACTTCTTAAATTTATAGCTTTAAGATACTTTAAATTTAAATCCTGAAGTGATTGAGAACTTACTCATGATCACTCTTTAACGGTAATTAACCCTCGAATAAATTGTGGGGGTGGGGACTGGGGGGGGGGGGGTTTGGGCTGGGTGGAAGCCTATTGAAGTATTGATGCCCATGCCCATTTGACAAAACGTCGAGGAATAAAAGGGCATTTAATCAATCAGATCATTGATTGAATCGATAGTCAAATAAAAAGATGTCAACTAAATTTGACTTCAATATTAAATATTTATTTATCAATTAATCTAACTCTAACCAGTGTGATGCATGCCACAGGCAACTTGTTTGACTACCATAGAGCTATCAGGCAGTTTGATGGGGGCAGGAAGTTTGGTCAGCTCAGCTGGGTGAACTGGTTTACTGTCTTCAACTGCACCTGAAGGATAGTTCTGGATAATATCTTCTCATTTTCTGTTATTGTACTGTACTGATACTTTGAGGGCTGATACTTAGTACAGGTAGTATCAGTACTTGGTAGAGGCCCTAGAGGGCTACTAATATGCAAGTTTCCATGCTAGGGTAGTGCTTTAAAATTGGAGAGGTATCCTTGATCAACAAAGCTAAAATCAACATGGACTCAGATCCACTTAACACAGTCCATTCCACGTATCTCTCCACTCACCACTGTTGCGTTCAGCTCGACCAGGTTTGTCATCTTCGTCTGTATCCTCTTCCTCGTCTTCGTCAGCCGAGCTATTGTCACTGTTCGAACTATCGTCTTCCGATTCTACGGAGGGGACGGAACGGGCTTAAAATGTGCAGAGGGAAATGTTTACTTGTGTTTTCAAAGGGTGAATGGGAAGGGGCTTTTGTGTTTGAATTAATCCAAAACTTATGCTCTTGAATGAGTGCACTTAATTTGATGTGATGCATTATAAATGAATTTCCGTGAAAAGTGAAATATGTAAAGTGAAATTATATGGTGAAGTGAAATTAAATGTAATAATATCATAGTACCCTCTGCTTGATCATTACCGAATCGCAGTGGTTTCGGCTCAGGTTTCGCTTTGAACTTGGCATTCTTTTTGTGGACGAGTTGAGCCTCCTTGGCACAGGTCTTGCAGCACCCACAGATTGAACAGCCGGAGTCTCCTGCACCGCACCCACACTCTCTGAAAAGTGGGTGACCGGTATAATTAATGTAATCGGTAATAACTTACAGTAGGATTGACTATATGAGCTTATTTGGATTGGGCTTCTTGGTCATTCGGGTCCGGACTCTACGATGTGTGACTTGTATTGTCGGCGCAAAAGATTAGGGTTAGGACTAGGATTATAGTTACGGTAAGGGTAAGGGTAAGGGTAAGGGTAAGGGTAAGGGTAAGGGTAAGGGTAAGGGTAAGGGTTAGGACTAGGATTATAGTTACGGTAAGGGTAAGGGTAAGGGTAAGGGTAAGGGTAAGGGTAAGGGTAAGGACTAAGAGTAAGAGTAAGGGTAAGGGTAAGGGTAAGGGTAAGGGTTAGGACTAGGATTATAGTTACGGTAAGGGTAAGGGTAAGGGTAAGGGTAAGGGTAAGGACTAAGAGTAAGAGTAAGGGTAAGGGTAAGGGTAAGGGTAAGGGTAAGGGTAAGGGTAAGGGTAAGGGTAAGGGTAAGGGTAAGGGTAAGGGTTAGGACTAGGATTATAGTTACGGTAAGGGTAAGGGTAAGGGTAAGGGTAAGGGTAAGGGTAAGGGTAAGGGTTAGGACTAGGATTATAGTTACGGTAAGGGTAAGGGTAAGGGTAAGGGTAAGGGTAAGGGTAAGGGTAAGGACTAAGAGTAAGGGTAAGGGTAAGGGTAAGGGTAAGGGTAAGGGTAAGGGTAAGGGTAAGGGTAAGGGTAAGGGTAAGGGTAAGGGTAAGGGTAAGGGTAAGGGTAAGGGTAAGGGTAAGGGTAAGGGTAAGGGTAAGGGTAAGGGTAAGGGTAAGGGTAAAGCCAGGGTAAGGGTAAGGATTAGAGTTAAGGTTAGGGTTACTGTTAGGGTTAGGGTATGATAATTTTGTCTCGACCTAACCCTGACCCTAGTTTTTTGCGCTGAAAAAAAATCCCACGCTTTCGAGTCTCCCGCCTTCGAGTCCAGACCCTGCCAGTCTGAGCGAGATAACGTTATACTCAGTTACTAATGCTTGCACCAGTTACAGTATCACGCATTTTGTTATGGAAGTGATGGTATCAATTCATAAAGTCACATATAAGTTTGTCGAAACAATTGTTAAAACCAAAGTTTAAAAGCTGCAGAGTAAAGTTGCGGCCAGAATTATTAAAACAATCGGATTAGTTCTAGCTCTATTCTTCTGTGTGTGCTACAATCGGAAACATAAAAACATAACAATGAAAGCAGTGAGAAAGTGAGAATTACAACAGATCTAACTCTATTTATTGAGAGGAAAAGAAAACAGCTGGAAAACAATTCCACTTACAGTCCGGGATCTCGGCCAGGTTCACCGTTCCTACAACACCCAGCACCATACCCTGTACACTCGCCACAGAAGAAGCAAATCATACAGAGGATATTCCTCCAAACATGGGTCCCCGGCTCACACATACCATCATCACTGTCACTCTCCTCTTCTTCTGAGGACACTATTTTGAGTATTATTTACAGAAAGTGTAGTTGAGAAACTTTCAAGGACTGCACATCACGTGACACGGTCTGACGTGCTAGCTAGACGGCACGTACTGCAAACAGACCGCAGTACGAGATGTTGGAGTGTCTGGTCCGAGCTAGACGGCACGTAATGCATCTCGTAATGCACTACGTGACGTCTAGCTGGGGTCTTAACAACGTACTGCATGTTGGGATCGTTTGTAACGCTGGAGAACAAAATGTTCATGGAACAGGATTCCAGATAAAAACATGTCTTACATCTACCACCCGCACAACTTACAGGGTGTCCCAATGAGTTAAAACTGAGAAAATTAGGAGGGTTTTCTTATTACCCAATAAGAAACCCTCCTAATTTTCTCAAAAAAGACTAGTCTTTTTTGGGACACCCTATACTACGAGAGTACCTGGGTTAAGGTCAGGGTTGTGGATGTAGTTTCTGCCGCACTGTCCTTGAGTGTTGCTCCCCATCGTGTACACGGTTCCCGCAGTGGTGAGGATAGCAGCGTGGTTGTGCCCCAGGGCCACGCTCTTCACTGATACCACACTGAACTGTGGTACTAATCCTGCTGAAATAATGGTTTTATTTTTATCTATTATTTATTTGTTTTGACACGTGATTCTTGGGTTTGATTGGTCAATGCTGGAAGTTTATTGGTCAATTATTGTTTATTTTCAGTCAGGAGACGCTCCTCACTGATACTGTTGAAGGGTTTTAAATAAGTAAATACTAAATAGGTATATCACTTTGGGAACACTCAGTTGATACCTTACTTTTTAATGACGATGGAACGTCGAATTTTATGATTTTTTTCATAAACTCATCCATGATTTTACCGGTTGTCACTCTAGTCAGACTTCCAAAACTTTAGCTTAATCTCAATGAATATCATTCAGAATAAGATCTTCGTTATAATCTAGAATAGACTTTCAATGACCATTATTGTTACTCTTTCGTCACGCATCCCACTTTTTTATATATCTTCTCGGACTGATATCGGATGATCAACAAGTAAAACAAGTAAACCTATTGTGTTTTCTAAAACTCTACCTTAACACCACTTGATTGGAAATAATGAGCCAGTATTCGCCAACTTAGACGTTTTAAGGAAAATTATAACTTATATGATTTTCACATGCTTTGGGTTTGCCAAATTTTAGGATTCAATTCAAAATGTAGAGGAGTTATTACTCTATTCAAATGTTTTTTGCTAGGCGACATTTCCGATTGAGTTTAACCTCGTTGAATCATGGCAACAAAATCTTCTCAATGATCGAGAATAAACTTTCGATCACCGATACTAATTGAAAATCCATTCTCGAATATCGAGAATACTGACGGATAAGTTGGTGGTCATTAACCACACTAACTCGCACGTCACGCAACCTACCTTTTCTGTATCTGATCCGACTGACGTCGAACGCTCAACAAGTAATTAAGCAACCACACATTGCATCGTTAGTCTAAAACTCAGCCTGACCACTAGAGTCGGAGGATTGAGCTAGGCGTTTTTACTCACCACTAGATTCGAATGATTGAGCCAATAGTCCGAACATATAAAGTTGACCACACTCCGTTACAAAGGCGCTGGTCGTGTTCCCCGCCGCGCACCCTACCACTCTGTCCTTGATACGGTCGATTAGTTTCGGTTTCGAGGGGGTGGGTTTCTTCTTGGGTTTAGCTGTAGTGTTTTGATTGGTTAAAAATATGTATGTGATGGAGATTGTGATCCAAAAATAGATTGAGGTGTGAGGTTTAAAAACTCGTGACTCAAATAGACATTGGTTGATGATTTCGGTTATATTTGATTCGAAATAGACTGTTCGACAATGATCACGACTTTCATCACGTTATTTGGGAGAAGTTAAAAACTGGGCTTGTGAACAAAAACACGAGTTTTCACCATCCCACAGATCCTTAGTGGTCGGAATTTTAACGCTCCGACGTTTGTTCTAGACCAAATTGGTTTGACTCCAACTGATATAAAACCGCGTTCATATGTAAAAGTTTGTGATATGTATTGAAGCGTTGTTGAAGTTTGCGTTTTCAGCTAAGTTACGCCATGCAGCTTTGTTAAACACCAGGCTGTTCATCAATTACGATCAGCTGACGTTAAACTTCCTTTATCTCACTATCCACTGTTAAGCAGATCGTCATTGAACTTTTAATTTATGAGAATATGTTTAGAATTAAGCATTATTCATGTGAGATAACTGTAACTATAAGATTTGCATATTATTTGACAAGTTTCGTTCTTTGATCTAAACAAGTTGGCTTCTACGGGCATTCAAAAGAAATTCTTCATTATAGTCGATATCGTTCTAACGCATTTGCTTTGATACTTCTTGATCATCGGACGAAGATCGCACACTTTTAACAGCAACTATTACAAGCAGAGACACATTGCTACCATGGTGAGAAAAGACTTTTCTATGAGTTAAACTTACAAGTTCAAATCATCAAATGAGAATTCAGTGCATGTCATAGCTTTTTTGGAACTTTCTCTGTTATTCTTTTTGAGAATACAGCGAAGCTATCAACTCCGAACAAGTTTAACTCTGATTCAATTGATCTTTTGTCGAGAATGAGTTTGTCCAAAACAAGATGATTGACGCAATCTTATCTTGTCGGCAGGTTTGCAGTTGAGCTGGCCCGGCTCCATTTTAGTAGAGGAATTAGCTGATATTGTGTTTGGTGTTAAACTGTTATCTATTACTATAATCTCTGAGCATTATCAAGTGGCATCTTTTTATCCTTTAGACATCATCTCAGGGTTTCTACAAATTGAAAGGAATCAAAGACCGTAGCAACAGACTCGATGATTGTGCCAAAAAACAAAATGGCTACCAGGAACGCAGACTGAACAAATACCTGGTAAGTGAGCAAGTAAAAACGAAAGTGAAAATACAAAATAAAGAGTAAATGAAAGTGAAAGTTAACTCGAAAATGAATCCATATCAAAATTAGGAGTTATACTTAGGACATTCTTACAAATTCGCCTAGCTGTATTGATGATTTCCTTGAATGATTTGTATCCGTTTCTTAAGGTTAAGTACTGCAGGTTTGTATAAAAAAGGAGCACGAAGGCACAATGGACAAGTTGAAGATACAAGAACGCGAACTTAACCAAAGAAATTCCATGCTGTCGGAGTACCTGCAGAAGGAGCAAGAGAGAAAGGAACTAGAGGAGCTTCAGAGACAGGAGCTGATCAGTAATCCGGTGACAGTAGCGTTCCCCAGCATCGACGAGAGGAGAGGTGGGACAGCTGAGGGGAGGAAAGGAAATAAGCAGGAGAGACGAGGAAGCAGAATGGAATCGAAAACCTCGTCTCCCAAAAACAGGAACAGAAAAGTACCGATGAGGATGCTCCAGCGACGAGGAAGTGTTAATATTCAGCTATTACACGTTGTCGGTTCGACTTCCTCCGGAATGCTTATGAGAGAGCAATCCGATGAGGATATAAGTAGGCCCAGTACAGGCGGGTTAAAGCTACCACCGCTCAGGGAGGAACTGGCTACTAACAGAAGATGAACTCGCAGGTGTGTCATTAATCAATCTGCAGTTCTTCAGTGTATTGCGACTGAATTTAATGAAATATAACTTTAAGTCGGGACGGAGGTGGACACAGTTTCAAGTCCTCAGATTTTTAATATTCTGTCGAGAAAAACGCTGAATCCGTCTTTCTTTTGATAAAGAAATGAATTGCTGAACAATTCATAAGGTTTGTGATTGATTGGGATCATTATGGGTTTCCATGGCAACGATTAATTGCAAGGACGTGTACGTGGTTGAGCGATTGATTGTTAATTGTTTTCAAAACAATCATGAGCGTTTTTTAACTTTTTATGATTTAAAGGCTTTCGCCTTGGCCAATGATTATTTTTAAACATCCTTATTAAAAATAACTTTTCGGTAAGCTTAGCTTCATTGATAGTTGTCCAAATAAAATTGATGTATGCATGCGTTTCGATTTATCAATTTATTGAGTCACAAGATCTTTAGATCTCCATCTCATTCTAACTAATCTATAAGATTTCTGCAGAAACACAGATACAATACTATGCAACTTAACAATTTCTGGTAAAAGAGGTAGCAACTTAACCACAACGGGCACCAACTTCTATGGCTGATGTTTCTTAACCTTTGTAGCGTAGTAAGCTACATAGTACATACGGCATGGTGTGATGCTTATTATACTAGGCTCGCATACAGAGTCTGTTTAATTCTAACCACTGATACCATTTGAAGATAGTGTATAGGATGCAAAAATTCTATCGAATGCCCGCAAAAATTCAACTAATCCCCGGGACATTTACGAAAATGGGGGTTGTTACAGAAGAAGTAACAGCATTCTTCTGGGAATCTGGGTATTTGAAAAGATGTACGAGTTCAGTGGCTTAGTGGTTTGTTGGTTTAGTATTGACAAGGTGGTTTTTAACGTGAGGAGACAGGATGGCTTGAGTGTTATAACAGCTTAGTTGGAGTAGCCATGCAGTGGCTGGCGGCTCACGATGGCACTGGTATAGTGCCATATAGTTCTTATATAGTGGTAATTATTTTAGTGGTTTAGAAGTTTCTCAGATCGATCAGAAAAACCAGCATGGTTTAGTGGTCAGCTGGTTTTTCTGCTGAATTCTATTTCGAACTAGCAGTTCTATTTCGAACTAGCAGATTTTGCTGAGAAATTTGATAAGAACACTGAAAATAACTCACAAGAATCGCCGTCCACCCCACGTTTAATGTGGCCAGCAATGTAGGGCTTCCCATCCTCGGACAAGAGAATCACGTACTTTTCTTGGTGTGGACACGCTATCGCTGTAAACCTGTCCGGAGTTAAGTTACAATTATTATTTTGTTCTTCTTTACATAGAATTTACCTGGACTTTACTGAGACTTAACCTAGAGTTTGTTATGAAAATTAGGAAAAAAACGATATGATATCAACGTTTTAAGAGTGCGTTTATTCTGTAGCAAATTTCCAAAATATCGTGACCATTTCACCCCGACGTTTTTGGATCTCTCGGGATTATGGTGAAAATGCTGATTTACTTGCTAACAGATCCAATGGGAAACTCCACCCATTTGTCAATCAGACCCTGACCGGTTCCTATCTCATCAGCATTTCCACGGAACTTCAACTGCAATAATTACATTACCAAGCTATAAATATAACGTAATAAACGATACTTTACTTCATACTTGACTTCATTAAAAAATAAAATTATACAACTTGGGTTATATTATAAGAATTTAACAAAATGTAGAAATTACAAATTCAGATTCACAAAGCTTTCAAAACGAGCTCCTACCTTGCCGTCCATGTTTATAGTAAGTGTGTAAGAATCTGTTCCGGATATGGCCATCACGTCCTGTTTCACTGAAACGGACAGGATAAGGAGACTACATTTTCCATTTGAATAATGGCTGATACAATATTGGTAGAGAAAGGAGAGAAAAAGAGAGTAAACGCCTCTTCCACACTAACCGACAGCATGACACATCTTCTCGCTATCACAACCAGTAGACCCAAAAGCCAGGACTGCAGGGTTAGTTACAGACAGAGTTTTTTCGGACAGTTCCACTTTGGGTGGAGTCACGGACAAGTCCACACTTTGAAGTGTAACAGCGGACCATGTGCCCTGAGCTAGAAGCAGGTTTCCGGAGTCTGCTATACACTTCGTGTTTTGTCCGATATCTGGGGAGGTGGTCAGGTGGAGGTAAATAGAATATCTTATGAGAAAACGTATGAAATTTAATCACCATATTATTATGTTATGATAAAACATATGAGAAAAATGTAAACACTTTTAATTTTTATTTTGACTCCTGTTTTGTACTGGACCATCTAGAAAACAAAAACAGCAGATTGATTATGTTGCATTGTACCAATTAACTCCGGGTAATATGATCATCGGCAGTCTATGGAAAGTAATGAACTTAATAATTCTAATACTTCCTGACTAGTTAAGTGCGTCAGGAATGCACCTAACAGCGCATGCTACACTTCTCCGAGATTTCATGTTGCCATGGCAACAGATTACCTAGCTTATGGGTCTTCTCAATGACGAGAGTATCTTTATTGATAGAGACAACAGAGCGAGAGAGCTTTCCTGTCTTTACAGCTAAAAGGACTGTAGTTGCTGAGATCAACTCCAACTTTGTAGACGGTATAGACACTTTTTTGACACATTTACCCTGACAGAAAGTTTGTTTATATCAAATATATTTCTTCATATATTTACCTAATAAGCTTCGATACAGGGAATATAATGATGAACAATTATGAATAATGAAGTCTCCAGTTTTAAATATGATAAGTAGAAATAGTTACCAAAAGGGAACCGCTGATACCCGACGTGAACTTGTATAGATCACCAGAGTTATAGACAAAGACATGTAACCCATCGCTTGCCATGCTGAAACGTATCTGAAACACAGTGAGATCGTGAATCATATAAAACAAAAGTATTGTAATGAGTCAAAGACTTTAAGATCAAAGTTCAATGCAGTTACAATACACCAAACTTGATTAGTGACCGAACTACAAGGCTAGCTCACTCTTTATTGTATCTTACCTGTATCAGGAATAAATCCACAGTTGAATTTTATCATCACATTTGTGAGGTTAGAAGTGCTCCAAGAAGACGAATTTAGTTTTCTGTCTGTTCTGTAGCGACTAAGTGATCTGGTTTGAAGGTCCGATAGCACTCCGCATGTCTGAAGAAGGTCACTTTTTGGTAATGTAGATGTGTGTACATTGTACAATATGTACTATTTATCAATTAATAGTAATACAATATGTAGTATTACATTAACAATTCGTTACCAGCTAAAAAAGTTCAAGTTTTCACTTATCATTAAGATGTACACTCAAACATAGTGTCAGAAATCTAATAAGAACATGACAGGCAGTGACATTATGAAATGAAACGCATTTACATTCAGTACATGGAATGTACTTCATTTACATTCCATTTCTATCTTTACCTCAATATCAGAGATTTTAGCTTTCAGTGTATGTCTGATGGCTGACAAAATGAGGTCAGCCCGGTTTTGTAGAATAGCAACACATAACAAAACTTTAAAAGTTGTTTTGTCAGTCGATGACAAGCTTATATCTTTGAGAAAACTCAGCCAACTACCTGTAATTAATGAACAATTACCGTGATTTTTGAAGACGATAAAATATGTTTCATGCATTCAATAGTAAATACCGAACTATACGGTTTCATTTCTTTATAACACAAACATCATGTACTCTGACACCTCACCAATAATATCCTACAAACCTGCAGCTAAATCGTTTCCCGAGAAACATTTTTGGGGTAAATCTTTAATGCACTGATCGGTAGTGGATACCACACTCGACAGCAGTGCCGGAGCAGACAGGCTAACTTGACGTAGAAGTTCGAACACCGAATGTAGGCTTGCCACAGAGATCTGAAACGGAATTGTCACTTACAAGTTTAAGAAGTTGAATAACGGCGGGTCAATACGGAAAAGCAGTTCCATCTCACATATACACACGTGCGCGCGGCGCGTAGATGTTATAGAAGGTACCTAAAATAAGTGCCTTTTTATAATTAAATGTAGCCGCGCCACACGTATCCAGTAACGAAAACTAACTTTCTTTGGAAACCAACATTTTGGATACGTTATACAGTAAGCTGTACGAGATCAACAGGGTTCACTTTCCGTGGAAATGACGATTGATTGCAGATTGCTCATTTTAATTGTGATTGGCGTCTTATTGAAATAATGAATTACTTACTAAAGTACTTACTTTATTCAAAACGAGCGACATCTAAAAAGTATATTAAATGATTTCAAGTTAAATAATTGCATGAAAAAAACGCAATAGAAGAGCTAAGTGTAGATAGTAAATTATAAACAATAATAGGGGCCAGCTGAACCTTTTTACTGTGTAGTGTCGGGTTACAGTACATTTACAAAATAAATATTTCCATTACTAATTCACTTTGCTCATTTTGTAAACTTTTAAATAGACTTGGTTTTCTTCTGTCTTATTATTGTTAATAGTCATATGGCGTGCATGAGGAATACTTGGAATGGGAAAACAAAAGTAAGTGTAACCGAAGTGGACAGTGTGTAAAACGTTTTAAACCCGCGGACAAACGATATAGGATTTTGAAATAAAAGTTCTTTCTGCCATCGTTACAAAGGGGAGAACCGAGAAATTATAATCTTGGTTTATTCTCAAAAATTATATTCGTTCTGTATTGAATCGGTAATTTAGCATACAACAATAGATATTGGAAAAAGTAACTTTTTTTGAAAGATTTTTTATCTTAAAATTAGCGAGCGTGCTAAATAACTCTAAACTGGAACTTCGAGATTTTTCAAAAGGGCCCCCGGCAGTTGAGACCAACGTTGTTCGATGTATTTTTGAACGCTGATTCCGAATCACATGACATAGGGTTAAAATGTTCCCCTGACGAATAATCAGCGAAAAAACTGTTTTGATCACGTCATATATATAAGGAAGTAAGTCGATTTTCTCGTTCTAGGGTTACGATTTCAGCAGTAGCTTGAGTTGGGGATCGGGTTGGGGCCAGAGCACAGGGTTTGTGTTTTGAATTATCCGTCAGAGCCATCTAGAGAGCGTGTTAAACTTAGTCACGTGATAGTCCAGTGCAGTTTAGAGTCGTATTTAACCTCCTCATGTTTAGAGCTTTTATTCAATTAAATATTTAATAAACTTCTTTTAAATCGCACATATTCGTGGGAAAATCAGACACCAAACTTGACACATATATAATATAATACATACATAAAATAGTATATACATATTACAAAGGGATGGGATGATATCATATGCGAAACAAGTCAAATGGCCCCTTTTATAACAAAACTTGTGACGAAATACCAGTATTATACAATCTATATTCGATACAATGTTGAGAGACATGTTGGCGTACACTGTACAGCTGTCCTGTATAGCACCTTGGCAAACCACCGATGTTAAGTTAAAAGCTTATAACATCATTTCTCCGCCGCTGCAACGGTTACTGGGATTCTTCCTGTGCAGCTACGGCAAAACCAAACGAAAATAACCAACGATCAACGCATCATCACTGGCCAATCATTGTCTGAACAACAAAACTTATCAATCGATGGCTACCAATTATGTACATGGATTTATTTGTGGTAGAACAACCTTGCTCCACTTGAAATTAGCAGAGCCCTAAAATCAATCAAAATATCACTGTTCAAATTCCAAATGGAATTTCCTTATATCCAGTTATTCAAAGACATATGTAGGTTACATTTCCATAACTTTATTGACAAAGGAATTTGTAATCATCGAAAGACTGGACCCTAAAATTTGGGCTTTAACTTAAATTCTATGGGAAGGTAAAGAATAAATAGTTAAACTATTCCAAGATATTTCGTCAGAAAATCAATGAGACTAGCAAAATTGGAGATTGACAAATGTCAACATTCAACAATTCTATTTTTACTTATTTCACCCCAGTTTGTACAGCCACAGCCACATTTAGCTACTGAGTACAAAACCGGCTAATTTTGGGAACCCGAAATACAAGGCCATGTAGCAATGTCACTTCGTTTGCGGTTTAACTACACAAGTGCAGTATATCACTTCATTTAGCTCCCGATTATAGTGCAGCGTGGGTTCGAACTCGCAACCTTTCGATCTTGAAGGATGCACCCCACCAACTCACAAAACACCACCGTCACACAGCTATGCCCTTAATTTTGAATCATAAAAAAGATCGCACGACATCATCGCTATTTTAACTAAGATCAGTCCAATCTAAATGCCACTTGTAACATCCACAAAAGCTACGATCTTATAATAAGATACTGTGCGTCTGTTATTGAGCTTGTATGTGATATACTGTGATGATGGTATTATCTAGATCAGTTGAAAACGATTCTACAGAAGTATGCTTTTCGTCTGAATTAAGATCAGACAGTTTAATCCACAACATGCATCCAACATCAACTGTACTTTTGAGTTTCGAGTAATCTGTTGAGTTTGATTTATCAATATCATTCAAATTGGTATATATCACAACAATGAAAATTATAAAAGTTGAAACCACTAACAGTCATAGGATACTCAAATTCCTGGACTAATGACACAAACATGTATTGTTCGATAACAATTTAGGACGTCAAAACAGAACAAATTGATACCAAGCTACCCTTACCAACTAGATTAAATGCAAGACCTAAATGACTTTAAATGCAAAGAGACGAAAGAGTTCTATTTCAGGGTAGGTCCATCTCATACATGTCGGTCTGAATGATGCCAAATTCTACTAAATTCGGGATGCAACAAATTAAAATTACAAGAATTCTGTTCCCGGATTTAAACGGTTAAAACAATTAGAACTTAATTTGATGCTTATACTTTTTTCTCCGATCCATGACTCTTGTGCCGTAACAAAGTAAAAATTCATTTTACTTTGTGCGATTTTAGGGATTTGTTAATGTCTGTGCACGGCGTTAGAATGGTCAAGAGCCTTTTTGTCAGGGGGATCTTAAAACTTTATTCAGAGTTTTATAAAAAAAGCACTTGATACTTTCAAAAGAATGAAGAACGGGCTCAGGGCTATTGGTCGTAACAAAAGTTACTTAAAATATTGTGTTATGTTTATTGGTAGACTTGTTATTGGCCAGTCATCAGCTGTAAGCCGAGCAGACACGTACACTTCACATGATACAGACAGATCAACTTAGAACATGTAAACATAGTGATTTAACACAGCCGTCACAGCATTAATGTTCAGCAGTTGTTTCACAGAGTTTCACTGATGAAGCGGTCCAGCAATCAGCAGCGATACAATATAAATATATATTGTATAATAGTGAAGTGAACTGTCTCTACAGCCGACTGTAAATAAAATTATACAATAACATAGTACTTTAAATATAATATTATAATTATGCGTTATATCATAATAATGCGCTACTTTTATTTTACGGCTTGGACAAAGGATCATACATAGTTACACGTTTAAGAAGTCCACCAAGAGTTATTCATCTGTGCTATTCATCTTTATCAAGCAATGAGCCGCAGGTTACTATTTAATGTGGCCAGGGTTGGAATAAAACCAGGTTAAAAGTTCCCATCTCATTACATATTCAGTTATTATTCTCTCAGTAAATTCGATTGTTTGCAGTTTTTAAGTAAATTATTATATAAGTTTATGGGAAGATCAGGATGGCCGGAGATGGAGACAATGAAATGAAACAAATGTGCAATATAGAATCAGAAGTTGATGAACTGTACTCCTCTACACCAGATTTCACAGATTTTCACACAAAAGCTTCGATTAAATAATTATATTTGATTCACTAATTATAACATGAGTCTGTGTCTGATAAACCAGAGACTTTTGTAAGCTTATTATTTAAACCGTGGTTTGTGAGCGCCACAATAAATTCAACGAAATTATAATTTCGGACAAAGCAATGTGTGTCGCTTTGATTAAATAATGATTATTATTGATTAGATCAAGCCAGGCCGTCCTTGATTTTGTATTGTTGTTCGTCCTTTGTTCGTTCAATTAAACTCCCAACAATGAACAATGCTATGATTAAAATATCAATACTGTTTTCGCTATCTATTGTACTGTATTATTGATTATCGGTTGAGTCTAGCCGAATAATGATTGGTTTTGAGAGAGATGCACGTACGTTTTATTATTAAGTCGCCTGACCAGAACCAGAAACCTCACCCTACTTTCTCTTATTATAATTTATGAAGAGATAATAGGGCGAGGTTTCTGGTTGCACGCTTCGAAATTAAAAATATACCCAAAGAAGATGTAGAATGTAGTTTTAAATCATTCAAGTGAGACTGAGTATGGAAGTACTTCCAAATCAGTTCAGATTAAAACATTCACTTTTAAAACATTTTATATTTGATAATGCTCTAACAAGTGGGTAACTTACCATATTTTGGCGCCCCAGCTGAATTTTTTGGCGCTCCTACAAAAAAATTTTAAGGTCCTAAAAAAACTTTTTCCGTAAAAAAGACCAAATATACGGTAAAAAGCGCCCCCCTTTTGAATGACATGACAATATTTTTATTATGTTAATTTTCTTCAGCTCAAAGGGTAGAGCTTATAACTCTAAAAATATAGCAGTGGTTTCTATGGCAGCACATTATATGTGAAAGAAGTATGTACGCGTGTACAAATTTATGTACATAATACAGTACATTAAGTATAATTGATACGCATTCCAGGAATAACAAGATTTGAAGTATATAAAAATATGCACATAATCGTTAGAACATAAAGTTGAACATTTGACGGTGCCCTGTTAAAACTATGTGTATGTGTATGTTGTATGTCATGTCATCGATCCAAAACAAACCAGCAATGACAGTAAACATTTATGCAGTAAAATAGTTTGAAATAATGCAGTGATTTAATATCAGAACTTAAAAAGAAGAAGTTAAACCCCTTAGTTATCACTTTTTGCCGGTGCTCTATCCGATTAAATTCACATATATTACATAAACACATTATAATAATAGGTATGATATAACATACATGTACATAGTTTAATAGTACAAACTTGTATTGCATGATGGAATCACTCAGAAATTGGCTTCGATCAACTTTAGTTAAAGAAGAAGCTAAAGAAGCACACAAATTTGCGATTTAAAGCTTTCAAAATTTACATTACCGAGTACCGACTAAAGATATAGAACAGAGGTTTCGAAAGATGATTATACGCGACACGGCGAGCCTTAACCCTGGTTCTGCGAACTTAGGAACCAAAACAAATGAATGTTTTAACCGTTAAATAAACTTACTTGGTTTAAAGCAGGTTTATCCTCGTCTTCAGTTTCAGGCAGGATAAACGGAACATCTGGTGTGACAATAGGGAACTTGGTGAGGGCTGTCTTCTGTATGTTCTCCTGCTTGACAATGCTATAAAGGGACTGGGTGTGGGGGTGGGACGCTATCTGTATCAGCGACCATAGCACCTCCTGATCCTTTGGTTCTCTGAAACACAAATAGAGGAATTATTTAATAATACTTCGTGGCTAATAAACAGTGGCATTAACAGTGGCATTAAATATGAAGTTATACAATTTGTTGTATAGTACACTTGGTTAGTAATGCAGGAGTAATGCTCTGATGACTGATGGGAAGGTGAGCCATGTTTGTTTTGACACGTGAAATTTGTTCATGAGTATGAATTTTTGCTGCTGGAAGCTTGTAGAGTGTCACACGCTCACCTATCTGATATTCGTAGCCCATTTTAAAACATGAGATAATATTTTGACAGATTTTAAGCTTGATAAAGTTTAACAAGACGATGACAAAATATACATGATGAGGTCACGTATAAGTTCAATGTGACAATGCTTGTCATAGTCAATAATCATCTGTATTGAATGAATTTGTTACACATTTCATCAATCATTGAACCAGCTATAAAACGAACTGCAATTAAATATTAATTGTAATATATCATATAGATGATACTGCTTACGTTACCATGCGCACCGTGCAGTAACGGAATTCTTGTATAAAGGTAAATTCAATTCCTAATTTCCAAGTAGGATGAAGTTTCGATTTACACTGAACACAACATATTATATAATACATGTCATGTACATTGTACATTGACACTTTTGGGATCTGAGAAACTCCCACTAAATTGGGATTCCCGTTATCCCATTATCGGGATTAAACTTGATTAGTATGATCAATGATCTTGGCATTAAATTCAACTTCTAAGTTGCAGCATAGATGGAAATCAAGGGCTCACCCAAAAAACAGGAGTCATTACTTAGTTTCAGCATTGAAGCCCAGCAATGTGTATAAATATACAATATACAAGCAATTTGTATAAATATACTACAAAATTTAAATACAAATACCTCTTGTTTGGGTCAGATAAAACGTTAGCACGTTTTATCTTCTTTTCTTCCATGTCAAACGTTCATTTGAAACTCTCATGTCATAGCTGGAATGATACATTATTTTAAAGATTTTGATATTTGAGAACTAACAAGAGATTGTAGAGAGGTGCAAAATATGAAAACTTCAGATTATCAGGCTAAATACAACATGAACAGTTTTAGCATAACACTCTGAAAGTGTAGAACTACCAATAATCATAATTAACAACTACAGTTAAAACCCCTGATTTATAACACACTGTTTTACTGTAATCACTGATTTACTGTAAACCTGGACTGTGCAACAACAAACCACGTGACATACCGCGTGACAAACCACGTGACTGGGTGAATCACCCTGATGAACTGTTCTATTTTCCTTTCCCCAAAGTGTAGGGTAACTGAGGGTTTAATTGTATGTGATTATGTATCAGTCAGACAATTTTTTAAGCTACTCAGTTATACACATTTCTAAGCTCATTTGTTGACAAAGGCTTTTGTGACACAAAGGAAAATATAACAAATAATCCAAAATTATAATATTTCTCTATGCAAGAGGTGTGTATTGTGATGGGCGTGGCTGTCCTGCGGGAACTAGTGGGCACCCAGAGTCCAGAACCTCCTCAAAAGTTCGGTCAGAGGCCCTAGTTTGTTGGTCAATTGCTATCTTGAAATCAAATTTCACAAAAAAATCAGGGTGATGTGTTGGAATAATTTAGAAATATTATATTATGCTAGTTAAAAAATAAATTGAATTTGTGGAATTCAATTTTATTTTGAGGTGCTGTAAAGCATTATACACTGGCCAGTGTTTGAGTGGAAATCTGGGCTCTTATAGTAGGCTGTACATTGTTTGTTCACAGAGATAATTGAATGGATTGCTCTTGCTGTGGCAGTAAATTTGGTAGAGTTTTATTTGAGAGCAAACCGGAAAGTCAGTGATATTTTTGGGATGGATGTTACATTTTTTCCTAACTGAGGAGTAGAGTAAACAGTCAGTTAAAACATGATTTTCGTCCTCAATAAGCTCAAGCCCCTTGCTGAAAAAGAAGTAAGTGTACCATCGATCTTGTCTTGGTACTAGGGGGTTTCGTATCGGCCCCTCTCAATGTACAGGTTGTGGCAGCTAATACGAAACCTTCTTAAGCTTTTAAGAGCATCAGGGATCTTCACTACTCCTAAATATGTTTCTGGTTCAAAGTCATGTTTAATTTGATTGTAGAATTCTAATTTTGGCGAGGTCTTATTAATGCTTTGTAGATAGCTCTAATCACAGATTTCTCCCAAATATTCAAATTTCTTACAATCTAATATACCCTTTTAACTTTAGCTATCGAATCTTCAATCTGTTCATTCCAAATGAAAGCAACTCCATCATCTCCACTAATAGAATAATCTGGGGTTGTAAATAAAGTCTAAATGCATAGCTGAACATCTTGTAGGATTGAACTGTAAAAGTCACATGCTTTTATTTCACACATTTCTAGTTCCTTTGCATATTTAATTACAGCATAAAATGTCATACTGAAATGCATTTCGTATAAGTTTAAGGTCATCAGAAAATAATTCGATATAATTATACAAATTATTTTCGCAATAACCATAAGTCCTTTGGTCCCAATCGCAAATCGATACTCATACATCATACTATAAAAATATTGATTCACAATTATTCATATTTGTTTATATCCCTTGCATTTGCATTTTTACCATGCTGTAAGATATTTTTACCATGCTGTAAAATATCTGCAAAATATTATTTCACAACCGTCAACGCGTCCAACACCAACTCAGCTCGGCACACGTTTTGATAGTAAATAAATTTACAAGTACAATGATCATACTTTTTAATTTATTACATGCATGATAATTAATGATGCCATTTTGGTTGTAGCGTGATGCACTTGTATCACGTGGTGACCCCCACGGTCGCTATACACTATACTGTATCGTCTTCGACGATACAGGGGGAGCCGCGCACTTCGTGCGCGGCGGGTCATACAACGTATGACAATGCAACTTGTCATACGTTGTATGACCCGCCGCGCACGAAGTGCGCGGCTCCCCTGTATCGTCGAAGACGATACTATAGTGAAGCGACAGTGGGGTCACCACGTGATACAATGATGCACTACTGAGCCAGCCGCGCGCATCAAATAATTATCTGCGCGCATCAAATAATTATCTGTTTTAATACTTTCAACACTACTATATAACAAATAATTTGAGGACCCGAAACCGCTGAGCAGTCTCTATCTTGAACTTGCTCAACCCCATCTCACTTTGAGAATGGTGGAATCCGGTCAAACCGATCAACAGCCAGTGGGGCTGGGTACCTCAAATTATGTCTTTCAGGAAGATAACAAAGGAAATGACAATGAAAGGCATGATTTGGGGTCCCAGATTAAAGACAATCAGACATCAGCCCCTGCTGCACCTGAATCCTCAGAAGCTGTTGCAGAGAACAGAACCCCTGAGGACTGTGAAGCAGACGTAAGCAGTTTTGTTTCATTTTGTACCAATGCTTCAACACCTTTTGATACAATTCTTTTGGCCCATTCAAAAAACTTACGATCTGAAGTAGACAATATCAAACTGAACTTTTGTAGTACTTTGAAAGTAGAAGTAGACCAATTTGCAACGTTGACCCCTACAATCATCAAAAACTGTTCAACACTTAACAAATATACCCTGGCAGACGGCCTTCTGTCCCTACTTTCTCTGTCAGAGAAAGTATGTGCAGTAATAGGGGGTAAAAGGTTGTCTATCGGTGACAACCCCATCGATGAAGCAGCAGTTGCTTCTTCCGTAGCTGCTGACTCCATTTCTGGAAATGCTACCCTCCATGAATCCCTTCAGGCTATTCAAAATAGCATTCTTAAGAGAGATAAGGTGCACAATGACACTCTCAAATCAATCAGTGGCCAGCTTAACACCCTGACTCTCTCCATTGATCAGTACATGAAACCATCAGATATGTCAACTCCAGATGTACCACGTAACACTGCATTTCCTTCTTTCCCAATAGGCCTTCCTAATATCAATATCGAAAAACCAGATCCTAAGATTGACTTACATACAGTGCAAAATCCTATAGACACCTCCATTGGTCACATTGAGTCATTCACACCAGATTTTGTTGCCCAAGAACTTTCGGATAAACTCACTGAATACCTTGACACATTCAGTGAACAGTTTGATGCAAACTCAGAAAGAGGACATGGTGTCATAAGCTTTGGGGATGCATACAACTATCCAGGAGCCAAAGCTGCAAAACCTATATCCAAAAACATCCCTAGCCTGAACCCCTAACTGAACTTGTTTCGCTCATCCAGGCCAAATTCCCTGAAAGTGTCATTAATCAGTGTTTAGTGAATCGCTACCTTGACGAGAAATCAGAGCTGCCGAAGCATTCGGACAACGAAGCCTCACTAATGTTTGATAGTAACATCTTCACTATATCACTAGGCAGTATAGTACCTGTGATGTTCTATTCAGTAAAATCGAAGGATCTGAAACCAAAACTGTATCAGCTACTGGAAAAAGTCTATATGTTATGAGTAAGCAATCTCAGTCTGTTTGGCAACATCAAATAGATCAATCTCCAACCACACGTGAGAAAAGATATAGTGTTACATTTCGTTATGTTACATCTAACAACGAAAATGCAACAATAATAATAGGAGACTCCAACACCAGATTCTTGAAATTCGGTAGTGGGAAAGGACGTTTCGGTCATAGAATGCCAGGGAAAATGGTAGAATGTTTTACTATTGATATGATTAACCCAAGTTTGTGTGAAGGTTACAGAAATATTTTTATTCATTGTGGAGTAAATGATATTAAGAAACGGAGCTCAAATATCGAGCAGTGTGCCAGTGATCTCAAGGTAAAACTTGATGATATATGTCGTAAATGTCCATACTCCAAGGTTACCGTTTCGCCAGTACTACCCACTAAGTTTGGCTGGTTGAACGAGAAAGCATTATATTTTAACAAACTTATATTTCAATATGTTGACATGAACCCAAGGGTGGGAACTCTAGATTTTAATGAATTTGTTGGTGAAGATGGTAAACTAGCTGACCAGTTCGGTCGTTTCAAGGATAAAAGTGATGCCATCCATCTTGGGTCTACTGGTATCTTTAAGTTGTCTAGGCTAATAGTGGATAAAATACAGCGCAATCCAATAGATGGGCGCCAATTTAGTGATATTGCTAGGAGTAAAGTTGGGATGTTCAATTCACGTGTTCAAAGAGCTCCGAAACCATGAATAGAACAAATATATGTGAGAACTGTATCTGCTGCAGCAAACCTATTCGTGCTGGACACCCATTTATAAATTGCAATAAGTGTGATTGCATCATTCACAAGAGATGTAAAACACAGGAAAACATTGCCACTTTTAGAGAAAAAACTTACTGCTCAAATTGTATTCAAAATCATGATATAATTCGTTATAATCCATTCTATCAAGCACCTCACTTTTCAAACAACGAACTACTTGACAATGAACCTCACGACTATATAGACTCAATAGGTACAATCTCAAAAACTCTTGAGAACTGTCAATCATATTCTACTAAAAACTTCAACAACCTCATAAAGCAGATTCCTCAAACAACATCAAAGCGCATATTCTCACACTACTTTCGAAATATTGATGGAAATGGTACTAACTTTGACAAATTGGCCTTAGAATTAGCCTGCATAGACCACAAATTTTCTGTGATAGGTTTAGCAGAAACAAACATTGATCCCTGTAATAGTCAGCTGTACCAAATTAAAGACTATACTTCATGTTACCAAAAACGCTTCGTTTCTAATAAGACACAACAGGTAAAAAGTAAAGGAAGTGGAGTTTCTCTCTACATTCACAACTCCTTTAACTTTAGTGTGATTGAAAAGTTATCTGTTTGTACAGAGCAATTTGAGTCCCTATTCGTAACAATAAGTAATGCTCCAGAACCAGTAACAGTTGGAGTTGTATACCGCTCACCAAGCAATCCACTTGCTAACTTCAATGCACAGTATAAAGAAGTTCTTACTGCACTGAAAGGACATAAA